ATAAAACGCGTAGTATTTTTTGTCTTAAATGAAAAATATAAAATTCCCAGCTTTGAAGAGCATTTGAATGGTATCTTAAACATTTACTGCTGGCAGGGAAATTACAGAATCTAATGAGGAATGGGACTAGCAGTGATTCACAGGAAATCTACACCATTTTGATGATGCAAGGAAAATGCGAATTTTACATACGCTTCAACCATAAGTCTATCCCTTTACATTCCACCTCCACTTTGACATTCAATCGCTCTCAACTCATCCGAATTTCTTGACCAAACTTGTACAGTTTATGAGGCTTTGATTTGCATTTTCGCATTGCCAAACTTTAATTCGAAATCATTTTATCCATTTTGCCAATTTCTATAAAACTTTGACGATTAGAGAATGTTTTATTTTATGGCCAAATCACGGCAAGTAAACTTTTCTTTAATAAACTTCTTCGTCGAGCAGTTACAGTTTTTCAATTGTCTCTCTGGCTAAAGCGGAAACTAAATAACGTTTATTTTGTCTACATAAACATATATGTATGTATGTATGTATATGTGTGTGTGTGTCCCTTTCATCGCAATTTCCGCTCCACGAATAGGAATTCAGAACTACAAGGGGAAAACTTTAGAGAAGTCGCTCTCTGCCACACACATTTGGGGGCAATCCTCGAACTTATCAATTCAACAACTACTTGGCAAATTGTTTGCCATTGCAATTTCCGTTTGATATAGACAGAAACGATCCTAAAACAATCTATTTTTTATGGCTCGCAATAGATTTTCGTTACTTTTCTGTTATGCGATACCCTCGAAGAAGATTAAAAGTATATTGTTTTTATTAAAAGAAGGAACCGCGCACTAACCTACGCGTGTATTTGGATTTATTCGATTATCTATATTTTTTGGGGGCCTTGTATATTTAATATTATAATTATTTCACTTTTTCATTACTTATAAAATTAAACATGTTAAATACGAGCTACTAGGTCGTTCCTTCTATGTTTTGTAGGTACATTAATTATCGGGATTATAATACAAATAGTCCCAGTTAGGGTATTGGAGACTGCGGCACGTTAGTTGCATGCAGCTGAATCGAGTTAGGTGATTGAGTAACTGTTGCAACAACTTGTAATTATTTAATGTGCTACGTTTTGGCACAACACAAAGCCATCGACTGGGACTGCAAATGCATTTTGCATAATTTGTATGTGCGTCGAGGCGTGCGCCGGCATCGTCATACCCGTATCTTTTCGCATATCAATCTCCTGGCCCCCCAATCTCAATCCCAAACCCAGTCCCCATTCCCCAGCCCCTATTCCCCCCATTCGTTTGCCGACTGTCAACACCCGTGAGGAGCAGGAGGACACTGCATGGATGGAGTTTGAGGCAAAAAGCATGTCTGCAACATGGGGTGGGGGTGAGTGTGTGCCTGTCTGTGTGTGTGTGTGTCAAACATCAACCCTCTCCTGCCACACATTTACACTCTCACTTTAATTTATGTGGCACGACCCTCCATGCCCCCAAACAATGTCACTTGGCTTTTGTAAGCTCACGTGTTACATGCAAATGCGCTTCCTCAATGCCGCAGCCTCACTGGCAGCGGCAGCGGCAGCTCCTTTGTCTTTGCAGCCGAGTGGCGGAGATGTTAAGAGTGGGTAAATATTGTAATGATGTATGTGATTCTCTTTGTTCCCCCCCGCCCTATCATCGGTTTATTGAAATCTCTTTATGCTGACAACGACATCGTCTCCGTCTCCGATTCCCACTCTAATTATTTTTCCCTTTTTTGAGTGCTCGACCACTTGAAGGTATTTCGATAAAAAACATTTGAAACATTTGCGCAAACATATCTGGGGCTTTTAATAAAGTAACAACATGGTAAAAAAAGTCATTAAAAAATGCTAAATGCAAGTGCCGCATAAAAATCAATAAACAATCAACGGAGCGAAGCAAAGTAAAATAAACAAAAAAAAAAAAAACACATACAAATATGAAAATTCCAGAGGTGGGGGCCGGGCCCCTCAAGGCTGTAATTATGCTGAATGACGTTTGCGTGAATGTCGTCAAAGGAATTGCGGGTGGAAATGCGGGGAGAAAAGCGAGAAAAACTCGAAGCGAAATTGAAAAACATGTAAAGTGCGTTGACGATTGCGTTTTTCAAGTGCATCAGGAAGACCGACAGCACACATATGAGGCAGATCCCGGATAGGCGGCGTCCCAATGCCACAGCTGTATACCAATTAAAAATGTAGTGGACAACGCCCAAAAAAGAACGCTACAAAAAGCGTGTGTGGTGTGTGGTGTGTGGCATGTGGAGTGCAGATGGTGGCTGGTGGCTGGTGGCTCTTGCTGTCAATGACAGCGCAAATAAAATGCAACAAAGCGTGTTGTAAAACGCGCAGAAATGAAAATCAATAGTGATGCATGCCTCTCTCTCTCCTCTTCATACATATGTATGCATGGACATGGACCACACACACACACACACACAGAGAATATACATACTGGCCCATACATAACGAATGGTCATATATAACGCACAATTCACACGATGTTGGGGCTGGGCTGGTCTGGGCTGGTCAGCTGCTGTATGAGTATATGAATCGTACATAGGCGCATGGGTGGGTGTTTGTCATAACAGCGGCAACAGCAACAACAGCAACAACATAAACACGGGAAACGGAAACGGACCAGAGGAGCAGCGGAGCAGCGACAGAGGGAGACAGGCTCCGGGACCAGGCCCATGCTCCATGCTCCATGTTGACGTCAGTCATAGAGCGTGCAAATGTTGACCTACATACAAAACGCTGAGCAAACAGGCGCATAAATGCCACGCTCAACAACTGCAACAACAAGAAGAGCAGCATCGCGCAGTGCAGATAGCTGTGTCCAGGACTGTCCGTCCAGTGGTGCAGCTCCTGAATCCAGGCTCCAGCTGCCAGCACCAACGCATTGTTACTTCCCTACAGAGGGTACTATGATTGTGATCAAATGTTTGCCACGAACGGAATGAGTCATTGTTTGAATAGAAGATACCCGCAACTTGCACAGATCCTTGTTCCTTGTCAGCCATCTCATATATCTGCCATAGCATCTGATGCATCTAAAAGGGTATCCAAGCAAGCGACTCCCGAATCGAACCTTCTCTTCTGGTTTAGAAATTGTCGGAGGACACGGCCAGCAGAGCCGGAATGGTTAATAGCCGTAGCCGTAGTCGTAGTCGTAGTCGTTGTCGTGGACTGGGCTGGGGCACAGTCCTTTCCATGTTATTGTTTTTAATACTTAGGACCAGGATCATAATTGTTATGCAGATTTATAGAATTGGGTTGCCAGGCGGTGGTCCGGTGGGGGCCGCTGGGTGAGCGGTGCAGAGCTCTGACCAGTGGCCGGCATCGGATATGAACCGAGCCATTGAATGCATTCAAACAATGGATGCACATCTGAAAAAGACAACTGACCAGCTGAATAACTGAACTGAATGCTGCTGAATGCTGCACTGAAGGAAGCTTCTCGAGCTTCGCAACCCGCTTAAACGTAAGAGAGAAATCCTTTTCAAAGTTGAGAATCGTATGCAGCATATCCTAAAGCTCTCCAAAAGTCATTTAAATAAATTATAAAATATCTAAAAGTACAAAACATTTAAAGTTTTTTAAGCAAAAGATGTGTTTGTTTTATGGGTTTGCAATTCAAATGCAAATTTAAACGAATATAAAGAAAAATCATGCATAAATGTACGCAAAATTCTGTAGCACTGCTGTGCCATGGCCTGGTTTTTTTTTTGTCTCACACACTTTTTGGCACACGTTGGATGGCCGAAAGTGCCAAGGCAACTGCTGTAGCTGGCTGCTGGCTGCTGGCCGGCACACCACCACCTGACAATGTCTAATGATGACAGAGTGGGGCGGAGGAGGAGTAGGATGAGTGCGAATGGAAGTAGAGTGAACAGTGGGCAGCCATAACGGTTGCTGTGTATGTTGTTTTTGCAGTGTGCCACGTGTGTGTGGCATGGCACGCACTGGCAGGCGGGAAGGCAGGCGGGAAGGCAGAGAGGCAGTCAACCAGCGAACCAACCGACAAACAAACAAGCCCCACCGATGCTTGAGCCAGAGAGTGTTGCTGCTGCTGCTGCAGCTGTGCATGGTGGGCGGCCAAAGGGGGTGGGGTTCCTGCCACACACATAAACAGAATGAGGGACAGGGAGAGAGAGAGAGAGAGAGAGACAGGGACTCAATGAGTCAATGACTTTTTGGTGTCGCTCGTTGATGCGCAACGCGGTCCCGTTGTCATTAGTAACGACACTGACACGCACACACACACACACACACAGCTGCCTCACCACTACCCAGTCGGACTTTATACCTTCCAAGAAGCACTTCTAGAGCGGTTCTTTTTCCTGCAAGCACCAGTGATTTATACATGACGTTTTGGTTTCCAAATTACACAGGGTGAAACACGCCAGCACCGGTACATTTGGAAGTAGGTAGGAACCGTTCCTTTAGAACGCATTGGGAACTGGTGGTTGTTGTAATTTCAACTTCGTGAAACGCTCGGGTTTCGCTTCCAGTTGTACTTTCCGAAAGAAGCATTACAGAACACATATTTGGCATGCATCGAGAATCGTTCCATAGGAACCTATTAAGAACCGTTCTGGAACTGTTTCAATGCAATCATTCCTTATCACATCCCTGGAATGTATCAAGAACCGTTCCTTGAGAAGGTATGCAGCATGCATGCATGCATGCATGAAAGAGCGTTCTAAAAGAACGCGAGATTAACCCATAAATACAAAAACTATAAATTTTTTCGAATTTGATTTATTTAATATTTTCTTTACTAAAATATAATACAAAAAATAATAAAAATAAGAGAAAATAAAAAACAACGAAAAAAATTTAAGAAAAAAATAAAACTGAAAAAAGATAAAAAAGAAATGAAAAAAAAAATAAAAGAAAGTTAATTAATATAAAAAAAAAATTATGGTAATAATAAAATAAAAAAAATTAAAAAGTTGTCGTCTATGAGGAAATCCTTGTCGTGGTTGTAGTTGTTGTTTTTCTCGGGGATGTTGTTGCCGTCGTTCCTGTCGGTGTCTGCATGTTTCCTTGCAAGGCAGGAGACCGAGTAAATGCGATTCTTTCCTTTGGAGAATGCCGTCCTTATCAAAAAGAAATTTGTTATTGTTTAATTAATTTTGGCAAAAGTTTATTAATTTCAAATACAATTTTTTAATGTTTATGTCCACCCTAATCAGTTCATTAAAAATCCGAACAAGGTCCACCCTAAATAAATTTCACTGCATGAACATCGTGAACATTGAAACATCTCTCTACTTGTATCAACATATATTTACACCACTATTAATACTTACAGTGCGTTTAGTTCTCCTTAGTTTGAAGAACTTATGTATATCGCATTCCATCGTTGAGGTTATGTTCATGTGCATGTACATGTTCAAAGAGAAATATGTATATTATGCATTATTTATTGTTTATTTTAATATTCTTAGGGTGCAGGCCGAACTGCCACAACAATCTGCCAATACTTACGTGGTAAAATAAACGGTTTTAGGCACTTAAGTTTCACTTTTTCACAATTGTTGGCAGAGGGCACAGATAAACGCACAATTTTCACCGGCTTCAAAACGCAAGTGATGAAATAAAAGAAGTCGAGAAAAAACCGCGTGCGTTCTTGCATGTTCCCTTTTGTTATTTTTTTGTTGTCCTACCGCTTTACCGAGGGTACGAATTTGTCTTCAAAAACATTCTTTATGCCTTCTAATAGAAGCGAGAAAGTCACGCATCGAAAACGTCTACCTGCGAACGTTTTCGATGCGTGAACTTCTCGCTTCTAGAAGACCCATAGGCTGCTTCGTGAAAAAAACGAACGATCGGGAATCGGTTTGGGTTTCATTCCATATTTTTCTGTGCAAAAATATGCATGATAGAACCATTCTTTGTGGAATCGGTTCTACTAAGCCTGCCAGGGAAGTAGTGAAGAACCAGTACTATGTTGCAACCACTTCTACAAGGTCCGACTGGGTATCCACTCTCCACTCTCCACAGATACAAAAAAAACCCATACTGCTGCACTGGCACCGGCACTGATACAAGAAACACACTCATGAATATTGCTATTGTTGTTTGTTGGCTGTTGGCTGTTGCTGCCTTGCTGGCTGTGGCTCTGAGGGAAATGCGAGCAGGTCCGCAATAAATTTGGCAGCAAACACGGTTCTGGCTTATGTTTTATTGTTGTTGTTGCTGTTGCTGTTGCTATTGCTGCTGGTGTCCTTGGTGTTCCTAATGTGTGTCAGCGGCAGGCAGCATGCGGCATGCGGTTGCGGTTGTCATTCTATGCCCCCATTCCCCTGCAACACCTACATCTCACAATTTTTACGCATCCCAAAAAAAATCAGCAAAACATTGGCCAGCAACAGCGACAGCGACAGCCCCAATGTCGAGAGAGAGATGGAATCATTCCGTATGCTTTTAGGCCAAGTATTATGATTTTGGCAGAGCTCGTTGCCCCTTTTTCCCCCACACAGCCCCCCCGCGACTCAGTGGGCCATAATTTCCCCTGACGCTCATTAGCAGCAGACAACATTTATGCGTTGGCAGGCAGAGCCCTAAGTGTGAAATTGTTTTGTATAATGCCAAGTAAATTATGCAAATAAAGATCGAGTCCATTAACGGTGCCCTCCTAGGCTGCGAGCCAGGATTTCGCTTGGCCAACTTTTTCAGCCCTGATGAATTCCGCGGGGCTTTGCAGGCTCCGTCGAATGGGATGGTATGTGTGGGCTAATTGAAAGCTAGCATAATTAATTTCAGTGTGTCTGTCCATCAACCGCTCCAGCCACAAATTTATCAGCAATATGAGGCACAGCTTCAGCCAAAGCGAAGTGGACACACAATCATATCGACTTTTTTGCCTTACTAAAACTTTTTTTTTTTTTTCGTGTTTTATGTCTCAGAGTCTAAAATTGCAATATATATTTTAATCTAATATATACTAATACTAATATACTAATTTTCATACATTTCTAGGCTCCCATCAAGACTCGAGCAGTCATCATCATCGCACAGGTCGTAAGGCGTAATCTATGCCAAAATAGATGAAGCTGTCCAAATAATTGAAACATTAGCCAAGGCACTCACGCATGTGTCAGCTACTATCCCACTACCCCACACTGTTTGCTCGTTTACTGGGGGCGGTGGAGGTCCAGTGTAAACACAGCTGTTTCGAGAAGGCGCTCGAAAAGCCGTGCCTAACCTCAGACAACAATTGGCGGGGCGGCGCATGCGTCGAGCTGGCACTTGCACCGCCGAGGCAGAGCCAACACAGCGGATTCGGAATCGGAATCGGCATCCGGCAGTTGCTGTTCGAGGCTCGCAGGATACGCACGGCTCTGGCGGATGCAGAAAGGGGAAATGCAACTCGAATCGAACGAAGCGCGAAAAGACGGAGACTGAGTGCGAAGTGAATGAGCGAAGTGCGAGTGCGAGTACGAGTACGAATGGTTCCGTGAGTGTGGTGAATTTATGCTGAAGAGAGTCTCCGGAAGAGAGCTGGACCGTCCCTAGGCTAAGAGAGTGCCGTGCCACACGGTGGCATCCATCTGAACATCTGAAGCATCGCAGTCAAGCTGAGTCCTTGCTGGCAGTCGGTTGTCTGGTCGGGAGGGAACTTTACGTTATACGTGCGTGTGTTAGCTCAGCTCCGATTAGAGTGTGTGCCGGCAATGAAGTGAATGTCCTGGCCATGAAGTCCCCACAAACATAACAAAACACCAAATCATCATCACCCAAAAAAAATCCAAAAAAAAAAAAAAGATTGAAAAGTTGTGCCAAAGAAAACCAAGAAGTCAAGTGTCTGAAATGTAAAAATCCGCCGCTAAGTTAAACCCAAATCAAAATTACCAAAATCATTGCCACGCGAGGATAAACCTGCACCAGAGAGAGAAATAGAGAGAGAGAGGAACCAAAACTAAAACCAAAAAAAATCCAGACCAAAATCAAAACAGAAGCCGGAAAACATGTGGATTAGTAGCCGCCTCTTTGTGATTTGTTTGCTGCTCCATCATGGTAGGTGCCACCTTCGCAGTCCCTTAACCAATCTTTTGCCACACTCTTAAGCACCCAGGCTGCCGGCATTTCCCTGTGTGCCGCCTAAGCCTTAGCACGGCACGCGCCTCCAAGTTATCCCCCCGCTTTGCCAGCATGTTTTTGTAACAAGTCCCAACAGCTGCCGGCATATTTTTTTTGGGATCTCGGTTTTACGCCTTTTCGTGAATAAAACAAAAGGATTTAGGGGCTTTGGGCGGGAAATTTCTACGGGACTTTGGGGGGAGCGGCATTAGGCGCCGGCTGGAGGAGGAGTGAAACTTTTGCCAGAAAATTATGTACGGGGCAATTACTCACTTTATTATCGTTCAAGACGCAATCTTCAGTAGCACATAGAGACCTGAATTTATGGTGATACACATGAGTGAAGACTTGGCGGCGAGAAGGAGGCTCCGTAATTTATGATACGAACTAAGTGCAAATGACTTGGCCGCTTTATGGACCGGCCAAGAAGAGCAGACGGCCATAAAAGTGACAGCAAAACTACAGCCGAATTGCCTCTATATAATACTCCTTTCAAATGGCCTTATGATACAAAACCAGGCGTCAATTTATGCTCCACGGACACAGCCCCTTCTAACCTTCCAGTATTATCCCTTTGTGGGTCGCTCTGTGTGTGTTTGTGTGTGTGGGACTGACTAATGAAATGTGTCAAGAGCAGAGCATTCGATCGACCCATCGACCTTTTCATACTCGTATCAGCGGGGAAAACCTTTGCCGAAATTTGATATTTTCCAATTTTCATTGCCTAGCATTCCAGCATTCGGTAGGGGGCGTTACAAAGCCCCTACAAACTCGTGTATTTTCCCCAAAAAAAATTATCAAAATGCCACACAGATATCTCATGTTTCCTATATACATATATATGTATGTATGTATATGTTTGCACCCTCGCTGGTGCACGGAGCTGGGGAGCAAATGAAAAATATGCAAATGAAATTGTTGCTCAATGTCTAAGCGCTCACACATTTTGCTCGGAGGGGCAACAATTCTCGTCCTCATGCTCGTCTCGTGTCGTAGTGAGAGATGGCTCACATTTCTCGATGTTGTTATTTCATTTCCATGCAGATAAACATAAAACATAATACGTTATATAAAATCACCAGCAGCAGCAGCAGCAACAGCATCGCCGCAAATCCGATTAGACCGTATTTATATGGAGCATTCTATATACATATATACTATAAGGGATATAAGGGTCCGCATTGTGATGGAAAAATTATGAAAAATAATGGAGAAGTTTGTTCGTTGTTGTGCGCACTTTGATTGATTGTGTTTTAAACCGTTTGTGACAAACGCTTTAATTTGCTGCAGGATTAATGAAGTGCGAGGGTAAAGTTTTAGCAAAATATGTGTGCGCCAGATGGCAGCTCTTCTGGCGGATGCACTCGTATTTATTATTAATGATAAGTCACAGAGTTTAACTTCTGTTAATAACAGAAAGTTTTGCTGAAAAGCAGCACTCAGTATGACAGCTTCAAAGCGCTCCAATATTTCGTTTTTTTTTCCTGTAAAATAAAAGATTTTGTCGGCTTCCCAAAAAGTCCCTGCAAAAAGTAACAACAAAATCAAGTTATTCACAATTATTATTCATTCCCTGGTTATTGTTTTTGTTTTTGCTTCTGTTGCTGGTTTGCGCGCTGCTCTGTAAACATTTTAACTTCTTTCAAGTTTTTCTTTTATTTTTCCGTTTTTCGTTTTCCTTTTTTTTTTTTTGCCGTTTCCCAAGCAATATTGAGCATCCGTCGATAGCTTTTGGGTGTTTGGGTCACGCCTCCATGCCCATTTTGGCGCATAAAAATTGAATTTCCTGTATTTTTCGAGCTGATTGCTTACACGGGTCCGTCCCTCCATTTCCGTTGAAGGCGTTCGCCCAGGAATATCCGTGGATACGTAAAGTCCCTTTGAGTCCATCTCTTTTTAAAGGGGACTTGGCGGCAGACAGAACTTGTGCCCAGATCGTGCACCATTAGAAATATTACCACTGCAGTCTATGGCAGGGACACCCGGAGACACCACATGCATCACACATACATACATACGAGTATGTACATATGTACATGTACATATGCAGCCGCCTGGAGGCTACGAAATAATTTTGAAAAGTGCCAAAAGGGCATAATCCAAACAGAGCGAAAAAGGAAGCGCCGACGAGAGAAAGAAGTGAAAAGAAAGCTGAACACAGAAATAATGTCTGAGAAGCTCGGCAAAGTAACCCCTCAAGACTCGCACAAGTGGACGGTGAGGAGCACATTCGCTTGGGATTGGGAATGGGAGTGGTAGTATGGCAGTGGAACGGGGTAATGGGGGGCGGGGATGCTCGACACAAAACGAGCGGAAATGCGAGCCAAAGCCGAGGGGCAGACAGGCCGATGCGGGGCTGCAGTTGCAATGCCAGTTGCAAGCACAGAAGCAGGCAACTGCAGAAAACAATTTGGAAAGGGAATTTGACGCGAATGGAGACAATTTTAATGCGCTTTTCCAATGGCCGAAACGAAACGAAGGCTGTAAAATGAAATTGCAACTTTAACGACTAGAGGTGCAAATTTGAATGGGTTTTAATAGCAAAAGAAACATTTGGAAAATATTTACTGAATGCCATATCGAGAGGGATGTTGGGAGGAACATTCGAATAGTGAGAGACTTTTATCGATATTGAAAATGTTGCTTCCTCTTTCGTTGCTTAAATTGTAGAACTTAATTGAATAAATTATGACTTCGATTTCTTTTCTGCAACTGCTAGATTTAATTTATTGTATAAAAGTATTTATCCACTGAATATGCAATGCCAAGAGAAACTTTAATTTAAACTACAGTGACTTGCCTTAGTAACCTCTTCTTTCTTATATGCAAAAATGCAAAGAAATATTACTTACGAGATCAGAAGAGATCTTCTCGAGATTATTGGGAAGTGATATTTCTGTTAAATTATTGAAAATCTTTTAATATATTTTCAATTATAAATAATAATAGTCAACACCTACCACGCCCGTGTCTCCAATTCATTTTAACCTTCAAGGCAAGAAAAGAAATGGCGTAGTAAAAGTAGTTGTAAATTTAATCTAAGACTCTAAGCTAAAGCTGGCTCTTTGATATATACCTTATTTTTGTGCAAGGCAATTTCCATTGGTTTGCCGAAATATCCAAATACTCTGCTAAGCGGATAAAGCGCAGGCCAAGAGGAGTTGCATAAATTTTGAATTCGCCATTGGAGCCATTGCCATAGGCCGAAGACCAAGTCGAACGGCCCAAAGGAAAGGAATCCGAGTTGGGACAAAGCCCACACCCACACAAACACACAAACACACAGACACACACTTTCACATAAGCTCAAAAGGAAGAGCGGAACACACGCACAGGAAAAGGAGAGGGTGGACTTTTTGTTTTCGCAGGAAAGAATAAAAAACCCTACAAGTGGATGTACATGCACCCACCCAGCCAACCGCTCAAGCAACACAACCACCCAGTCCCACACCCACACACACACATGAGATCTTGCTGTAAGGCACATGCTCGTAAAACATACCCTTTCTACCATAAGAGACGAGTGCCAGGCATACTCAAGACATACTTGCAATAATTTTATGGCCTGGCAGAGGCCTCATCTTCCTCATCCGCGTCCAGGACTCGTACCCGGGAGCTGCGGCTGAGCTGCTGGGCTGCTGGGCTGCTGGAGTAGGAATCTGTGTGGGAGCGGGATGTGGTAGCCATGAAATCAGCGGGGAAAATGATGGAAATGGAACGAGAAGAAGACGGAGACGTAGCCCGAGACGAAACCAGAAAGCAGTTACATAAAAATCCATGCTGTCGAGCATAAAACAAAAAGCGCCTGGCCAGGCACAACAAAAACCCGTACAAAAGGCAACAAAAAGAGAAAGAAAAACGAGAAGGAACGTGTGAGTCGCTTTGGGCGCCTCTTATACCCGTACTCAGTCTTATATACATTTTTGGCATGTTTTTTATTTTAGAATTAAAAAAAAATTTTACATTTTACATGTACTTTGTACTACATCCACTACAAGTATTCTACATCTAACATGTAGTTTGTACAGTACCATTTATCTCATCTCCTCCCGGGTTGCTCGCGCACTGAACGCGGCATGTGCGGCGGGGAAATGGTTGCGTTGTCGTAGGCGGGGGGGAGGGGAAGCAACTAAATTTTCCATTCTGGCTATAATTATGACCCGATCTGATTCAGATTCGGCAATCTGGTAGATATGGGGGTTTTCAACTGCGTTTTTAGTTTATCGTATCTTTAAACTTGCCCCCGATTTTCGTCCTTGTGTGGGCGGAGGGGGCGGGGCGATGATCCTGTAGCGTGTGTTACTGAGTCTGGAAACCAATTTGGTTTCCAGCCTTAGTCCTAGTCCAGGCGCTCACAAGCGGACGAGGCAGCGGCAGTCGGACAGCGCAGCGGCGGCAGCGGACTGGCTGTAAGCTCGGCTATTTATGCTTAGATATATATCTTATGGGGTCGGAACGTTTCCCTCTGCGTTGCACACCACTTTACAACTAATATACCCTAACTTTTTTGAGTACGGGTATAAAAAACAGAAACTCGGAAAAAAAAAATGGAAAAGAAAAAGGGGAAAAAAACAACAACAACAAAAAACAACTCTAATTGCAGACACAATGACTCGTGGAGAAGCAGAGAGAGCCAAAGGGGGGGACGGCTGTTGGAGATTGAACGAGTTGCAAGGATTTGCACAGCGCCGCAGGGGCAGACGAGAGACAGCCGAGGCGCATTCATGTGGAATATGAAGCGAAATGTCAATTTGAGAAATATATATACATATAGCGATATATGTATATATGAATTTATGTACTTGTATTCGGTTCCAAAACTCCCCAATGGGCAGTGGGCGGGAGTGGTAACTGGGAGACCAAGTCCCAAGCTAAAGACGAAATTGTTATTCTAATTTAAGATAAGGCAAAATCTGTTTGTTCTCGAGAGAGGCGCTTCGGACGAAATGAAAATGGGTTTCAAAGCCGACAAGGCCTTGCTATTTGGGTATTCTAAAACAAAACCGACTTGCTTATTAAAGAGCAAAAAGGTTAAAAGGACACACCGCCCACGCCCATACCCAAGCGGACTCTGCGCAATTTATGCATTTTGAATATCACTTTTCACGGATTATTGCATATTTTTATGGAATCTAATATAAATACGAGTAGCAATAAATGTTTTTATGCCTTTTTCCTGAATCTTTATGCGTGCCAAAATCGTATATGGAACGCATTTAATATCATAGTCATGGAATATATTTATATGGGCTTGGAATATATGCATATCGAGCACTTACTCTTAGTGGTTGGTTGGGAAAGCATCTTTCGATATGTATTGATGTATATGCTACTTAATCCATAGTTGAAGTGCGCTATGCGACTTATTTTTGTTTAATTTCTTTAATTATTCCACGCACACACAATAAATAACTAAAAGGATTCTTGGCAATGTGGATTGATGATTTTTTTCAAGCTATGATTTTTTTATAAAGACTGAGGGAACTATCCGTTGAAGGTCTTTAGAGAAATAAACTAATTGAATTTTTGGATGTTCTTGATAAATAGAATGAATAAAATATTTAAAATAAATTACGATGAAGAAATCGTAAAAATTATAAATATTTTTTTTCTTAAATCCACATAAAATCCGGAATATTTAGTTCTGTATATTCTGTGTAAACTCTTAACTCATTTTCGTACCATCTATATGTTGCAGATGCAACCTACAGCGAACCGTTTGAGACACATCTGCGTGGTCCTGGATTCGTAATGGAGCCGCCGGGGCGCGTGGAATTCTCGAACTCCTCGGGCGGCTGGCTGGACTGCTCCGCCTCGGGCAGCCCGCAGCCCACCATTGATTGGGTACATGCGGACGGCAGCGCCGTCACCGAGATCCACGGAGTGCGACGTGTCCTGAGGAACGGCACCCTCGTCCTGATGCCCTTTGCGGCGGCTGCCTATCACCAGGACATCCACAATACGATCTACCGCTGCATTGCCAGCAACTCGGTGGGGCGCATTGTGTCCCGGGACGTGCAAGTGAGGGCTGGTAAGTGGGATGCGGCATGGCCCAGTCCAGAGATGCATATTAAATGAAATATATACTCGTATTTTTCGTGTGTGTTCCACAGTCGTGGCACAGGCCTATAAGGTGGATGTGGAGGTGCTATCTGCGTCGCGGGGCTGCACCGCCATTTTGCGTTGTGTGGTGCCCACGTTTGTCAAGGAATTGGTACGAGTGGTCTCGTGGGTTCATGAACCCGCTATCTACATCTATCCCTCGTTGCAAGGCGGTAAGTAACCTGGCAGGAGGGCATCATCACAGAGAGAGCTCTGTCTGCCTGCCACTGACTGCTGACTGCTGACGAAGCGGACCAAAAGGACACGGAACGGGGCTCGATTCAACTCAACTCGACGCGACTCGAGTCTGCATCCTTGTCCCTGTGTGGCAGCGGCTTCCCAAGCCAACAAAGTGCATTGTTTGTTTGCAGTATTTGCCTCACATGTTTGCCAGCTTAACTGCCACAACCATCTGCACCCACCGCTACCACTATACGTATCTGCCTCGTGCCACTCTCCCGTCCTTTGGTGCATAATTAACATTGTCCTTTAGCAATTTGAGAAGCGCTTTTAGCCAGCCTTAAAGCACTCTCTCTCTCTCTCTTTGCTTGGAAATCACTCCCTTTTTTAAAACTGCTTACTGTCTAGGCCTTCAAGGATGGATGCCTTAAGTATTCGCTGAAGGATTGAGGGCTAAGGGTTAAGGGTTGTGGGGATATAGTTGAACTTTGGACTGACATTGGACATCCAACTCGAAGAGAGCTTGGCACGATAATTGACTTCTCTCCTTCCACAGACGGAAAATTCCATTTGCTGCCCACTGGCGAGCTGCTCATCCACAATCTGCAGGAGAGCGACGAATCGCAGTCCTTCCGCTGTCGGAGCATGCATCGCCTGACCCGCCAGGTTGTCGTCAGCTCGCCCACACGACTACGTATTAATTGTGAGTATATCTGCACCAGGGCCCGGGGTTCCCGGGCCGAATCGCAGCGAAACCGATGCCAAGCCAAGCCAAGCCATCGAGGCTGGCACATAGCGTGGCCACATAGCTGCTACTCGTATACCTAACCAGTGTCATATCTCTCCATCATCTCTGCCGCTGCAGCTCATCGCGGCATCATTTCGCCGAGTGTGGTGGAGCACACGGCTCATGTGCAGGTGTCGCAGGACGAGGGCGCGGTGCTGCTGTGCGTCGCTCAGGGATGTCCTTCCCCCGAATACAGGTGTGTATGGTGACAGAAATCGATGGTATACACACACACACACAGACAGACAGACCATGCGACACACCGCCCAACGAAGGCTTTAGCACACATTTCTGGTGAAACTTTTGACGTTGACAGGCTTTGGCTTTGGCTATGGCTATGGCTCCGGCTCTGGCGCTGGCTGTGGCACACATACACACACTGATATTAGTTGTTAGTGGCAGCCGAGCACTTGTGTGCGTTAATTGGAACGCATACATCTATAAAATGTGCGGGCAGGTCGTTTAGTTTGCGGCCAAATAAATGAAGAGACTGACTTTGATCCGGGGTAGGTAGGAGAACAGTTTTCCCACGAGCAAGAGTATAAAATGTGTCTAAAGAGCCGGGCCCTAATTGAAATGTGAGCTAAAAGCGTTAACTAACTTTCACAACGGACGATGGGACGTATGCGTACTACATGATATATGTTCTGCGTATACGCCGCCACGTTGAGCCCAGACATCAACAACAATGGCATAGGTAATGATGTGTGCATAGTCGCAAATCTGCGGCAACAACACACAGATGGGCGGACAGGCCAGCGGACAGACTTATGTATGTATGTGCAGCCATAATTACGCTTTGATAAGCAGACAAGTAAAACAAAGTGGAAACTGTTGGGGAGGAGTACGAGTAGGAGTACTCACACGAGCAGATGGATGAGGGGCAATGTCAGACTGCCGGCTGGCAACAAAAGAATCTATAAGCGAGACCAGACAACGACAGCAGGATAGAAGGATGGATAGATGGATGGATAGATGGATAGATGGATGGATGGATATATAGATAGATTGCAGTGAGAGGGTAAAAATGTTGCAGCCATTTCATAATTAATAAAGCAGAAAGGAAAGAGTAGCGTGGGGATAATGAGCCAGCAGAGAATTAATGCAACACCAGACAAAAGAAGTGGAAAAGTGCTGGAAAAGTGTTGGCGGAGCATAAAGGTAGTCCCCAAGGCCTTGAACTTCAGGATGTGGTCTCTTCGATACTGTAATTGCGGCTAAACTTTATTCTCCGTTAGAAAATGTTCAGCAACGGCCATGATAAATGAACGCCAAATGCCAGCTCGAAATTCGGTTCCATTAATTAAAGTCAGTGGGCAAAAGTGTGCTATAAAACAAGGAATTTCCATTACCATTACCATTGATAGAAAGGCAATTTCCTTATGTGCATTACATAGCCAATGCCTTGGAAAGGATTGCCGAAAGGATTGCAACGTTTACTTTTCGAGCACATCTTCCGTTTTGGTCATTTTGTAGGTTTCCCAATTGAAAATCGCGATTAATGGAATCCATTTATAATAGTCGGACCGAATAAATCTTTGCAATTTCTTCCTGCCACAGCTGGTATACCCACAATGGGGCCGGACCCCTGCCTGTGCTGAGCGGCCCCCGGGTTCGCCTGCTCGGCCCCATTCTGGCCATTGAGGCCGTCACGGGCGAGGACTCCGGCGTGTACAAGTGCACGGCCAGCAATGTGGGCGGTGAGGCCAGCGCGGAGCTGCGCCTCACCGTGGCCACGCCCATCCAAGTGGAGATCTCGCCGAATGTGCTCAGCGTCCACATGGGGGGCACGGCCGAGTTCCGATGCCTGGTGACCAGCAACGGCAGCCCCGTGGGCATGCAGAATATCCTGTGGTACAAGGACGGGCGCCAGCTGCCTTCATCGGGCCGCGTCGAGGACACGCTGATGGTGACCCGCGTCAGCCGCGAAAATCGGGGCATGTACCAGTGTGTGGTGCGAAGACCCGAGGGCGATACATTCCAGGCCACCGCCGAGCTGCAGCTGGGGGGTAAGTTTAGTCGGCCAGACTGACTCGCACTGACGCGAGGAATAGCTTATGGCGGAAATATTAATGTGCATGCACCCTCCCCTCTCTACAGATGCCCCGCCGGTGCTCCTGTACAGCTTCATCGAGCAGACCCTGCAGCCGGGACCAGCTGTGAGCCTCAAGTGCTCCGCAGCCGGCAATCCAACGCCGCAAATTTCATGGACACTGGACGGATTTCCGCTGCCATCAAACGGAAGGTAATTGAACTTGTTGAAAAGTGTATGGTGGGTGGAGGGGGTGGTGGTAGGGGGGGGCTTGGCAATGGCAGCGCTGCGGGCGTTCTCTGCAAAAATTTATCTCAACTGCGGCTGCCCCCTACTGCGGCTGTGGCTGTGGTTGCATTTATTGCAGTCGTTGTGTGTGTTTTTTTTCTGCCTTTTCCCTTTTTCCTTTTTTTGCATTTTCCTTTCAAAAACACACACACACACACACATGCACATATATATATTTTAAATAAAAAAAAAAAATACATATATAGAAAGTGGCTGCCGACTGCCGCGCCTACAGAGGTGGGTGGCTGGCTGGCTGGCTGGAAAGTCGTCGTCGTCCTCGTCTGCTTCAGCGTTCATTCACTTCTAGTGGGAGTGCCACTGTGCGACTGTGACTGTGTCTGTGTCTGGCCCAAGGTTTTGGCCAGGCATTTCTATTTGTTAATTAAGCCCTGGCCGAGTGAGAGAGAGTCCTGGTCCTGGTCCTGGTCCTGGTGCGCCTTTGATTCCCATGGATCCTGGCCATAGCCTACGCATTTAATTGCATTTTTGTTGGCCCTTTGCCAATCCTATTAAATCCTCTAAGTGATACCTTAATGACATTGACATTTGCATCACATGGTGGGGAGGGGATAGAGCCCCATCGATTCAGACTCGAAATCGAAAAATACGGAAATAGTTTGTTTGCTTTGGGGTACTACGTAGAACACACACAAATAGAAGTAAAATGCAACAGCGAATCGATTGATTGCCAATTCCGTCTCTCCGACATTGTCAGCGGCATTTCATTTGATTTTTATCGCCCTTTCTCACTCTGTCGTAGTCTCTTTGGTTTTTTTTTTGTTTTTGTTCTTTTTATTTTGCGGCAGTGGCAGTCTGCAGCCGGATCCGTACTTCATTTGCAGTTCGTTGGCAGCTGCCACTAATTGTTTGAGTTACGTCTGTAATGATTTGCAAGTCAAAGTTTTCACTCGGCGACTGTTGACTTCTGTTGTTGATTAAAAAATACTCGTACAACCACCACCAGCAGCAGGAATGGCCATGGCAGTGGCAGTGGCAGTAGTTGTGGCTGTGGCCCTGGCCCTGCCCGCATTCCCCCAGCAAAATCAGTTTTTATTTGCATTTGCCACTGACTTCGGCTCCAGCTTAGTGTTGCCATCCGGGCCCCAAACAAACTGCTGAAAGGGAAGGCAGCCTGATTTTTGTCCTGCGTTGCCCATCTGCGCAATATTTTAATTAAAACTTATGCAATATATCGAGGGCAGGAGCCGGGAGTGACATCACTTTGATGGGTTAATGGGTGGCAGTGTGGTGCGGCAGTCGCCTAAGGAATACCCTGGAAGAAATCGCTAAATCATATTATTCCCTGCAGATCGCTGGCGCATGTAATGAAAAAGAGGCGCCAAAGAGCTATCCACACGATAGTTTTGCGGTCTATCTTCTAGGGTCTAATATGCATACTTATGCCACCGCTTCTATACCTATGAATATATCAGTGCTCACTCACAGCACCATCAATAGCTGCAGGTCTTCAGTCCTTGACTTTAAGACCTCATAAAAACCCTTCGAAGAATTATGCATGTAAAACACTTGAGACTGCATCTTAAAGCTCTTGTCATGAATTGTCTTCACTCAAGGGGGCGGCCATCCACGCTGGATGGCGGAGGAGGATGGCTTGTGTCCGGCAGAGCTGATGCCGGAGGATGGCTTGACCACGAGGCAAAATTGATTACAAAAATTTGTGTGCTGTGGTCGGTGTGAAATTTTGCTTTCGAAAAACTTGTGCGGACGGGTGGGCGGAGGGGGCAGTGGAGACAGATTTGCAGAGTTGACGCCGATGGCTTTAATTTAAAAGTTATTTGAGCAACACAATTTTGACACATAATGCCTGAAGGAGAGGCATTATCCTGCCGAGGCCGGCAACCTAATTTGCCTGCTCCGCAATGCTGCATAAATTTGTGTTGCTTCTCGTTTGCGTTGTTATTGCCGAGTTTTAAGTGGTTTACATTATTCGGTTTAAAGGTATATCAACTTGGTAAGTGTATTTATTTAATGCAGACACACAAACACACCAACACACACAGACACGTACACATAAATATACACAAGCCCAGCAGAAGGCAATCGGAGTGGCAGACAGACAGGCAGGCAGGCAGACAGACAGGCAGGCAGTCAAGCAGCCAGGACGGATGGAGAGGCTCTACGAGGAGCCAGACGAGAAGCCTTGGGGCGGAAATTAAATGATTGCGCGCACGAGGTAACTCAGCACTCAAACGCTCATTTTACGCCATTTTCAAAAGTTTGTCTGCGGCAGTGGCTGCCGCCGTCGCCGTCGCCGTCGCCGCCTCCCCATCCTCTCCCTCTTCCTTCCTTCCGTTTTTGGCGTTTGGGCGCTCCAAGATGGAGGCGTGTGTGCGTGATGTGATGCTTTAGTCAGCCACTGCAGGCGTTATGAAAATGTTGTGTGTAATTTCGGGCGAAATGAGAAGGCTCTTAGGCAGACACTGTATGTGGCACGATTCCCTGCTCGTAGAGGATGCCCTAATCTGCGCCTGGAAGCTCCAGTGATTGGGATCTTTTACCAGCCACCGTCTTAATCCGGCTCAAGCACACACTTTTTCCACTGCACTGGGGCGAAGTGCAAACTCGATTCGCGTAAATTGAAATTCATAATTTCGGCAAACTTTTGCCACCGAAAACTTTTGCCTCTGCCCCCAAAGTCGCACCTAGGGATTCTTGTCCTTGTTTCGCTTTTTTTTTTTAGTTGGCTGGCATTAAACCAACCCGCCCATAGTGGCGGTCGGATGGGCGGCTGGGTGGATGGGCGGGCGGGGACTCACACAACAATCAGGCTAAAACAGCACACAAAAGCCGCGCCAAGCTATTAGGTTTATATTGTTGCAGCCAAAGCGTTTTATGCCCCACACACACACACACACACACACACACAGTGCAGTGCCGTTTAAGCCGTTGGAGGATGAGAAAGGAGGAGAGCCTCTCTGGCCAGAACGGGTGCAGATGCGGATGTGGATGCGGATGTGTGCAACTTTGTTGCAATTTTGTCCCCGCCATTGTTTCAGTGCGCTCAAGTGCGGACTGCTGCAGCAGTCCCTGCAGCTCACTGTCTGGGCCACAGCTTCATTTTCATTTAACTACAGTTTCAGTTTCTGCTGTTTTTACAAGCCCGTCCAGGCCCGGCACTCCACTCCACTCTATAAAACGGCAAAAGATTTTTCGGCTTTGGTTTCGGTTTGACTTGGCCGCTTTCTGGAAGGGCTGCACTCTGGCGCGGCTTATGCATTCATAAGCCCCCGCCACACAACAGTCAGAGAACGGGGCTTGCTGCAAAAGTTAATTAAAATTGTAATTACTTTCCCTACGCTGCTGCGAGTCGTATTACGCGAGCAGAGTGGCTGCTACTCGAACTCCGAACCGTAATGCCAATTGAAAAGTTGCCGCTGAGCCGCAAACTAATGAGCCTCGGGCTGGCTTAGATTCGAATCCCACACAAGACGCCTCATCAGCCGTTTGTGTGAGTGCCACATGGCGTATGCGTAACAATGTTGGCCTGTAATTAATGTCTGTAATGCCAATAAGCAGCCCAGGCAGACGGCAGTGCAAACAGGCAAACAAACCAGCGAGCGAGCACAACTTAATGCCAACTTGAGCGTCTCACGAAATCCTTTTTTTTCTCATTATTTTCGTTGGAGCGTAACGGCCGCATTTAGTGAAGGAGAGGAGTCGTATGTGTGTGGGTGTGTGGGTGTGGGCGTGGCACATGACATTGACAGCAATATAGAAACTATGCTAAGCCCCGACTGCGCGGCCAGCGCCGACTGAAAGACTGACAGACTGACAATCTGACAGCCTTCATTACGGCCCGAACATGGCGACGAAAACAAAATGATGCCTACGGCCAAAGGATTTGGGTCAGGCTGCATTCCAAATGTGCCCGGGCCGGGGTTGCACCACAACAACAGCCACAAGGGCTGTGAGTGTCAGCCAGCTCGTTTAAATATGCAGCAACAACACGAAAACAATTCTAAAACAAAAAAAAAAAACCCGCACATTGCGCATCCGCCACGTGGCGTGTGCCCGCTGAAATCTCTCCATATTAATGTGTTCTCTCGCCTTTGTTGCTCCACTCTTTTTTTGTCGTTGCAGATTTATGATCGGACAATACATCACAGTGCATGGCGATGTAATTAGTCATGTTAACATAAGCCACGTCATGGTCGAGGATGGCGGCGAGTATGCCTGCATAGCCGAAAACCGTGCGGGCCGAGTGCAGCATGCGGCCCGCCTGAATATATATGGTAAGTGTTGTACTCACACTTAAAGCCCTCTATATTTATGCATTCATGTGTGGTAAGTGCTAGAATTCACTGTCCTTTATCCCTGCGAAAATAAATCCAAATAAATATTTTATGAAGCCGCAACTTCAGCTTGATCGCTCCAGAAGAGTCCTTTGATATTACAAGTAGCTCAAAGAAAAGTAATGGGGAATGCCACACCATTTTATAGCATAATCGAAAGATCCAACTGATCGTACCCTATTCGATTCGTGCAGCCTCCGTTTGGCATTCAAGCACGACTCTTTAGTGGAGTATCTACATATGTATATCTAGCATGGGCAGCTACTTTACACAGGCACTTAAACGTTTTCCCTGGCGGGGCCTAGCTCTGCTGGTTCGCCTACATTTGCCTGATTTTGTTTTACAACACGTTTGCCATGTCCTACGTTCCCCCAGAATCCGTCTCCCCCCTGCCCCACCCCCCCACCATGTGCCCATCCAATCTTTGCTTTTGTGCCTTTGCAGCAGAGCAGTGAAGTGTTGTTCGAGGCGCACACTTTTGTTGAACATGGGGCTCTTGGCTCTCTGTACGCTCGCTCGGCTTTCGGCATTCGGCTGCAGTGCCTTTGGCCCACTCTGCACTGCCCGCACACCATCTGCCTTGTTTTTGCAAGAAATCAAATATTTTTGTGTCGCCAGGCAAACAAAATGGCGTTGCCAGGCACGGAACAAGCAGGCTGGAGGACAGCAGAGCAGAGCGGAGCGGAGCGGAGGAGCACAAACACAAAACGACAACAGCGGCAAAAACTGCGCCATGTTTACAAAGTTTTGCAGTGGAAAAGTTGAAAAATAAAGTCAAGAAAACTCGCAGAGCAGCCAGCAGCGAATTCTTAATGCTCTACAGGCACAAAATATATTATGGAAAACTTAGGATAAATTGAATAAATAGTCGCAATAGATTGCAAGATTAATATAATCTAACATTTCCATCATAATGATTATGGTATAGAATCTCTAGTGGAACTCCTACACAGAGCACAAAAAGACTGGCGGGAAACTTACGACTCTGCAGGCTGTAATGTGACAGTGGAAATTGAAAAGAGAAATCTGTGAGCCAGATAATCAAATAGAAAGTTCTGCATACTTACAAGTCTGTTAACAATTTCCGCATACCCCGCCAACATTGTCTGCTGGAAAAGGGGGAACGAACGAATCCCACTCCCACCATCATCATTTAGTTTAAAGCCCGGCGATGTCGCTGATTGCGCGACTTGGTAATGGCGGTGATTACAAAAATCTCCTACCGCCGTGCACTGCACACACATGAGCATGGGCATGGGCACGGACACCGGGACTCACGTATGACATGCTCGAAAATTATGCATACTGTGCAGAAAAAAAAATATATATATGGAACCCACATGGAATCCTCAACCACAATCCCTTTACCACGCCAACGCCAACTCCAACTCCCACTTTGCACTCCCTCGACAGCCGCCAGGGCCGACATTTGCTGCATTATTTCCTTCCACGTTTCCCGAAAAGTGTTTTGGCATAGGGGGGAATGGGCAGGCAGGCAGCCAGGATATGCATATTACATTGTGCACTGCTTCCGGTTGCCTGACTCCTTGCTCCCTGCTCCTTGCTCCCTGCTCCCTGCTGCTTGCTTTTACCTAAATGCAGTTGTAGCTGAAGCTGTAGCTGTAGTTGCAGTTGCTTACTGCATTATTAAAAACAAAGCAACGTGCGCTCAAATCAGTTAAGCATTTGCATTCCATCTCATTCTCTCTACTTATTGCTCTCTCTGTCTCTGTCACAGGTCTTCCGTACATTCGTCTGATTCCAAAGGTGACCGCCGTCTCGGGCGAAACATTGAATCTGAAGTGCCCCGTGGCTGGATATCCCATCGAGGAGATCCATTGGGAGCGCGGCGGCCGGGAGCTGCCCGACGACATACGGCAGCGTGTGCAGCCGGACGGCTCGCTGACCATCAGTCCCGTGCAGAAGAACTCCGATTCCGGCGTGTACACGTGCTGGGCCCGGAACAAGCAGGGCCACAGTGCCCGGCGCAGCGGCGAGGTGACGGTCATAGGTTAGTACTCACTCGTCCTCGTATGTGTGGGCACAGGCACAGAAAAACATTATGCTTTGCTGCCCTGTGTTCCCCCCACCCCAACGAGAGCACAGAGAAGAAGACCACCGGGTCGAGGTTGTTGCTTTCTTTCACAGATCTCTTCACAGCGATGACATCAGGCGGCGGGCCACCAAAAACAAAAACAAAACAAAACGAAACGAAGTGAAGTGAAAATTGCATTTTAATTATTAACAGCAAACTAAGTAGTTTCCCATGGCGCTTCAGGCTTTCCCTTTGCCAACCTTTTTGCGTTCGGATTCGTATTTTTTTTCTTCTGGTTCTGCTTAATTTTGTTTTTGTTTTGTTTCGGGTCTTCTGTTGGGTGTGTGTACTTTCTGGCCCCACTGTAATTAAGTATGCGCAATAATCTAAGCTTAAAAGTTTGTAAATTAAAAAGGAAGCAGTGGGAGTAAGCAGCGCCGGGTGGGTCCCTTTTTTTTTTGCTTTCATCAGAGTTAATGTTAATGAATTCGCGCCCTAATGAAGCGCGACGCTGATTAAATTTTCATAATTCGCAACCTTTTTTTTTTGTTGGCTGGACTCCGTCCGGGGATTTCTGCCCCGTTGAGCTCTGATTTGACTCCTTCTGCTTCCGTTTTGTGCTGACCGATTGCTTGACCGAATCCCTTGCAGTGCCGCCGAAGCTAAGCCCCTTCCAAACGAACATCCTGCAGCTGAATATGGGGGATCGCGCCTCGCTCACCTGCTCGGTGGTCAAGGGCGATCTGCCGCTGACCATCAACTGGCGCAAGGATGGCCGCCCCATCGATCCCACGCAGCACATGTCCGTGAAGCAGGTGGACCAGTACAACAGCATCCTGGTTATCGAGAATCTGGGCAGCGACCACACCGGCAACTACTCCTGTGTGGTGCGGAACTCGGCGGCCGAGGTGGAGAACTCTCAGGCCCTCCTGGTCAATGGTAAACACATGAGTCGGCCCGGCGTAGCTGGCTCTCTCAGCACAGCCTGAGCCTGAGCCTGCCGTTATCCCGTATACCAGTAATCCTGTTTAGTTGCAAGTAGTTGAGTTACTATATATATTTCCTTCCGTATGCACTTTGATTCATCACAAAAAAAACCACAAAAAAAAAAACACACACAAGCAGACCACCCGTTGAAATGCATATTCCTCCTTACTCCTCTCCACTGTAAATGATGTTTCGACTTTGGAATGTTTGTACAAATATCTGAGATACTTAATATACGTACCATATTTAGTAGCGTTTTCATTCGAAATGTGTTAACAAAACTGCGAAGGTTTAGCTGTAAATCAAATCTGCCATACCTATACGCCAGACCCATCGAATCAATTAACAATTTCACACAAAAGAAACACCGAATAGCAAACAGCGTGGGAATCAACGAATCGAATGGAAAATCATCATCAACAGTGTCTGCTGGCTGTCTTCATCATCAGTGGTGGAAGCCTCAACCAGATCCATTCTTAACCAGTTTCGCATGATCTTTCCCTCTTGCAGTGCCGCCGAGCATAGAACCCTTCGCCTTCCAGGAGGGCCTGGCCGAGGGCATGCGCACTCGCACCGTCTGCGGTGTATCGCGGGGCGACGCGCCCCTGAAGCTCATCTGGCTGAAGGATGGCGAGCCGCTGCCCGATCTGCTGGGTGCCAATGTGACCATGCTAGATCAGTACAGTTCGCTGCTGAGCATACCGTCGCTGTCGGCCACGCACTCCGGGGAGTACACGTGCGTGGCCAAGAATCCGGCGGCCGAGATCAAGTACACAGCTCTGTTGCAGGTCAAAGGTAGCGTACAAGGTTACACACTGAACGCCAACCAACTACCCCCCAACCCCCAATACACACACACACACACACACATACAATACATACACGAATATTAACTAAGCGATCTTCACTTGCCCCTCAAGATCTTTTTGCTTTCCCGCTGATGTATTCAAGAAAAGCTTCTTAATGGTTATTTTCCGTTGTTGATGATATTGTATATTTTTTTGGTTGATTTTTAAATAAACTAAGCTGTTGACTAGCTTTTTGGAGCAGCTTAACGCTGCCCCACTGTGGCTCTGGCTGTGGCTGTGGCCTGAGTACGAGCCCCAAGGTGCTTTGATTTTTTGAGTCTCACAAAAACCCCGATAACCCCCGCTCATAACTAAATGAAAGCCCTGCCCTGCGCTTTAAAACCCCCAAACATCAAAACTAATCTACATATAAGAGTCCATCCAATCCACCCTTAAGTCGCTTTGGCACGCTGTGGGTTTTTTGACAACAGTCTCTCACCAGGTAAACCGTTTAACTGCACTGCTTCTTATGCGCTTCGTAACCAAAACCAAAACCAAAAACAACAAACAACAAACAAAACCAAAAACAAAAAAAACCTTATTAAATTCTCACACACACATAATCCAGTATTGTATAATGTATATTTTTATTTGCTGAATATCATTTGAGTGGCTTCTTAGACGACAGTCGCGACAGGTGCACTATCCCAGCTCTCGCGCCGAAAATAACAAGGGGTGGGGGCAGACCGACACCACCCCCACCCCCACCCAAATCAAATTGAGTTTGTGGGAGTTTGGAGAGCGCACTGCATTCGTGATGCGCTGTAATTTATAATTTATACAAATACTCATGCATAAATATGGAACATAAGCTGCTTTAAGATTCATTTGCTTTATTCGCTTCATACTTTTTTTGGTTGCCGCATTCGCCTTTTGCCATTGCCTTTGCCTTTGCCTTCGCCTTCGCCTTCGTCTTCGTCGCTGATGTTGATGCTACTGTCGCTGCCGCTGCCGAACTCTCTCTCGCTCTGTCGCTGCTGTTGCTGCTGCTGCTGCTGTTGCATCTAGAAAATACTGGAGAAATGCAAAAAGTTTCCATTTGTTCTGCTCATTTTTGTTACCCCATTTCAACCATTCCCCAAATCCCTCGCAGTGCTGTGCACTGCTTAATTAACGAACGAGTGAAACAAAGCGAACGCTGCAAAAGAATGAACGAGCTACAAATCCCCCGAAGATGCCACAAAACACGCGCTTACGCTTCTTCCATTCGGCTTTGGTCGCTCTAATTGCTAACTCTCTATTTGTCTCTCTCTCTCTCTCTCTCTCGCTCGTGTATGCCTGTGTGAGTGAGTGCTAGTGCGAGTGACTGTACTCAAATTGAAAATGCATAAACATAATCTTGTTGCAGAGCAAAAAAAAGACACACCATTCCATCCATACATGCTACGATAGTAATACTGATAATAAAAAAAAAAGAAAAAACCCCCGCCCAGAACCTCAAAACGAGTTGAAAGAAGAAACAAAACCAAATAAATAGATAAGATTTAAAGCTTCGCAGTATTTGCTAATGTAGTTAGAATGAGTGTTTGTTTGTTCCACCCCCTCCCCATTCATAGCTAGTGCACTTTTTGTTTCCGCATGCAAACTGTACATACGAACTGCTGTACGATTGCTGCCGACTGCTGCATTGCATGCGCGTACTGCTGTGAAAAAATGAATTTTTATTTCCAATTATCTATGAGTTGCTTGCTCTCTTTTTCGTTCTTAAGCCCCTGTTTTCCGTTGGTTTTCCGTTTAACGATTACTTTGCTTTCCACACCCCCAAAACAATTGCTCCGCAAAGCGCTTTTCTCTGCCTGGAAAAATAAAATAAATACAAAAATTAATTAAAATTAAATATATATTCTTTTGACGAAGACAAATCCCAAATTTAATTTATTTTATTAGTTATCCCCAATGCTGCTGCTGCTGCTGCTGCTGTTGTTGTGTGCAATGATTTTTTCCCCCGCATTCGAAATATACTAACATATTTATACGATCCTGCTTTGTATCGTGCCAAAAAAGAAACCTGCAAAAAGAACCCAAAAAAAAAAGAGAAATTAAATCACCAGAAATACTCTTCATTAAATAGACCCGGGGGCCTGCTCTTAATTTAATTTATTGCGCCATATTTGATCCTTGTCCGGCTTTAATTTTAATTAATATTTTTTCTTTATTTTTATTTTGTTAGCGCTGCACAAACAAAAGCCTGGCAATTAAATGCAGCTGCTAAGTAAACATTTTCATTGGCCTCATGATTTATGGAACAATTTTGAAAACCATTCCCTGGGCGGAGGCGTGGCCTATCGAAGAGATTATCTGTGGAATTTCAGTTTTATTGGTTCGCTTTTTTCGTGTTTCGCCTGTGTTTTGTTAGCTGCGTGTCCAAAACTATAAACACCCCACCCCCTCCCCACATAACGTTCCATTTGTGTTGCGAATTTCATAATTTCCATGCAAATATATTTTTCAATTTCCATTGCGCTTCTGGCATGCCTTTGTTTTATAATTTATGCGCAATATATACCAGAATATATTTAACTCGTTTTTTTTTTTATTTGCCGAATTTGTTGTCCCACAAACAACGAAACAGCGAGTCACAGAGCGTGGGCGAACAAAAACCAAACTTAAATGTGAATAAAATTCAAATTGAAATTCAAATGAAAATGAAAATGAAAATCCTTGCACACCACCAACAAATCACATTCAATAATTTTCCCATGGACCTCCCATCAATAAAATACTCTTAAATAATGAACAACAAACAAAACGAAAGCATCGACAACTACTATGTATTATTTTTCGATTTTTCGATTTTTGACTAAGTTGCATATGAAAACTGATTTTGTATTTGATTTTCAAGCAAACCACCCGAGCAAACTATCCTTTTGTACATTAGTTGAAAGTTCCTCCTACTACATACTCTACCTACTACTATATGCTACCAAGTTTTCTGCAAAGTTTTTACATTTGTGCTAGGCACAAGGAAATCCAAAAGAACGTAAACCAAACAAATTATTTTCTGCCGTTTTTACTTTGCCAGAACTCTTCACTTTTCCTCTCTCTCTCATTCTGTCTCTGTCTCTATCTAAGTCTAAGAACCTTTACTCTCTCTCTATATGTCCTAGAAATTTTCATTTGAACACAGTTCCAATCTTAAACGCTATTAACCAATATATTGCATTACCCATACGCCCCGTAGTGCCGCCGCGCTGGATTGTCGAGCCAGCGGACGCGAACGTGGAGCGAAATCGTCACATAATGCTGCACTGCCAGGCCCAGGGTGTGCCCACGCCCAGCATTGTCTGGAAGAAGGCCACAGGTGAGACACCGCCCCACCCACAGGATCCCCCAAAAGTCCGAGGTCTCACCCCACTGTCACCCCGTTTGCAGGCAGCAAGTCCGGGGAGTACGAGGAGGTTCGGGAGCGTCCCTTCACCAAGCTCCTGGCCAACGGCTCGCTGCTGCTGCAGCACGTTAAGGAGGATCGGGAGGGCTTCTATCTGTGCCAAGCAAACAATGGCATCGGCACCGGCATCGGCAAGGTCATCCAACTGAAAGTGAACTGTGAGTATCTCGCGCCTCGGGGGAGGCTAGTCTCCGCAGTGTGGTTACATTTCGAAATACTCTCACACTTGCAGCCTCACCGTACTTCTCCTCCACGTCCCGCTCGGTCACCGTGAAGAAGGGCGACACGGCGCTGCTGCAGTGCGCCGTGAGCGGCGACAAGCCGATCAATATTGTCTGGATGCGCTCTGGGAAGAACACGCTCAACCCGTCGACCAACTACAAGTGAGTGCAGTCAACGGGATGAGCGTAGGAACCCTCTTACGGACAAGTTCAATCTTTGCTTTCAGGATATCGGTTAAGCAGGAAGCCACTCCGGACGGAGTCTCGGCTGAGCTGCAAATACGCACCGTGGATGCCACCGACAGTGGGCCGTATTTCTGCAGGGCCAGCAATCTGTACGGCAACGATCAGCAGCTGGTGCAGCTGCAGGTGCAGGAGCCACCACAGCCGCCCAGTGTGCTGGAGGCGGCCATGATAAGCAGCCGATCGGTGAACCTCAAGTGGCAGCCCAAGTCCCTGGGCACCGGCGATGTGTCCAAGTACCTGGTGGAGTACCGCGAGGCCGATCGTAAGTGCCGACAGAGAAACTTCCCTGCCAACAATGAATGATTTATTTTCTGCCTCATCCTCCGCCAGCAGCATTGTTCGTGGAACAGTGGCAGCAGCTGGAGGTCAAGGATCCGCCCTCCTTCAACGCTTTGATCGAGAACCTTAAGCCGGCCACTAAGTACGCCTTCAGGGTGATAGCCGAGGGCAATGCGGGACGCAGTGCACCCAGCCAGGAGCTGGTTGTGCGCACAGAGCCACAGCGCCCAGCGGGCCCGCCCCTTAATCTATCCGTCAGACCTCTGTCCTCCACGGAGCTGCTGATCAGCTGGGTGGCACCGCTGCCAGAGCTGCGACACGGCGACATCCAGGGCTACAATGTGGGCTACAAGCTGGCCAGTTCCGGCAACACGGCCTACAACTTCACCTCCGTTTCGGGCGACGGCGATGGCGGCAGCGGGGAGCTCCTGTTGAGCGGACTGGCCAAGTTTGCCCGCTACAACGTCGTGGTGCAGGCCTTCAATCAGGTGGGTCCGGGACCCCTTTCCGAGCCGAGCGCAGCGCAGACCATGGAAGATGGTGAGTATTTCCTCGGGTCCCCAATCTTTCAAAGATATTAACCCTCTCCCCGCTCTACCCGCTTCAGTGCCCAGTCGTCCGCCGGAGGATGTGCGCTGTGCCGCCCTGTCCTCGCAGTCGCTGCAAGTGTCGTGGCAGCCGCCGCCGATATACCACACGAACGGACTGCTGCAGGGATACAAGCTGGTCTTCGAGCCCGTCATGGACGACATTCTGCCCAGCAAGGACGAGGTGGAGTCCCGCAAGACAACGGCCCTGACCATGGTGCTGACGGGTCTGCGAAAGTACACGAACTACAGCATCCAGGTGCTGGCCCACACACGCATGGGCGACGGCTCCGTGTCCAAGGCCCTGTTCTGTCACAGCGAGGAGGATGTGCCCGAGGCGCCGGCCGACATCAAGGTGGTGGTGAGCACCACACAGTCGCTCTACATCTCCTGGCTGCCACCCACCGAGCCCAATGGCGTCATCACCAAATACAGCCTGTACACGCGCGTCGTCAACGGGCGGGAGGAGCTGAACAACGAGAAGCGGAGCCTGCCATCGCAGCAGCACTTCTACGAGTCGAAGGGGCTGCATCCACACATGGAGTACCAGTTCTGGGTGACGGCCAGCACGCGCGTGGGCGAGGGCAAGAGCTCCAGGGTGGTCTCCCAGATCACGACCAATCGGGTGCCGGCCAGAATCATCTCGTTCGGGGGGCCGGCGGTGCGGCCCTGGCGAGCAACAGTAACGCTGCCCTGCACGGCGGTGGGCAAGCCCAAGCGCGAGTGGTTCAAGTCGGACGTGGCCCTGCGCCAGGGCGGACTGCACAACTCGCAGCTGCTGGACTCGGGCGACTTGATCATCAACAACCTGCAACTGGCGGACAGTGGCAACTACAGCTGTCAGGTGGATAATGGCATTGGCACGGACCGTCTCACCCACACGCTGCTGGTGCAGGTGCCGCCCTCCGCTCCGGTGCTGTACGTGACCAGCGCCACCTCGAGCAGCATCCTGATGCACTGGAAGTGCGGCTTCACCGGCAACGCCCCCATCACTGGCTACACCCTGTTCTACCGGCGCGGCTCGGGCAACACGGACGAGATGCAGCTGTCGCGGCACGCCTCCAGCCACGAGCTGAAGGGCTTGGTCTGCGGCAGCACCTACCAGATCCACCTGAGTGCCCAGAACAAGGTGGGAACCTCGCCCACCAGCATCATGCTGCACGTGCGCACCCAGGGCCAGGCGCCGGGCATGCCCGCCTCCACCAGTCTGCTGTCCCCCAACTCCACATCGGTGCTGATCCGCCTACACACCTGGCCGGACAATGGCTGCCCCCTCATGTACTTTGTGCTGCAGTACCGCGCCATGACCGACGATCCCGAAACGGAGTGGGTGCTAGGTGAGTGTGCACACAGCTGGCTATTGATGGACTCCACATGGACTACGATGTTCCCTTTGCAGTGTCCAATGCCCTCAAACCGCAGCGACGTGTGACCGTGTCCAATCTGCAGCCGTCGACGCTCTATCAGATGCGCATGGAGGCGCACAATGTGGCTGGAGCCTCGCAGGCGGAGTTCTCGTTCGTGACGCTGACCAAGGACGGCGACCCACCGCCGCCGGAGATCGTGCAGCGGGGCCAGCGCGGTCCGACCGTCTTCTATGGCAACATCAACCTGCTGATACCCAGCATAGCGGCGCTCTCGGGCATGATCTGCACCATCGCCATGGTCATCATTTGCTACAGGCACAGTAAGTATATTGGGGGTGGGGGGTGGGAGTAGGTGGCTCTCTTTCAGGGAGGATGACGCTCCTAATTGACTCAGTTCTGCACCCTGCTCCGTCGCCCGCAGAGCAAAGCAACCACATACAAAAGGAGTCGCTGGAGAATCGTGCCAATTCGGAGGCGGCGCAGCGTGAGCGCTACTACGCCACCATCCATAAGGTTTCCATGCAGAACAATGACAAGATTCCAGGTACATTAAGTGGCGTGTGGAGTCAGCAGTCGTCACTCATTGCTTTGTATTGTATTTGGCAGAAACCTCCGAGGACATCTCGCCGTATGCCACCTTTCAGCTGTCGGAGGCGGGCAACATGTCCCAGCCGCATCACAGCGGACCGGCCAACACGCTGCTGCACTCGTTCATGTACCATGAGAGGGCCTTGGCCGAGGGCTGTTCATCGCCACCACCAGCTGCGGTACTAAAACCAACCACCCATCACCACCACAACCACCACAACCAACGTCCTCCAAAGACAATTCATAATTATTATCAGACCTCACCGTTTCATAATATCGTGCGTTTGTTTAATCATTTCCTTGATTTAGCTCTCTCTCTCTCTGTCGCTCTGTCTGTCTCTCTGTCTGTCTCGCTCTTTGTACTCGTGCCTCTGGCTCTGTCAGTGGCTCGACAATTAGTGTTTTTCCCCCACACCCCGTAATAATGTAACGTGCTTTTTATGTTGTTCTGCTCGATTATCCTTTTTGTTTTATCCTCGATATCCTCGATTCCCGAAAATCCCTTAATTGCAATGCCACATAAATACGAAGTTGTGCGGGGGGCGGGCGAGTGCTTGCCCCCTGCTTCCACCGTGTCACCTGCCAATCTTGAGTTCTCCCTTTGTTCGTTTCGAGAGGCGTTCCATTCCCCACGGCGCTTCCGTAGTCGCTAGTTTCAGCCACCGGCCGACAGACAGACAGAACCCACTAATTCCCTTTGCTCTGTTCCATGTGCAGTCCAAGAACCGAAGACGCCACTCGCGCAAGACCGAGCCGGAGAGCGAGGAATCGGAGTCGGACCAGGACCAGCTGACCTCCAGCCGCACCGAGTCTTCCAACCAGCACGAGGGCAAGATCAAGCACAGTAAGTTCCAGTCGTTTGGGCTCTGAATTTATTTCTTTCTTTCCGATTGGATGGACACTCAAATCATTTACACTAAATTACTTTAGTTGGCTTTTCTTATGTACTTTTGGGGGAGAACACAGCAGAAGAAATATACTAAATATGTTGGCGAATCTATTCAGTATTCAGAGAGTATACTCGTGTTTTCTCCCTCGGGGTACCCTTAGTTTTCGGAGGCTTTGAAATGATGTAATCTGCCAGCTCTGCTCTGCTCTGCTCTCTTCTTTTGTGTTGCTTTGTTTTTGCAGACTCTAGACTAATGCAACCCTTTCCAAATCACAATATCTCGATAACATATCTGTAGTATGTCGTGCAGCAGACATGTCACATGCCACATCCACTGACACAGCCACCAAAATCAACACCACCAACCGAATCCGACCAACACCAAGACTATGTTAGCCCTAAGCCTAGACCTAAGCTACCGATAAGTTGTATGTGTGCCCCGCTCCAAACAACTGCTCTTTCTATCTGCCCGATATCGATTTTCGTTTCTTTTCTCCACCGTTCTTTTCTCTTCCTCTCGCTCCAAACCGAACCGTACCGAACCGTATCGAACCGTATCGAACCGCATCGAACCGCATCGAACCGCATCGTATCCGTATCCGTATTCGTGCCGCATTCGTTGTGTGTTGCAGGCATCATCTACCATGGAGCACAATCAAGCACATCCTCCGACCTGTCGCCAATGTCCGAGCAAAAGTCACTGCCGCGACGCGGTCGCTCCAGGTATCATCATCAGCAATATCAGTTTTCCACCAACACCACACCGCGCCACCACAACAGCAATAAAATGAACAACAACACCACAAACACCACTGCCACAAATACAGCCACATCATCCGGAAATTCAAGCAAAATTCTATCTCCACGCGGCGTTGGCGGCGTTGGCGGCAATCTGAAATCCATATCGAGCACCTTCAAATCACAAGACTCCATACAATGCCACATACCCACATTGGTCAAATCGCCATCGATCAGCACACAGCAACAGAAACAGTTCCACAAACAGCAGATAAATAATAGCCAAAACCAAAACCAAAACCACAATCAGATTCAGATTCAGAATCAAAGCCATAGCCATAACCATAACCATAACCATAACCCCAACCAGACCAGTAGTAGTTTGAAGCAACAGCAGCCCCTCTTGATCACGCCCAAGCTCCACCAGCTGGAGTCCGTACCATCATCGTCGATGCATGTGAATGGTCAGGAGCTGGTGGGCCTCGATGGCGTTGTCGGTTGTAGTCCCCTAGCATCCGTTGTGCCTGTGACTTGCATGCCCCCATCCTCACAGTTCCGACCCATACCACACAAGTCCATAATGCCCGCGCATGAGCCACCGCACCACCATCAGCATCAGCATCAGGGCGTTGCTGCCACAAGCGGCACGCTGCTGAACCCCTCGACGGCCCTGCTCTCGTCCAAGTTCTTTACAGCGCCCACGCTGCCCAAATAGGATACGGCCAATGGGGGGGGGAGTGAATATGTTGGCAGGGAGGCCATGGCCATGGGAATAGCTGGCGGGGGAGTTGGAGGCGGTGGTGGCTTCGGCTACGACAGCGGCGAGATCTCCTGCACCTACATGGATCCCATAGATCAGACATGAGACTTGGCCTACGGTGAGGTGTGTGGACCCGAGGGAGCCCATTAATCTGGCCGAGACACCGAGAACACCACCACCACCACCACCACCACCAACACCACAACAACAACAACAACAATCCACTAAGTCTTAACTGAAAGCTTGAGCTGAGCTTGAGCTGTGGTTGCGCTCTTGCACACCAACTGTTGAACCAACTCTGGACTCTCTCTTGTCTGTCTGTCTTGTCCCCCTTCCACACGCTCTCACATGCCTCCCACGTGCGCAGGGCTGGCATCCTGCGAACGCTGCATCCGCTCCAGCTGCAGGCCGAGTGCACCCCCGGTGCCTTCCACCACGCCGAGGAGGGGCTGGGCGAGCGCATCGAGCTGGCAGAGGTGGAGTGCGATGTGGACACGATCAAGAAGCTAAAGCTCGGCCAGCGATCGTCGCTCTGGTCGCGCCCCTCCTCCACCACATCCCAGTTGCAGCAGGAGCACCAACAGCAGCAGCAGCACCACCACCAGCAGCAGCAGCAGCAGCAACGACAGCAGCAACAGCAGCCACCACACAAGAGGGCGCATTCCAAGTCGCCGCAACCGCAGCAACAGCAGCCATTGCAACAGCCACGCCCACAACAACATTCACCCGCTCCAGGCCAGAAATTGCTTAGCGAGAAATCGGATTACTCGATATCCGTCTGAGACATTGGTAAGATCTGATCGCAGGATCAGCATATAGGATGAGGCCCTGGCCCTGCCCTGGCCCTGTAGTAGAAGGGAATTGAGCTATTCCGCAGCCGGGCCGTTTTTTGTACATTTTATAATGCATTTGTTACCTTGCCCAACCAAAACCCAGAACTCCCAGACGCCTGTACCCCACCCCACCCCAACCAGGTTGACCCCGTAACCAGTTTGCCAATCCAACCAAAAAAAAAAACCCCACGATACCTACCCAGTCACACAATGACACAGTGAAAACTTTCGGACAATCAATATCAAAATTCTGCACAACCATCCAAAAACGAGAATACTCAACAAAAACACATCCCATTGCAATCTCTCTCCTACCCCGTATATATATATAGAGGTCATACTCGTACTCGTACTCGTAATCGTACCACAACATACCCCATATGTATATCTAAGTATTAATAATTGTGCATGCACATACATACATACATACATTCATATGTATGCAGATGTATTTGTATTTGTATTTGTATATGGCATGTGTCCAGAACCCAGGTCAGTTGTCGAACTTCCACAAATGTTGTATGTACATACATATATACTAACGTAGTCCTTTAAGTACATATAGTATATACCTATCAATTAACAACTAATGCGTGTATCACTCGAAACTGTAACTCAGACTACTACTAACTGCAAAAACACTAAACTATCCAATACTACATACAGCTTGGGTATTGTAGAAGTATCGAAATTGTACTCGTGCTCGTACTCGTACTCGTACCGGAACTGTCTTTCATCGTGTGTACTCGTATTTTAGAGTGCGAATCCCCCTCTCCAATACGAGTATTACTGAATACTTTGGGCTATAGCAGCTGCTACTCCTAAGTAGTTTTGTAGGTTTTGAGTTTTTAGCGGGCGAAAACGAGGAATCTGGGTACATAACTCAGAATTATGCTGTGTACAAATTGATATGTATTGTATATTTATGTGGGTGTCTAAATAATGCTCAAGTATGTATGTATATAGGTAGGTATGGTATGGTATACACCAAGGTACACAAAACGAAGAATCGATCTACTTATCTAGTTGTTAGCGAATCTACATATTGATATATTTTGTAAATAACCACAAGGCAACCACGTAAATGGACTGACAAATGATGCATGCATGACTCCAGAAACTCCAGAAAACCAACAGAAAATCACAATGAACAATGTTAACTAAATGTAGCTCGAAGTATGCAAGTCGATTGTTTCGCCAGCTGAAGCAGTATATTCATATATAATATGACACAATATCGCAGTATCCACTCATTAGTGTTTCCATTACAATAAACAAACTGTCGTTCGTCGAGTTGTAGATAAATGTTTTTAAAAAGGATGAAGAGAATGTGAAGGGCTAGGGGAAAGTAGAATCAAATACCAAATCGTAATCAAACTTTGAAATATTACAAAACACTCAATCAACAAGCAGCAGCGGTGCAGTGCAGTGCAGAACGCCACGTTAAGAGCAAACAAACAAACTACAAATTAATATATAGCTCTTAGTTTGTATCGAATAATCCACATAATACGAGTACATAGCTGTATTTTAACTAGTCTACAAATACATAAGAAAATCCATATACCACAATACTACAACAGCAGCCAGAATTAAATAAGGAACAGATCAGACGACCCCATTCGGAACCATGTGCCAAAATTTGTTTTTAGACAAAGCTCTCTTAAATTATACAATACAAGTACAATAAATAAGTGAGACACTAAATCCACAAGATAAAACTGCAGATTAAGGTGTTCAATTTATGGAGCATTAATTCTTTCAAGAGCTTCCCATTTGCTGCAGAACAACAGAGATCCAGGGATCCAGGGATCCGAGCACTTCTTCTTTAAAATGCCGCACTAGCGATGCAGATGTTTAGTCCGTTTTTTATATGAATTTATTTATACGATACAAGGAAATGGTTTATTACATTCACATCGAATTTTACGAATTTATTAAACAACAGCAAAGTCTAAAAATCAAAAGAGAAATTACTTAATAGATCACAATCAAAACGAGAAGCAACAACAAAACCAAATCTAAGAAGGGAAAAACAAATTTTTATGTTTAACATATAATTAGCACAACAACTACAAAATAAAAACTATTAATGTAAAAACAAACAGCATTTAAAAAATATAAGAAATATTTAAAAATAAATTCAAATACCCCGCATTTTTTTTTATGACAATTAGCAGCAGTATGATCTCATCAGCATCGGTCGTGTCTGCGACTGCATGAAATCTCATTTCTAAACATTTACAGAGCAAACTTTTGCGATAAGGTTGGCGTGGATGCGTGCCCTATAAAAACCCTAAGAGGCATGTTCGCTTTAAGCAGTATAATTCGACTAGCCAAGGGAATCGGATTTAACCAGCGAACGAAAATGCTGCAACCTTCTAGCGGAACTCGTGAGATAACTGCCGAGGGAAGGGTACCCCTAGCATGTCGAAATTGCAGCGGTCAATTGCCCCTTCACGCACCTGTAGAGGTTGAGGACATTGGCACACCCGTAAAAAAACTCCAGAGTGCCCAGACTAAGCCGGAATCTGCCAGGAACGGAATTTGGAAGACTATCCTCCACAAAGCAATTGCTGGTCCAGCTGAATCTTTGGTTCTTTTGAGTCAATTATGCTTCGTGATGCCAATGAAACTCAACAGGAAAATGGACCATATTGGCATCTAATCGGGAAGAATGCCCCTGCTTACACCACTAGCCCCTTAATAAAGAAAAATCAGTTTAATAGATGTAAATTTTTTAAATTTTTATTGCTTATTTTTGTATTTTTGTTGATAAATAATGGGTAATAAGAGATTTATCAAACCAGGTGCTACTCACACTGAAATCCGAACGGGCAACGCCAAGGGCAAGGCAGTGGGTCGTCGAGGATTTGTGTAAGACCTGGAACGAGAACGGCCGTGGGATCGGCCACGAGAGTGACCACGGGAGCGACCACGGGAGCGGGAACGATCCCGCTTGCGATCGTCACGAATGTGTCTCCGTCTGGAAGTCCTCTCCTTCGCCACAGCAATGAGCTCGCAATCGCTGGCACTGCCATCGCTGTTGGAGCTGTTGGAAGACGAAAGAGTGGCAGGATGATGACCCTTGTGTCGTTTACCTCCTGCAGAATGTCGGTGCTTCGACTTGATTTCCCTCCTGTGCTGTCCATCCCGTTGAGATTCCGGACTGGCCTGTTGGTTCTGAAGTTGCTTCATCACATCCTCCAGCATTTTCTGGGCTATTTTAGCCTTGCGTATTAACTTGTTAAGCGGAAGAGTACCCATGTCCTCCACCTCTACGGGTGTGGCATGTGGCAGTTGACCGCTGCAATCTCTGTATTCCTTGGGCGCAGTTTGCTTACTTTCCACGCTATCTGGCTGCGACATTTTCACTCTAGTTTTCACCTGTTTTAATAATAATACGACTAACACCTTACTGTCTCCGCTTTTGCCGTTGCTGCTGCTGCTGCTTCACTGGAACACAAACAAATGATAACTTGTTCAATGCTGCCCAACCTTTTATACGCGACAAGCTTATCGCGGCTTTTGGCTTTGTAAACGTGCGCCTTCGCACGCTCATCGGTCACGCTGCTTGACGTCATCGAGTCTATTTTTATACCCGTACTCAAAAAAGAGTTAAGGGGTATATTAGATTTGTGGTAAAAGTGGATGTGTGTAACGCAGAGAAGGAAACGTTTCCGACCCCATAAAGTATATATATTCTTGATCAGCATCAATAGCCGAGTCGATAGAGCCATGTCTGTCTGTCCGTCTGTCCGTCTGTCCGTCTGTCCGTCTGTCTGTCTGTCCGTCTTGTTGAGCGCCTAGATCTCAGAGACTATAAGAGCTAGGGCAACCAAGTTTGGTTTCCAGACTTATGTGATATCACACTGCTACAAGTGTATTCAACGCCCCGCCCCCTCCGCCCCCACAAAGGACGAAAATCTGTGGCAGGCACTTTTAAAGATACGATAAAACTAAAACGCAGTATCGTAGAGAATGCCCATACCTACCAACTGCCGAATCTGAATCAGATCGGATCATAATTATAGCCAGAATGAAGAAATTAATTTTCAGTTGCTTCCCCCCCCACCCACCGAGACAACACAACTCATCCCCGCCCACACTCTGCCGCGTTCAGTCCGCGCAACCCCTAGCGGGGATGTAGAATCAAATGGACATGTACATTGTACAATCTACATGTTAGTGTAAATATACATTGTAGATGTAGATGTAGATATCAGATGTACAAAAAAATGTAAAATGTAAATTTTTCTAAAATCTAAAAAATCATAAGTCAAAAATGTATATACTGACTGAGTACGGGTATAAGTAGAGTCGCGTCCCCAGAAGCGACTCGCACGTTCCTTCTCGTTATCTTATGATTTCATAGCCATGCGAAATATTGTTGTTCTTGCTGTAGATATATCACGTGATTCGAAATTTGCCTAATTTCGCCAGAAACGTAAAAGATTACAAATACAATTAAAATAAAAAGGGTACTAATAAATTTTGAAAATTAGTTTCAAAATGTTGCCATTGATCCTAGTGCTCCGAATCAAATTCGTACATATATTCTTCGACTTAATTCTTTCTTTTCGAACTGCTCCTTCCGATTCCATGCTATCCTGCGCTTAAGACCAATAGTGGGTCCTTTTTTTAATTAGAAAATATTTTGATATTAAAACTATTTCAAAAAATGCTGAAAAACTTCACAACCTATTTAAAATTGATTTTTAGTGCTCATTGACAATAGACAAAAGCTGACAGATATAAAACGAATAATTATAATTGCTCGCTGACAAAAGCTGACTGATATGAAACGAAGAAATTCTAATTGCTCGCTGACAAAAGCTGACTGATATGAAAGGAAAATATTGTAAATTGTCTCTGACAAAAGCTGACTGATATGAAACGAAAAATTCGAAATGCTCGCTGACAAAAGCTGACTGATATGAAACGAAAATTTATAATTGCTCTTTGACAAAAGCTGACTAATATGAAACGAAATATTCTAATTGCTCGCTGACAAAAGCTGATTAATATGAAACGAAAAATTCGAATTGCTCGCTGACAAAAGCTGACTGATATGAAACGAAAAATTCGAATTGCTCGCTGACAAAAGCTGACTGATATGAAACGAAAAATTCTAATTGCTCGCTGACAAAAGCTGACTGATATGAAACGAAAAATTATAATTGCTCGCTGACAAAAGCTGACTGATTTGAATGGAAAAAATTGTAAATGCTCTCTGACAAAAGCTGACTGATATGAAACCAAAAAGCCTAATTGCTCGCTGACAAAAGCTGATTAATATGAAACGAAAAATTCGAATTGCTCGCTGACAAAAGATGACTGATATGAAACGAAAAATTCTAATTGCTCGCTGACAAAAGCTGACTGATTTGAATGGAAAAATTGTAAATGCTCTCTGACAAAAGCTGACTGATAAGAAACTAATAATACTAATTGCTCGCTGACAAAAGCTGACTGATATGAAACCAAAAGGACTAATTGCTCGCTGACAAAAGCTGACTGATATGAAACGAAAAATTCTAATTGCTCCCTGACAAAAGCTGACTGATTTGAATGGAAAAAATTGTAAATGCTCTCTGACAAAAGCTGACTGATATGAAACGAAATATTCTAATTGCTCGCTGACAAAAGCTGATTAATATGAAACGAAAAATTCTAATTGCTCGCTGACAAAAGCTGACTGATATGAAACGAAAAGTTCGAATTGCTCGGTGACAAAAGCTGACTGATCTGAAACGAAAAATTCTAATTGCTCGCTGACAAAAGCTGACTGATTTGAATGGAAAAAATTGTAAATGCTCTCTGACAAAAGCTGACTGATAAGAAACTAAAAATACTAAATTGCTCGCTGACAAAAGCTGACTGATATGTAACGAAAATTTCTAATTGCTCGCTGACAAAAGCTGACTGATATGTAACGAAAATTTCTAATTGCTCGCTGACAAAAGCTGACTGATATGAAACGAAACATTCTAATTACTCGCTGACAAAAGCTGACTGATTTGAATGGAAAAAATTGTAAATGCTCTCTGACAAAAGCTAGCTGATATGAAACGAAAAATACTAATTGCTCGCTGACAAAAGCTGACTGATATGTAACGAAAATTTCTAATTGCTCGCTGAAAAAAGCTGACTGATATGTAACGAAAATTTCTAATTACTCGCTGACAAAAGCTGACTGATATGAAACGAATAATTATAATTGCTCGATGAAAAAAAAATACCCAAAATATTTGGTTTGAGATTCAAACAAATACCATGCAAATAATACAAATAATTATTGATATCGAGAAAATCGATCTATATATGTCATCGATATATCGTTTAGGATTTTGATAGTATCGATAAATATATTTTATGGTATTTTAAATACTTTAAGGTATTTTTTGACGACTCATTGTTTATTCATTCCGTTTCCGCAAGATACATTTGATTTGTATGGGAAAATTTTCAGCAACATGGGGAAATGAACTAGCAGCATTGTTCTGCAACTTTGGCACGATATGAGCAACAAATCTGAATACCTTGGGATATGGATATTATAGGATTGAAGTAATGTTTGTAATCTCAGGCTCCAATTAATGCAGAAACTACTCAGTCTCTGTTTTAAAGATATTGAGGAATTTTTTGCAGCTTATGGGTGCCAATAATATAAATCGGGACCGGGATATATGTATATACAAAACACAAATCAAATGCAAAACATGTCAATCTAAGAGAAGTTCAGTATCAATGTTTTACAGCAGCTTGGAACAACAAATTTAACACTAAGTAAAGGAAATAGGGTATACAAAAGTCCATACGCATGCAGAAACTTGGTCGACTATCAACAATGACGGAGTGTGACCGGAGTTCAAAATTACGTTTTATGTTTGAACCTAATTATGTAGATAATACAATAAAAAAGAGTCTGAGAACTACCCAATCTTGTACAACATTTATTGATGAATGGGATAAAATGATTAGTTTACGGCTGAGAAGGCTAACTAGCTAGTAATATCTAACCGAACATCAAAATCGGGGAAATGGATCCATATTAGGCTAATTTTCTTCGGTATATTTACGGTATATTTCTGGGGTATTTTTATGCTCACAATTTAAACACAAAAATGAGTCGGGGGAGCGTGAATTGCTCTCTTTCGACTGGGTCATGGCAAGGTATGTATTAAAACAGCCAACTTTTTTTAAGGGCCTCGTAAGGACCTCACCCTGTCCCCGAAGGACCTGAATATACCGTGGGTGCGCATGAAAATTGATTCATCTATCTAATAAAATTATATTTTCAGCTATTAAAGTCCTAACTAGCTAGTAATATTAAAACGAATATCAAAATCGTTTCGTGTCCTTCAGTATATTTACGGTATATTTTGTACAATGACAAGGTATATTTCTGTGGGTCACACGGGTATATTTTAGCGACAACTCCGCGGTCACACTTGTAAACAAACTTTTTTTAATTTGAACATGTACGTACAGCGTTGTCGCGCGTGAATAAAACCCATTTGTTTCAACCTGAGACTTGAGCGGTTGTGTTGCTGCGCGAGCGCGCGGTATTTAATTGAAAATTCGCTTAAAGTGTGCAACAAAGTCGACTAAAACGCTTGCAGCAGGTTATTGATCAACTATTGTTCATATTATTTTTATACACGTACTATAAATATTGTATATGTACATTGGATTCCCGTTTGAATACTCGCTCTTTGCGCGCGCTTGTGTGTGTCTTACTGTGCCGTGCGGCCCCTGAATGTGAACGGGTTTCGGTTTTCTGTGAAGCCTTATGGATGGCAAACGCGAGGCTGGCCCCAGGCCCCAGACCCAATAAAAGCGACACAAGGCTGGCTTTTCCTTAATGCCAAAGCCTCCGCCTGTAAATGCCACAGAGACCCGTTGTTCTGCAGATTGATTGAATCGATTTTTCCATTAAAACACTGCTGCTGCTGTTGCTGCGGTAAATGTGAGTGTGTGGTGTGTGTGTGTGTGTGTGGGTCCTGCGAGGACTCTATACAAATAAACCATTTGGTTAGGTAAAACGAAACGAAAGAACAATAGGCCCTGGAGGAAGCCGCAGCAGGAACTCGACCTCGTCCTTCTTCCCGTCCTTTCCAGCTGCTGCAGCTGTTGCCGCGCGCTTGTTGTGTGTGTGTGTGTGTGTGGTTGTGGACTGGAACGATCATTCCCGTGCCTAGGCGTGTGTGAGTGCACAAAATTTGAGCAAATTCCGTCCGCGAATCCGCAAATTGCCATCCATTTCTGCACCAACGGAGCCAGCCACACGAGAGAGGAGAGCGACAGAGGCAATAGAATCGAAAGAGAATGCTCTGGGAGGCCCTCTGACATTTCCATCATCTTCATCATCTCACCCCTCTGGAGGAAGAGCGCTGATACCGTCTCCCCACTACTCGCCTCGCCTCGCCTCCCTCTGCTGCTGCTTCGCTGCCGCTGCCGCTGACGCTGCTTCTGCTGCTCTGTGGGTGAGTACTCTCAAAATATTCGCGGGTAGAAAGTTGTTATGGAATACCATGAAGCTGGAGTGGGAGTGGAAGCGCTCCCTCTGGGTGGGGGGCAGGTCATAGGTGTCTCTTTCTCTCTCTCTCTTGCTCTGTGGTTGCCTGGCGTCGCCTTGTCGTGGTTTTAAGCTGGGTATTGTAGCTCTGCTTTTTAGCAGACATTAAAAGGTCAGGGCAAGCCGACCCCCGGGGCTTCCGTATTGTGTATCCTGGGCACGTCCCGCGCGCGCTTCATTATGCGTGTTGCAAGCACTTGCATGACATCGTCGATAATCGATTTCGAAGCGACAAGGCAATCAGGAAGAGGTGCAATTGTCAATCAGCCAAGTCAATCAGTGGTTTGGCCAAGAGCCGGTTAGTGTTTAGCATAGTCATGATTATGGGGAGCGGACGTTGCAACCGCTATTCCATAATGCGACACTTTTGCGGAGCTCTGGCGCTGTGGCGCTGTGGAGCAGTGGATCAGTGGGGGGAGCCATGGAGTTGGCGGAGTAGCGACTCCAGGAAGCCGCTAATTAAGCTTCAATTAATGCAGTTTCCGCTGAGCTGAGAGTCGCTACACTTTCCCCCCTTTTGGTTTATGTGTGACACATGCCCCTATCATACGGCCGCCTATCAGCCACTTTCCAATTTTCACCAGAGCAACAATAGTACTTAATGTTATCTAGCGACTGCATTTTCAAAGAACTCCCTCAGACCACGCCCTTATCACAGAGCCCGATAACAGGCCTATAAATGTCCGATTTCTGCCAGCCCAATCGCTATATGTACGAGTATTGTACAGACTCGTAATATATATACTCGTAATTCGCGATAAACAAGTTTTAAATGTGCGAAATTTAGCAGTCCGGCCAGTTCTTTCAGCCGAAATGTTGCTGTATATAATATATGGTATATGTACATACATACATATGTGTGTCTGGGGAGGTTCTTTTGTGCCACATTCAAGGTCAGTTGAACGCCCTGCTTTAGGGCTTATTTGATCTGAAAGCTTTTCTGAAACCAGAGCAGATGAGCCGCGGCTCGGCTTACGTCGGACAAAAGGCAGGCCCTCATTGCGTTTCAAAGAGAAAGGATAGAACCTCCCTGGGCCTTGGGCCTGGGGCCTGGGGCCTGGAACCTTGCCAAAGTTCTCGAGACAACACACAAGTTGACAATGAGCGAGGCCCTCAGGCGAGACTTGGTGGCGTCTCCAGCTGCCTCCTTCTAGCTGAAGTAGCAGCAGTAGCAGCAGCAGCAGCTGCTCTTTGAAGTATTGTTGCCGCTTTCTGCCAGTCGGGTTTCTCGCATTGGCTGGCTTTACGATTGCCTCCAGTCATGCCCGACAACTGTGCTCAGAGTCTCTGGTCAATGGTCAAGACTGTCTGTGGCCCGACCCGCCCCACCACATGCCGCAAATCTCTCCATAATGGAGAGTGTCATGTGGCGCATGCCGCTGAAAAAGCGCTGCCAAGCGTGAAGTACACCACACCACACCACTCATTGTTTTTGCCAGAGACCAGATTCGAACAGAGTCGGGCTGGGCTCTAGATATACTTACTACAGGGGGGCATGGGCATCGCATCTATCAGGTATGAAAAATATGTGTATTATGGCATGTCGTAAAAAGCCATTTTCTTGATATCCCAAGCACTTAAAGAGCAGCCAGTGGCTGCCATGAAAAACCCAGACCCAGACTCGGATGCACAAAGACTTTCTCTGCCATATGACAAATAATTTCAGTAGTTGGCGGAGTAATTGCCAACGCAATGAGTTGTTGATTAAGCCAAAAGAGCTCCGGAAAGAGAGAGGACGGAGGGATGGATGGAGGGAGAAATGCTAGTCACCATTTCATTCCGGTTCATTCCGGTCTATTCGAGTTCGGTTGGATTCGGTTTTAGACCAGGCCAATGAACGATTCAACGCCCGCGTCAACTTAAGAACTCTAAAAACAAATCAAATTTGTCGCAGACTCTGTTTATTTTTTTAGCAAATTGAAAAAATCATCACTGGGGCTTCGCATTGCTTCATGTTTAGGAGGAAGAAAACTATTCAGAACTCTGACGAATGAGAGTAAAAATATCTGGGCCTTTTCTTAGTAAACAAAGTCTGCCGATCACTAAAATAATCTCTCTTCGTGTCTGAAGATAAAAGCCTGCCACAAAAAACTAAACCCTTTCAGATCGATCGTGGTTAATGGAATGATCATATGATATATTTATATGGCTCGAGCGTTTTCTATAAATGATATTACAAATAGCAGAAAAATACACCGATAAATATCAGCCTTGGTTTTTTTTTCAATTGGTTAAATTAGTCAATTTTGAATAAGTTCAGAATATTATATCGGGTCATAAATAGATATATGAAAATGTATTTTTTTAATGTATTTTTTCGAATTTATTTTCCCCTTTATTGGGCCTGAAACTACATCTGCTGTTGCCTAATCTCCTCCTGCTTCAAGACTTTGTTTCAAATGCAAAACGAAACTTTTGCGTGCCGCCAAAAATTGTTTATAGCTTGCGGCATCATCCACAAAAGCAACAACAACGAAAACAACAACAAAAACATCAACTGTTAAATCAACAACAATCCATGGATCCAGCGATCCAGAGGCAACTTCAAAAGCGATTCAGTCGGCCGCTTCTTCCTGCTCTTTGCTGTTGCAAAAGCATTGCCATGCCCAATGCCCAGAGAGAGAGAGAGAGAGCAAGTCGAATCCCAGTGCCGCCGATCCCCAATGCCCAATGCCCCAAAAGCCGCGCTCGTGACAGCCATCGCAGCCCCGCCCTCGCCCCTTGGCCGCCTGGCCGTTCTTCTTCGATTCACGAAACATGCGGCAGCAACGCAACGGAGGAGTTGCTGCCCCCAAAAACAAATTGAAGAAAGACTGCGAAGGCGGAGGGAACAGGAGGGGCAGCAACGGAATCGGCTAAAAATTAGAAAATCATGCTTACAATTCTCTTTGCCGTTCTGTTCTGTGTGCATAATGCGCGATAAGTCGGCAGGTGCAACATACACAAAACGAAAACACCAACACACCAGCAGCAGCACACCATTGAAGCAGGGCCAACATACAGAGCGAGAGGGAGTAAAAGGGAGTGAGGGAGAGAGAGAGAGATGTGGCATAGAACCCGGAAGAGTCAAATATTCCCCTCCGAAAAGTGAACAAGTCGCCCAAGAATCCCACTCCCAGTCGCAGTCGCAGTAGCAGACCCACTCCCTGCCCCAATCCCACAGACATAAACTGTGCGCGCAACTTGCAACTGCAACACATTATAGCCGTGACTGCGAGGGGGCTCCCCTTCCCTCCCCACCCACTGCCCCTGCGACAACGACTGGGGGCTTGGCTGCAGATGCGGGCCAGCCAGTGGCAGGCGGCAGCTCGATTGTAATTCGCGGCACAAATGTTTCACTTCATTGGAGTTTCGTGGATCGTCGCCAGAACAGGAAGTGCTTTGACAAACAACAAACGGGAATATATCGGGGCGTAGAGTGTACCACTGCACGCCCAGGGGCGTGACCAGGGCCCACGGGTCTGTCCACCTGTTCAGAGGCAGAGGAAGACTCCCACGACATACGGTTCAATAGCACATCAATTGACGAGAGTTGTCGCCACAATCAACCATCCAAAACATTTAGTTCCATTGAGTTCTGGCTTTGGGTACTTACCCCCCAAAAGGGGTACGGTACTGCTAATCCCCCCTGTCATCCACAGTTGAAATAAATTGCTATAAATACCCCGTTGTATATGGAAATAAATTGTTTCCAATGCAACTGCCACAACAGACAGCAAAACCGTGCGATGTATGCAAGTGAACGTATGTACTTCCCTGTGAGCATATGACACAGATAAACCGATTGCCAGGGAGCTGGGGATCGCATAAACAACCATCCATATGTTGTGCACTGTGCACCGTATGTCTACAGTGCGTTTCCCAACCATAAGCTTGACAGCCGATTGACGCATGCTCATTCCACAAATTGTTGGAACAGTACCAGCTGACAAAAACCAACAGGGCTATGTCCAATGTTCTACGGTATATTTGATTGATATTTCTCATATCTTATCAGTATTTCCAGCGGCACATACGAATCACGTAATGGCAGCAAGCTAGAGGCTGCATACAGCCTTGATCAAACAAAACAAACAAAAAACACATTCAATTTTCAGTTATATTTCTCGAGCTATGTGAGCAGTAAACTCTTCCCAAACCTAAGAGCATTCCCTGTCTCTGCTCTCTTGAATTAATTTTTAAGAATGATGCACTGATTTTTATGAAACGCACTGCATATATGCAGATTCATGTTGGAATTGTGATGCGATGTGTCTGTGTATGGGAACACATAATTGAGGAACAAATTGCGAAAGCAGTTCCCAGAAAACCGCTTGACCGTTAATTTGCGGAATTCCCTATAGAAGAACACTTACACATATATATCTATATATATATATATATATAGTATGGTAAACCTTTTCGTGATCCTGTTGCCCATGAATGGGATACGGAGAAAGGTTGGTGCTACCTGCCTGTGTGTTCAGCTGGCAATAAAAGAGAAAACTCTTTGCTCAGGATTAATCGTAGATCGAAATCAGGTATATCTTGATTTTCCCAAAGAGCGGAAGAGCCTGCCTCGTCTCGAAAAGATGCTAATGTGTGGCAGGCAGGAGGGAGGTGTCTCCACTGTGGCGGTGCGGCTGTTGACTGACTCGTCCAGAGGCAGCAGAAGACATCAAAGGCAGCAATTAGCGTGGAGCCAAGCGCTAAGCCATTTCCCATCTACGCGCGTTTTGCACTCGTCTTTGCAATTGTTGCTTGCTTGCTGAGTGCAGCAGCAATTAAGTTGCCATTGCCACGACACTGCCACGATCGGAGCAGCCCTATTTTTGCTCCATCAAGCGCTTTAATCGAATTAGGTGCTATGCGGAGGAGCAGGAACCGTCCCGGGCCCACTGGCAATTGAGAGCATCGTCCATTGATTGGAGTTAATGTGCCGTGACGACTGGCCCTTGAAGGGTTTCCAGAGGGTCTGTTCTCCAGGCGGGCAGTACATCGCTGCGTGTGGGCGCCTTGAACTATCCGCAGACGACATCCGACATTACATCTCTCTCTCTCTCTCTCCCTGTGTATGCAGTTGCCAGTCAGTTGCCAGTTCCCGCCCCTCGCTCTAGCTGTGGCATAGAAGTGACAGTGGCGACTCCGATAAGGCGTTGCGGAACGAAACGAAACGAGTTTCTCCCAAGCTTCGCAAACTTGCATCTTTCACTGCCAGGGCCGCTCGGATCGATTCTGTGGATATTACCCGCTGTCTGCGGCTGTCTGCTTTCAATACATGTACATAGTATGTATCCAGTAGATACATTTTGTGTGTCTACTCGCATCTTTGTGGCTGCAGACATGTGTCTGCTTATGGCTTTGCCTCTGCTTCGTTTCATTCCAGGCCCTAGTGGGGCCTCCACGCGGCAGCCACTCAGAAGCACTCCCCATCGTCGCGTTCTCAGCGCCTCCACATTGTGGCAGCCTCAGCGCCTTCAAGTGGCCTTCATTGGACCGCTGTCGTGTCTTGGGGTTGGGTTCGGGGGTCGGGCCTAGAGCCTGCTCCTTAACGTCTCTTTAAAGTCCACTCGAGCGTGGCCCGAGTGCCGCAGTGCCGCCTAAGACAGCCTTTAACATATCGTAAAACAAGGTCGTTTTCAGGATTCAATTCTGTGGCTGGAAAAGGTGGAAAAGACCAACAAACCGGTTGGCACTCTGCCATAACTATTCGCCTGCGAGGCACACACTTCTACCAGCATTCATTCGCACACAATGTGTGTAAAGTGATTCGCTTCAAATGAACTTGCAATTATCTGAAAACTGGAGCAACTTCACGAAGTTGATTCTCCCTTCGCCATCTCTCTGCCCATCTCTCTGCCAAAACAACAAAAATGAAATGATGAAATCTCCCAAATTTTGGGCAAGTCTCTGGGAGATCGCATAACAACATGACACTAATGACGAGTGTGTCTCGTGCAGAAGCGTCTCCCAGTCTCCATTCAAAGGGGGTGAATATTTGATACTCTTCCAAAGACGAAGCTGAATTCCTGGTTCCTTGTGATGAAAGATGGCAATCTCATATGAAAAATACTCGTACTCGTACGATGGATGCGTTAGAGCGCCAACTCCCAGGCGAATCTCTGGGACAACAATGTGGCATACGAAATTGGTTGCGAATTTGGAAAGTTCCGCAATAATGGCCAGGCCACGAGAGTGTCTCGGCTGTGGCACAACCAAAACAGTTGGGTCAATGTGCCCAAAGTGCCACAGAGATGCGTTGACAAACGACACTGAGAGAATTCACCAATCAAATCAATAATATATTCTTAAACACCAAATCGGGAACAAACTGTGTACAACGCAGCAAATTTGGGAACATTCATTGATTTTCCATGGCACAAAAAATCCTTTCGCTATCTTAAATAAATAAACTTGAAAATACAAAATTTTAGTTTCAAAATTAAATTTAAAAGAGAAGGAACATGTGAGTCGCTTTTCGGGACTTGACTCTACTTATACCCGCACTCAGTCAGTATTTACATTTTTGAGCTTATAATTTTTTAGAATTTTAGAGTTACAAAAAAATTTATTAATTATGTTATATATTATACAATTTTTGACCATAGTGGATTGTTATGAAAAATGTTGACTTGTTGAATAGATTGCCTTTCGTTTCAAATGACACTAAGAAAGAATATTAGGAATAAGTAATATTTCCAATTGGATTTATATTAAATCTTTGTAGAGTTGTAAGTTCTCTCGGTTCTTTCTCGCATGTTTTGCTCTCAGTGTACGAGTGTTTTGGCGATGAGAGACAATGAGACTCCTCATAACTTATTTATGCCCCCAGACTCAGACTCAGACACAGACACAGCCCAGGCGCTGCGGTGTCCCAGTTCTGTTGGGTGTTCGGACAGGTGTTGCGGTGTCGTGTCGGGTCATGTCTCTTGCATGTGAACTAGTTCGAGTCAATCACAGCCTTGGGGGCCACATCCACATCCACTTTCCCGGCCACAGAGCAGTTGCGCCCTGTCCGTCGTCCTTGCCATCTGCCCGAGCAAAACGGATCCATGTTGCGTGCAAGCGTGCAACTTGACCGAATAAATAAGTTGAATTGTGGCCGAATCTGTGGCTCGGCACGGGATGAATACTATTTGAGTACCTATTTTTGCATTCGGGGAAAAGGTCGGTGGCATGCAACTTGTTTGTATTTCGCACTGCAAGGGGGGGGAAATGGGAGCGGGATGCGACCGAAATGCCAGCATCCCAAAAATACGCAAACGAAATGTGGGTCGCCCCAAGTGAATCACTCACGAATCACGAATCACACTCACACACATACTCATCCTCTCACTCCTTCTTCTCCTTCTCTCCACCACAGTGGGCGAGCGAACGACCATGTCTGCCACTCTCTTCGACATGGCTGCGCAACCGGAGGAACAGCAGCAGCAACTGCAACTGCCACTGCAACAGCATCTTCTGTCGGCTCTCGAGGAGCAGCAACTGGTGGATGGACTGGCCTGTCTGGAGCTCAGCGAGGGCATCACAGTGACCAGCAACTGCGACGGCAGTGACAGCGGCCTGGACGTGGCCAGCAGCTGCTGCCTCTCACGGGTGACGCTGCAGCGAGGCCTCAGCAGCACCAGCGGTGGCTACAACAGCAGCAATGGCCTCGAGGATATCTACGACAGCTGCGAACTGAAGGTCGTCTCCACCGCCGCAGTGGAGCTGGCGCCCAGCGAGACCGGCAGCGAGAAGGAGTCGCCCCCAAGTCGCCGCACCAACACCAGCAACAGTGCCGTCAAAAAGAAAGTGGCCATGTTCGAGCCGGAACAGAACGCAGAGAGCGCCGCCACCCCGCGGGCACAGCCACTGGAGCAGCTGCGCGGCAGAGTGGCCAATCTGAAGCGGGCCGTGAGCTTGCCCAGGAACAGTGCGGCGCCTCCGTCCCCGGGCACACCTACAGCCGGCAGCCGGGAAAAGGCACGGCTCTCGTCCTCGTCCTTTCGGGTGCCGACCACGCCCACGGCCACACCCACATCCACGCGGCTGGCTCGCCCCCAGAAACCCGACACGCTGCCCAGCGCCCTCAATCGGGCCCAGTCCGTGCAGCGGCTCGCCCAGGTACAGCGAACCCCGTCCCTCAGTCGGGCACGAACGCCGGGCACGCCCTCCGACGACGGTCGCTGGCCAGCCAACCGGGGGGCCGGCGGAGCACGTCGCGGAATGTCTGTGACCCCGGAAGTGAATGTCAGTCGGATGAGGGGCAGTCCGGCGCCGGGGGGCACTCTGCCGCGGCGTCGCAAGCAGCAGTCCGTGGAGGACTTGACGGGCGGACGGCTCTCCAGGAGCAACTCGATCAGTCGAGCCGCCGCCGCCGCGGTGGACGCCAGGATGACGTCTTCGGTGATGGTGGTGCCCACGAGCAGACGGAGCCTGGCGCCGGCTACCGCCAAAGTGAACTCGCTGCGGCGTCCCCTGCAGGCGGTGCAGGGCAGGACGAAGATCTACCACGAGACGGCTGTGCAGACGGCGCTTACCAGCGAGGATCTGGAGCAGGTGCTGGGCGGGGGGCTGCTGCAGACGCGAGCCCTGGACGCAGTGGAGCAGCGGGATCAGAGCAGCCAGGCGGAGCCAGACCAGCGCGACTTTGAGTTGGAGCAGCTGCGCCAGGAGGTGCGCCAGCTGAGCGGCAAGCTGCAGCGGGAGCGGGAGGAGAAGCTGGCCATGCAGCAGGAGCTGCACCTGAACACGGAGCGGGTCATGGGAATGCTGGAGCTGGCCCGCGTGGTCAGCGCCAGCGCTGGGACGCCCACTTCCGAGGACAGCAACGATGGCGGCGGCGGCGGCGGCCACGACAGCCTCCTGATGCTGGAGTCACAGATCCAGATGAGCGGGCACGAGCTGTTCGAGCGCCAGCAGGAGATTGGCCAGCTGCGGGCGATGTGCCGCAGCCTCCAGCTGGAGATGCGCCGCTCCCTAGCCACGCAGCAGCTGCTGCTCCAGGAGAAGGCGGCCATCGAGCTGGAGTCCAGCGAGCTGCAGGACTTCTTGCAGCACGAGAAAGCCGCCCAGTGCGACGCGCTGCGTGAGCTCGAGGCGGATCACCAGGCGGCCCGGGCCCAGCTGGCGAATCGCGAGGAGGAGGCCAAAGTGCTGCGCGACGAGTGCCGGCATCTGGTCCGGCTTAACGAGCAGCGGCGCCAGGAGAACCGCCTGCTGCAGACCAAGTACGCGGCCCTGGAGACCAAGTCGCGGGAGTTGATCCACCAGCAGAATGCATCGGTGGCAGGCGCCTCCACAGCCCTCTCCGGCCTGCACTCCCGCCTGGACGGGCTCGTGGAGCAGCTGGTCTACTCCTACAGCATATCCGAGCAGGATTTGGAGGTAAGTCGACCACAAACCTGACCGTTCCTATGCCAGTTCTAACCATCTCCATTTGGAAACTCTTCGCAGGACATCCGCTTCCAGGCTGAGTCCGAACAGGTCCACAATGGCATCCGGCCCAACGGACTGGATCTTCCGCTTTGTCCGGCCACCGCTGGAGAGGCCATCCACACCCTCGTCCTAGCCAGCGATGGCTCACTGTCGCCGCAGCGCAATCAATCCTTCATAGCCGCCGTCATCGGTGCCATTCGCCAGGCCACCACACACTCTGGCAAGCGTCTCTCGCTGCGTCAGGCGGGAAAGCGCAATGGAGGAACAGCATCAGGATCAGGAGCAGCAGCAGCAGGAGGAGGGGGAGGGGGAGGTGGAGGTTCCACTCAAAACGGTTCGGGAACAGCAACAGCAACCACGGGCCACGAGCAGCCTGGCGAAGATTCCGACTCTACGGAAATGCTGGACTCGGAGACGGAACCCTGCCTGCTAATGATGGACAATGTGCTGGAGGATGTGGTCCATCCGGACTCCCACTCCCACAACATGGTCTCCTCCTGCACGGGCATGATATCCCAGATCGAGCTGCCCACAGAGCTGATCAGTCAGCAGAATGGAGGCGACGACTCGCTGCAGCAGCTGTCGCAGGCCATCACCAATCGCCAGCAAATGGAGCTGCACATGCACAAGATCAGTGCACTTCCCATGAAGTAAGCAGTCGTCGCTATCACACTGCGTCTCACTATAACAAGCTTTAATTGCTTGCATGGGTTTGATTTTGTTTGGTTTATTTGCAGTCCTCGCGATCAGTGCAACACGGAGGAGCTGAGCTGCCACGACTCGCTCGCAGAGCTGCCGTCCCTGATGGAGTACAGCACGGCCCAGGCAGTGGTGGATCAGGTGATCGAGGTGGACACGCTGGTCACCAAGTTGCTCAAAGTCCTGCGACTTGTTCAGCTGGACAACGACAATTGCATCCAGCAACTGATTGTGGACAAGTGAGTGGTGGAGATTGTGTTTTGCTGGGACTTGGGCTTGACTGATGTGGGATCTGTGTTGTTGTTGTTGCAGGAACAAACTACAACAGCATAAGGAGGACATGCTGGAGAAACTAAAAGACTTGGAGGACGTTAATCTGAAGCTGCAGGACGAACTCATGGATGCCACACAGGAGCTGATGATCAAGGGGAGCGACCTGAGCGGAGCCAAGGCCGAGATGCAGCGCCATCGCAACGAGATCGACGTAAGATTCTAGATCTTGTTTGAATGGATCCTTTTTTTGTGTTGCGCATCCTTCGAAGACATTTCTATATATATATCGTTTTTCGTTCATCGCCAGATATATACGCGTATATATTTTCATAGTATGTTACAAAACAATCTCTCGACCGCGATCTTATTTTACTTTACCTTACTTTACTTTACTTTATTTGGAATCATTTAGTTTTAGTTGTAGTCTTAATTCGAAATAAATCACTTGGCTTATTTATCTCTTGTGTTCGGCTTTGGCTTTCGCTTTGGCTTCGAGTTGAGATCTACTTCGTATATAATTTGTTTTAACCTTGTTTCCCATCATCACTCAATCATCTCGCCATCAACCACACACCACACGACATCGATGGCAGTCACAAGTCAAGCTCAAAAGCGCACTCTTTCGTTTAAAATGAAACCCAGTGACCCAGAGTCCAGAACTAATCAAACTAATTGCAAACGCTAATCCCTCAACCGGCCAGCGCCTCAACGAAGACATCTGCACGCTGAGCACGCTCTGCAGCAGCTACAAGAAGCTGTCGCCCACCACAGAGTTTCCGCCCATGCGGCTGCTCTCGCCAACCAGCCAAGAGACCGAGCAGGGCGATGTGGCGGGTATCCTCAATCTGCTCAAGATGTGGCACGCTGGTGGTCAGCTGCAAGATCCACGCCTCAGCAGGTATCTGCAAACGGTATGTGGCAGCCAGGTGAGAGTCATTCAACCCCACATATATAATTCCCATTCCAGATCTATTCAACAAACATTTTTCTCTGCCATTCGACAGTTATCGAATTTGCCGCAGGACAACAACAATGTGGAGCGGCTGAGGATCTACGCCAACCAACTGGAGCATGTGTCGCGAGTGCTTGAGGATGGCCTGCCGCTGGAGCTGCACACGCCGCTGCAGCAGTTGCGGCAGGACATGGAGATCGTCAGGCGCAACGCCAACTGGACGCATCTGCTGGATCTAAGCGGCGAACCTGATCCCAATGCCAATGTGGATGTGGCCTCATCGTCGCAGTTGCCTTGAATCGTGTCAAATTGTTGTTAATTCTATAGCTATTGCCAGTTGTTTAATATTACATTACATATTGTACGTAGATAGTCACAAATGTTTGCGTCCATCACCAAACTCCAAGCAAAAATGTAGTTCTAAACGTTTTAGCCCCCTCCAATGGTGGAACTCTTTTAAGGTAACAAATATTGTTGTACAAGCTGCCTGCAGCAGTGCCATATGTAGCGGTTTTTGCTGATGGAATCCGTTGCTGTTTCCAGTACAGGCGTCCCATTGAAAGTATTATGGGCATGCCAGCAAGGAATGCATTAAACCTTGTTCCCAATTTTCAATTCTAACAAGTAAAAAGCAGATACCCTGATGAGCTCATGTCGTTTGTATTGCCAGCAACGTGATGCGTGAAAAGATGTTTTATCAACTTCGTTTTATCCGATAGCAAAGATTCCTGGTGAACTCTCCATCCGTGTCCATTTTCCACTGGGCAATGCAGTAGATATCCAAAACAAACTCCCTGCCATTATGGCCATAAGTCTTAGCTCTGATTTTATGTAGATATTTCTGCTTTAGCATAGAGTGGCGTAGAGCAGGTGAAACTCCCTCGATACGACTTTGAAAGCAAGCTGTTTGTTTAATACACGTACAATAAATAAGCATAAACTAAATACATGCATACATATGTATGTATGTATGCATGTATGTATGTATGTATAAAATAAAAATCAACTATGAATGAAAAAACAATTTCGCAAAATTTTTGAAATCCCTTGAAAAATGGTAAGTACTTGCTAGATAAGTCTATGGATAATAAGTACATCATATATGTATGCATGTATGCTGTGTATATATATATATATATATAGAGTAATATATATTGTATATATGGTGTATTTAGTGCGTGGAGGGGTGGGGGGAATACAGCTGTCCTCTGGTCGCCGTTGTCTTCCCCTGTCTTTTGTGTGTGTTGTGGGTTGCTCTGTCTTTACATTTACAAATAATCTCACAATGTGGTGTGCTCCTCATCTTAGCATCCTAGAAGGAGGGCTTGCTGCTGCCCATGCTGCGGGCCGGCAGGCTGTTCGTCTTTGCCGTGGGGTTGTCGCGAGCCTGCGAATGCGCCACCACAATGCTGAGGCACTGCACCCACTCCTCGGCATTCTTGCCGTCCTTGGGCTTGAGTATTAGTGTCTGGTCGGCGGTGAAGATCTCGAACGCCTTCGGTATATTGCGTGCCCCTCGCGACACCTTTACCGATCGGATCTGGTTCACATCGATGCTCTCTCCACCGCTCTGAATCGAACCGAACCGAATCGAAATAGAAAAGAAATTCAAACGGAATTACGATCCGTTCTTGTGGGGATTGCATTGGCGATGCACTTACCGATCCCTTGCATGAGAGATGGGCGCCGGACAGCGTGAAGTAGCGCGTCCGCCAGCGCCTGAAGAGCCGCCACTTGCCCTTCTTCTCCTTCAGCTGGCCCTCAATCATGGGCTGGTTGCTGCCGTTGAGGAAGCCCACCGCCTTGTCCGGATGATTGCACAGGAAGCAGCCCCACTGGTACTCCAGTTCGTTGCAATTCGGATTGGATTTGTCGGTGATGGATACCTCGAACACATCCAAAAATCCCGAGTGCCGCAGCTCATTCACAAGTATCTCGCGGTCCTGCAATTACGTCAAGGATTATCATTTATAAGCGAATCTCCGCCGCAGCTGTGTTCTGGGACCCACTTTGACCTGCGGAAATTGGCTGGTGACCAGCTCCGTGAAGCTTCTGTTCTCGCACTTGAGTATCTGCCAGATGTTCTTGAGATTGCTGATGCCGGACTCGCGTGTGCTCAGCACGCACTTCTCCTTCACCTGCAATGGGTGCAATGGCGTGATTAGATCTGCGGATTGTTGGGTGTTTTTTGGGCCACTTACAAAGTGCCGCACTTGAAAGTCCAGGAACATCATGTGTATCCAGGTCTTGGGGTTGCGGGTGCGCATCGTGAAGCATGTCTTCGAGTAGAGGCAGTGGGGACCGCGTATCTGGCAAGCGAAATGCAGCTTGGCCACCTTCTTCGTTCGTCGCTCTGCAAATTCATTGGAAACTGTGTGATGTGTTTGTGTGTGTTTGCATGTGTTTGTGTGTGTGTGGGTGTGTGTGTGTGGGTGTGGTGGTGTGTAAAGATGGTCAGAGATCGAGAGAGGAAGTCACAGATTGTAGCACAAGCCTTACCCTCGATGCTGCAGCGCGTGGGTGGTGGCAGATGCTGCGAGACCTCGTCCATGTACGACTTGATCGAATTGAAGTTCTTCTCGCAGAACTGCTGGACGGGATCGCGCATTATCTGGTACGGCTCGAAGGTGCTCATCCTCTGGTCCATCACACTGTTGGCATTGAGGAGGGTCCGGCTGGTGTTGTCGCTGCGGCGCGGCGCCACATTGGTGGTGGGACCCGAGACAATCACTTCGCTCTGCAAAATGTCAGTCAATCATTAGCTGTCAATTATCTGCTGCATGCTTTGCACTTACATTCCCGTTTACGGGTAGCTTCATCACCGACTTTGCATTGCCGTTGCCGTTGCCGGAGGATGCGGTGGGCAGTGCTGGCGAGGCATGGTGCACGGACACCGCATTCTGCGGCTGCTGTGAAGGGGCCGCAGATGCAGATGCAGCCGCTGCCGCTGCTGCTGCTGCTGCTGCCGCCGAGGCTGGAGGTATGGAGATCGAGCCCACCGACTGATTCAGCGCATCCGTGCTGTACTTCATCAGCACCGTGCTGGAGTTGAGCAGCGTCGAGGGCCCCTGCGAATGGGGCCGCACCTTCGATGGCGACGTGGTGACAGTCACCCCGCCGGAGGTCACGGGAATCCCGTGCTTGTTGTGGCCAGTGATGACCACGTTGTTGCTCAGCGGCGGCACAGGCGTCACCGGTGGGTTGCTGAACGTCGCCGGTGTCTTGGGCGTGGCGCCCGACTGCACCACAACGTTCCCGTTTGAGCTGCCGCCGGGCTGTTGGCTTATCTGCGAGTTGCTCAGCCGCGTCATGCTCTTGTGGAGGCCCCCGACGGAGCCGCTGGCCACGTTCAGCCGCGTCACGCTCCTGTGGGTGTTGCTGGCGGGATGCAGGCGGCCCGTGCTCCGCGAGTCGCCCAGTTTCACGCGTCGCGTGTAGCCCGCGTGCTGCGGAGTGGGCGTTGGCGTCGATGTGGCGATGGGCGCACAGATTGGAGCCGCACTGGGCGTGGCATTGACGGTGCTGCTGCTGCTGCTGCTGCCGGTGGTGGTGGCCGTCTGTTGGATGATCGGTGCGGCAGCGGGAGCTCCTGGCTTCAGCGGGGGACTTGGGCTGGAGCTGGTGCTGGTGCTGTTGCTGGTGCTGTTCAGGCTGACAATGGTGACGCCGCCGGAGGTCTTGTTGGCGGATGCACTGCCCACATCCTGCTGGGAGCTGAGTGCCGCGTTCTTCTGCCGCACGCAGGCCAGCACCTTGTCCGTGAAGAGCACCGGATAGGCCGAGCACAGCCGCGTGGCCTCCTGCTGCAGCAGCGCCTGGGTGGGCAGGTGCTCCAGCACAAAGTCGAGCGCCTGCTGGGCGGTCTCCTTGCTGCCGATGCCCGCGTTGGTGAGGATCTGGGCACACAGCGTCACCGTGCCGGGGTTCGTCTTGGCCGCCAGACGAAGCTGCTCAAAGTGGTCGACGAGCAGGTGGGGGGCGTGCTGCGAGAGCTTGAGCAGGATCGGCATGGTGATGCTGGAGGTGTCGCTGTCGAGCAGGAAGCCGCACAGCTGTGGCACGCACTGCTCCAGCACCTCGGGCGACTTTTGCACGATCAGCAGGTAGAGCTGGAAGACGGCCATGCGCTCCTGCGGATCGCACTGGGGCAGCAGGGGCATGAGCAGCGGCGCGTGCGGTGTCACCGCCTCGGGCGAGACCTCGTACACCTGCGAGAGGACGCGCAGCAGTCCGTAGTTGCCGGAGAGTATGGACTCCATCACGGACTCCGTGTGCGGACTCAGCAGAATGGCGTGGTCGATGGCCGCCAGCGACAGGTAGCTGGCCAGGTTGCGCGACAGCTCCTTGTTGCCCTTCGGCAGGAACTGCACGGCAATGGGCAGCGCAATTTTCATCAGTTCTTTCTTATCGTAGTTCTGTTTGGGGGTTCGATGGGAGTGGATTAGTCTTATGTGATCAAAGGGATGTTCTGCGCGCCACTCACTAGAAATATGCTTGAGATAATGTCAGCGGCGATCTTGGCATGCGGCGGCTCCTCCTTTGTGGCGCTGGAGGGCTGCAGGTTCCACAGCAGGCAGGTCTTCAGCAGTTCGACCAGGGCGGCACAGTAGCGCTCCGCACTGCGCGTCTCCCGGATGCAGGACAGCACCCGCGTCACACAGATCTCCACGACGCTCTGGTCGTTGTTGTTCTTCACGTAGTCCGCATGCGAGATGATCGGGCTGATCTCCGATAGCTGAAAGCGAGTGCAAGGTCAGGGATCAGGGTTCAGGGTTCACAGTAGATGCGTGTCTGCAGATGGACCTACCACCTCCGTTATGTCGTCCACAATGTCCGCATCGGGCACGGAGAAGAGATCCCCGGCCCGGGACAAGTCGCGCTTGGCGAGCACTTTCGTGAAGAGGTCGTGCATCTCGTGCGGGGTTCGGTGCGCTGCAGCTCAGCTGGGGCAGGTGGCTTCCGGGAATGGAAATGGCTGCTGGTCAGTCAGTGGCCCTCTTGGCCAGCGGTGCCTCATCTGTGGCAGCTGCTGAAAGTGAAACGAACTCCAGTTAGTGACTGGGACTTGGCTCTTGTTTATTTTAGTCGCGCTGCATTTCTTTTTTTCACTGTCACTGTCTCTCTATGGCGGACCGGACCGGCTGACTGGCGCTGGCTGGCTGACTAGCGCTGGCTGCCTGGCTGGCCCATTGCCAAAGTTCAGGCGCCTACGGGCAGCAACGTTTTTTATCTTATCGGTCGGCACTCGCGCGAAATGCGCGAACTAGTCCAAGTATAGCGGCCCCCCTAAGCCCCTGCCGGGACTGCCCAAATATATCCAGAACATTTCTGTTTTGTGTTTCTATTCTGGCGTAGGTACCACATAAAATAGTTGTATAAATATAGACGTACTTGCTGCATTGTCTGGTCTTAGCTGAGGTATTAGCTGGATTTAGACAGATGCCCTTGCATAGCTTCTGTTTCGTGTGGAAGGGGTGCGACAGCAGCATGATATGATCCTATCTTTAAAGCACTCAATAATGGGTATATCTTTCGGACAGCAATCACATATCCAATTCAATGCGAGGGTTCTGTTGTTTTGTTGCGAGTAAATCTGCACTGAGTCTGCACTTTCTGCCACTGCACTGCACTGCACTGCACGGGACTCGTACGAGTGATTCCACGAACTGAATGGAATTCGTTTTACTCAAATATTTCCGTTCTGTTCTGCTCTGTTCTGTTCTGTTGTGTTGTGTTTGTGTTGTGTTCTGTTCTGTTCCGTGGGGTTTCCCTCTAACGCTGTGTTTGTCCACACTTGCACTTGGCTCAGTTGTTTGCTCTGATAGCAGCACAAGCAGTTGGCCAGTGACGTCTTTGGGCCTTAGGCCTGGGCCTGGGAATGTGGCTTAGCCCAAGCTGTAGCTCGGATACGGATTTTGATTAGATGCGCCAAATTCCGTTGAGGGATTAGCCCCGACTTAACGGATCACTGGGGAATTTGCTTGGTGGCCAAATGAGTGGGCGCCGCAGCCGAAGAGCTGACAGCGAGAAAAAGTCATTTCTTGTCTGGCACTGCAGTCGCAGTCGCGCCATCAAGGAAGCGATGCCAACGTCAACGCCAACGCCAACGCCTAAGTTATTAAATTTTCAAATAAAAACCAAAAGTTGCATAATCCATAGAGAGGCCAGGCGATGCCATGCCATGCCATGCCATGCCAGGCCAGGCCAGGCCAGTCGTCCGTCAGGCAGCGCTGCACGCGAATTGCAGACGGTCTTTTCTTGTCTTGGGTTTGAGTTTGAGTTTGGTTCGGGCCTGGGACAGACATTTGCTTCCTGGAAACCGGGACAGCGACAGAGAAAGAGACAGAGACAGGGACCAGGGACAGGGACTGGCACTGGCACTGAGACAGGGTAAGGAGACAGAGACAGAGCCAGAGACGTAGCTCTTTGGGTTTCGTTTTGGTTTTCCTTTGGCTTGTGGTTGTTGTTGTTGTTATTTATGGCTCATTCGCGCTCAGGTTGCAGCACCAACAACAACACACAAAAACTGGTTAAAAAATAAATAAAGAAGCAGCAACAAGTCGCAGCAAGCAGCAGCAGCAGCAAGCAGCAGCAACTCTGAGCGCCCCGAGAGAAAATTAAAAGAGAAATAGAAACACACATATGTACGTATGCATGTATGTATGTATGTATATGTGTGCGCATATGTATGTATATATGTATGTATGTATGTATGTATGCACGAGTGTACGAGGTATACTCGTAAGTAATGGATGGGATGGATGATGGCGTTGGCTAAAACATAAACCGAAACCGGTGCGGCAGGTTAATACACACGAAGCACGGACCACGACCACGATCACAGACCACGAACCAAAAGCCAACAGCCAACAGCCAAGAGTGCGGTGGGGGCTGTGTGGAGGGGCGCAGACGCAGACACAGACTTAGACTCGTAGCTCAAAGATTTTGGAGACACGAGTGGAAACAAAGGCTGTGCCAAAAAGCCAACACAAGACTCGATTGGAGGTTCCATAATTCGCTGGCTCGATCTTATTTGCATTGCCCCCCAAATGGCAGGGGTCAATACCTGTCCGTCTGGCTACAGCAAAATGGTAACAACTTTTAAGCCTTTTAATTAACAGTTGTGTGTGTGCGAATGACTTAATTTCCATTCCGATCGGCAGATCGGCAGATCTAAAGACTGAAAGATCGGGGGACAGAAGACAGAGAATGCGTAACAGTATCCGTGAGCCAGGGCTCCTCGGGCCAACCAGGTGGCAAGGCCCCTCAGGCCTTACTCTCCTTGTATGGGTTTTCTGCGAAGCCACCTCCCTGCCCGCCCGAAGTCTCACATAACCGTCACACCGGTCGTATACGTATTCCGATACCACGCTGGCATTCAGCTTTTCCGAGTCGCATTGCGTGCAGTGCATTGCCAGTGTTTTGTTCTTGTTTGTGCATTCTTTTGTCACAGTCGCTGCTCTGAAATACCTGGCCAGCGGACAGTTGCTAGAATAGAGTCGACCAGAGGAGCGTCAAGTGTCTCTCGATCGCCTGCAACGGGCAACCGACTGCCCAGAGATCTGGCGACTGGCGCGACTGCAATTACCAGTCAAAGTCTGCCTCAAGGGGGGTAGGGGAGGCTGGGCGGGTTATTTGGCGGATGGCAGTCATAGAGCTGGCCGCAAAGCACCCAACTAGTACGAGTATTAGTGGCCGCTGTTGTGTCTGGAAACCCGTTTTCGATATTGCCTTTTTTTCGTCCACCGAGCACCAACGGGCCACCCTACGCATGCGCGCAGACAGTCAGCGTCCCCGTCATCGTCATTTCTGGCTGGATTGGTACGATAATATATTTGTCTGGATGCTGAAATCTGGGTTGCAGATGTCATCAATGGATGATTGGTTTCTGGTTGTATGTTGAGTATGCGATATTGGGGATTAAATGGTTCTTGTTCCAGCAGCTCCCTGGTATCCGTTCGCTTAGGGGTAATCCAGTAATGATTGTGTTTAAAGCAGCTATCGTTGAGTTGATACAAACAATTACCGAATCACAGAAGATAATGCAATTTAGACAATATCTGAAGCAGTAGGATAGCACTGGGCACTGGGAACTGGGCTAATATTTGCGTTTTTTTTTTATCACCTGTGGATTTACAACTTCTCTTTCTAGTATCTCCCCTGAACTAAAGACAAACATACAAAAAAAAAAAAAAAAGAAAAAAAAATATATTTTATTCGTCTGGCCCCTCTCTCTCGATTGCTTAGGAGCGGGGCTGCGAAAAGTAAAGACAACATCAACACGGTAATCCGAGAACCAGAGAATGGGTTCGGTTAGGCGGATAGGGTATATACATACATAGGGGATAGCGATGGGGACACGGGGATGGGTGATAGGGGGGGATGGGGGCATGGTTGAAAAATGAGCGGCGCGTGAAACTTATTAATGAAAAGTGCCGCAAAATAAGAAATCGCTACGAATTAGCACAACAACAGGAACACACGAATAACATGGGGGAATATATTCTCATACATACATATATTCCCATCCATACTCAAACACACATACATATGTATGTACATACATATGTATATATATGTATGAGTATTTTTTTTGGCAGATTTGAATGAAGGCTTTGGGGCACGGTTGGAGGAGCTACCTGGGCTACCTGGCTGTCTGAATTGTGTCCACGATGAAACTGAATTTCAATTTGAGCTTTGAATTTTGGATTTTGAATTTTGGATCCGTTCACAGCCTCAAACAAACGGTAAATGGCCGAAACTTACCGAATTGCATCTGAGGCTGGCAGACAGCTGGCCATATCAGTGGTGCAACAAACTGCTGGAACTGGTCGAAGTAGCTCTCCTTCTCCTTCTCTCTCTCTCTCTCCGTCTCTCTCTCTTTCTTTCTCGCTTTGCTCTGCTCTCTTTGTGGCTGGTTGAAAAGGTAGAAAATGTTGCTGTTGCTGTTGGCCAAGTCAGCCGCACAGCCGCTCTCGCTTTGGGTGTAGTTCAATATTAATTTAATTGTTACTGCTGCTGTTGCTGCTGTTGCTGCTGCTGCTGCTGGTGTTGCCGATAAAGCAGAAAAAAACTGGGTATTGTCGTTAGTGTTACTTATTTTTTTTAGGGCCTTGCTTTGTTGCAGCGCCAGCGCATTGCTTTTTATGCAAATTTTCGTATATTTTGTTGGCGTATATCTTGAATTATTTGTTCTTTATTGGAACTGGCACTGGCACTGGCACTGGAACTCCTGATGTGTGAGTGCGCCAACGCTGCCGTTGTTTTAGCCACAATGCCCTGCGTTCCACTATGCCTGATTTGATTTCTTTGTATTTTTTGCTAATCACATTTTGTTAACACACACACACACGCGCACACAGGCGAACACACAGGCGCACACGTACAAAGAAAGCGAGCAGCGAGCGGGGCGAGGCGAGGCAAGCCGAGGTATAGACCAGACCCACCGACGCGACGACGACAGCGAACGAGCGAGCGAGCGAACGAACGAAAGACAGCTCGGCGGTGCGCGTTGGCCAAACAAACGGCGTTTAGGCCCAAACGTTGAACCGGGAATGGCGAGGCCTCAGCAGCCCAATTGTCTGACTTGGCTCCGATCGCTCCGATCTGGCCATATATCTGCTCTTTTGGCCGCCTCTCTCTTGTTTGTTTTGCACGATCGCCCATGGTGTACCTATGCATGGTAGGGTAGGGCTCACTCAGCGAGCTCGCTCTCTTTCTGAAGCACATAATTTGCTGCTGGCAGGGGGTCCCACACATCACTCAGTCGCACGGCAGTGGAACTACAGGGGCGGACATAGCACGGCAGTGGAACTACAGAGAGCGGAATGCCCGTACCTAATGTTATTATATCATGATCGCCCGCTCTCAGCGCACTCTCTCTCTCTCACAGTTTCTGGCCACCTTTATCGTCTCCTGAAGCGATGATACCCTTACTTCCGTGGGTAGAGTGTGTGGCATATTGGTTCTATGGGAAGACTATGGGAGATAATTTTTTAGGATAATTCCTCATGAACAATATGATAAATTCATATGATAAATACGTGTGAATAATTCAGCAGCATGGCTATATATATATGGGCTTATGTACATATATATGTATATAAATCTTGTTAAAAAATTATAAATAATTATAGTGTACCTTATTATATTCGCATCCCAGACATGCGTTATTTTGACTTAATTGAAGCGAAGCACATTTTCATATATATGTATATATAAAGGGTATCATATCGTCGATCCTACGCAGTTTGCTTATTTTTCTTTTTGCCCACACAAGTTTATCGCCGTTTTGCTTTTGGCCTTTCATTCATAAACAAAAAAGCGAGCCTTGTTGTTGGTGTAAATGTTGCTTGGATTCGATTCTGTTCTGCTTCGGCTTCACCTGTTGCGCGGCGGCGGCCCGAGCGCTTGGCCTCATGTTGCCAGACAGCACTGAGATTTGTTTGTGTTCCTTAAGAAATAAGATATACTATGTCGTTAATTCGAATAACTATAGAGCGGTGGGTAACGTAGTTTTGGGTACACTTCAAAATAAAAAATGTGACAAACAGAAAGTCCTATGAAAAGTCAAACATATAAGTAATAAATACATAGTTTTCTGTTCAGAAATTCCACATTTCTGAATATAGTAATAATCAAGTAATTATAATTAAAATAATTCTCTGTCCGATGCCATTTTCCGCCAGCAGTTTTTGCATTATTTTTGTGAAGCGGCCCACTGTGCGACTGCTAATGTCGCCGGCTTGGATGTTGCGGACGATGCACTTAAAATGTTGCAACCGAAATCGACTGAAAGTCGAACTTTGTTTTATATAATTTTTGGAATAACAACACTTTTAACTATGCGCTTCAATTTGTTCTGCCTTGAAACAAATGGGTGATGGGTGGCCAAAGGTCATCTCCACAACAATATTTAACCGGCAGATATATACAGCTTCGCCCTTCTTCCGGTCGACATTGAAACCCGTGCGTTTCGGCAAACATACTCGTTGATCCATCAATAGTTTCCATCAGCTAACAAAAAGCTTTTTCAGCCGGTACAAGGTGCAGCACAGCCCTTTGTTTGCTCCGCAAACAGGGAAGCAAGGTCAAACCCGGCTTGGGAATGCAATGCCACGGCAGTGGAACTACAGGGGCGGACATAGCACGGCAGTGGAACTACAGGGGCGGAAAAGCCAGAGAGGTACAAAATTTACATACAACGTTTATTTTGCATTCTACAAGTAAATAACATAGCTATCGCATGGGGTTAAAGTCTCTCTCTGGTTAAGATCAGTGGTGGTGATGGGTCCTCGGGGATGTTGGCACTCGGACTCTCTAGGCATACTTGGCCACCAGACCCTCCACAAGGGCGACATACTCCTGCTGGGCAGCCTCGGTGGACTTGCCCTTCTGCTTGTTCCAGGCCTCCCACTTGGCCTTGCCCTTCAGGTCGAGGAGACCCGGCTTGCTGGTGCTGTTGTCGCCAACGGACGCCTGCTTGAAGAGGGCGTACAGCTGCAGGAACTCGTCATCGCTGGGGCGCTTGGTCAGATTCTTAACCTTCTCTGCGGCGGCGTTGAATTGCTGTAAGCAAAAGCAGGAGTAGCATATAGATTAGCAGTCAATCGGGAAGGTGATAAGCCCATGGCTTATCTGACACGCCGTTTCTGCTGTACAGTACAGTGAAACTAAAGCGAAAGGAAGTGTGTACTTACCTCGGTGAGGGACATTCTGGTGTATGTAGATTTTATCTGCAAGAAGTGTGGAAGTTTTTGAGAATATAATTAGTTGCTGTTTGCGATGGGATTGCATTGTAGAGGCTGCCTGCCTTATCATTGATCGCTAAACCCGTTTGGGGCCAAATGTTTTATGAACTTTGGCACGCATCGGGCGATCTCATCAGGCGAAGAACACTGCTAATGGCAAGCAGTAGCTAGGCCTTCAACTTTCACCAGTATTTATGCTGCGGATGTGGAGGCAGCAACAAGCAGAAGACACGCATATCTCCAGGCCGAGAATTATGAATTATGGACCAAGCAACCGTTAGCCGCCGTTTTGAGTCCAGTCAAGCCAAATGTATCCAAATATGGAGGCGGGCGTGGGCCACAGTACGTGTCGTACATACATACATACATACTCCTTTGTACATATGTATCACCATGAATTCGCACAATTCTTACTATCTAAATGAGTTCGATATTTGTCACGCGTAGGCACTAAAGATTTCCTGCATAAACTGATAGGTAACATATAGCCAGGCAGCAGGCCACCAGGCACTATCACTTGACTCGACTTACTTGTATGTCTCGGCCGTTACAGAACTAAACACAGTCTGAATTGCTATCTCGATTTGACTTTCAATTTAAGTATTTCCCACATCGCACGATCGCCCCACAGTCACAAAGCTTTCTTCCACAGAGAGAGAGAGAGAGGCAGAAAGAGACACACACTCTCTGGAGCTTTGCTAATGTTCTGTTCTGTTCCGTGTTCTGAGTGGGATTTCTGGGTGTATTTCTCTGGGGTGCAGCTTTGCTCGAGTGGGGCTGGTTGGTTGGGCAATCGTGATAGTGCAGGCGGCCGTGCTGATAGCAGCAGCGATTCACTGGTATATTCCATTGGGAAACCTACAAAGGCAAGACCTACAAAGCAAAGGCCACGTAACACCCGGGGCCACCCATCGTTAGCTGCGGTTCGAAGTTCGAGCGGCTTTCCTATCGCAACTGTTGGCCAAAAAAAGAACCAACCGAAATACTTCACATGAAAGCGCCAATAAAAACGCCGCTTAGCAGGGCCAACATCTAAAGATTACTTTTCTCATATCTTTGGTATCTTTATTGCTCGAAAAGTTAGTGGGCAGTGTGAGGGGGGGAAGTGGTAACCGGCTTAGGCGTACTGGGGGGCATACTTCTCGTACACCTTGACGTAGGCATCCTTGGCGGCGTCCTTGGACAGACCCTTCTGCGAGTTCCAGGCCTCGTACTTAGCCTTATTCTTAAGATCCAGAACGCCGGGCTTCTCAATGTTCACATCGCCAACGGTGGCCTGCTTGAACAGGCCGTAGAACTCCAAGAATTCGGCATCGGTGGGCTTCTTGGAGAACTTCTTGGCGAGTTCAGTGGCTTCTTCGAACTGTTTGCAAATAGCGATCAGTAATTTATGAAACAAATTCGATGTGTTACATCATCTATGACATATTTACTTACGGAGACCATGTTGTTTGTTCTGTGGGTTAGCTAAGAGTGCTGCGGGTAATTCAACTGGCGTTAGGGCTTGTCTGTGTTGGGTCTATAAGGATGTGAGTGCTTACCACTTGAAACGGCGGCGACAGGCGAATGAGTGCTTAGGGGCCTTACAGTCGAGCTTTTATAGGTACAAACATTCGAAGAAGAGCCCAAGTGAAATTTATAGCCATGCTGCTGATTAGCCTTGAGTTTGCCTCACCGAACGCTGCAGATATCGATATCTTTATTTCGCCAATTTTGCTCCTAGCATTGTTAAAGGCAGCGATATGGAAGATAGCCCCGGATACACTTATCATTTATAACACCAGCAAAGGGGCTGGCCAAGTCTACTAAACTAAGGGAACACTGTAGGCAAAGACACCCGCGCATTGTGGTCCCGGCCTCTGAAGTTTTTACAATTGGCAATAAATTGGTGACGATAATTGATATATGTATATATATACAAGCTGTAATCTGATTACAGATTATAAAATCGATTAAATATAATATATTATACCTGGATGTACCTTTTCTAGGTCAGCAACGAAAGTCATGCTCCTTCTTAACAACTTTACAGCTTAGGAAATGTTTAATCTATCTCCAACTAATTCTAATCACTCTAAGCTGGAAGCAACACTTTTCGGTAAAGTTCGTTTTATCATTATATCCCTATTATCTTTATTCCAGCAATAATGTGACTGATTAACACCTTTTATTGGCCCCCTGGTCAATGTCCCAAAAGAAAGTTATCGAACTAATTGCCGATGGTAGATAAACAGTTAAAGAAGCTGCAGAACAACTGGAAGATAACGATTATGTTGGATTGATTTGGAATCTAATAATATGCCCTTGGGGTCATTATTTACATTGGGAAGATACCATAGCGATAATATACAAATGCCGAAATATTTCCAGTCCATTATTGGCAGTTTTTTTTAAGATGTTTTGCCATAATTAGTCCCAATTTATAAAAGTAGTTTATAACATTATCTTAAAAAAATTTGTAAGCCTAAAAAAGGTGTTTTGCCTTTGGAATTATAGGTGACGCCCAGAATCATGCTTTCAACATTCTGTTTACATGAATTCTACATAGAAATTAATTCTCACCAAAAGCACAGTGGTCGATTCTGCCAATCTGGCAGGCAATAATTAATAACTCAAAAAATAAATGAGTAACATTTTTAAAAATATTTTTGTATTTTGGAATATAAATCCGCGGAGTATTTAAATAAATTTTAAAGTTTTATTTTTTAACTTAAAAACTTTTAAAAATAAATTTAAAAAAAAAAATAATTTTTTTTTATTTCAAAATATTATAAAATGTTTTTATAAACACTTTATATTAATACAAAAAAAGTATAGGTCAAAATTAAAACTTATGGTCTGTTTTTTGAAGTATTTTAAATATCTGCTGCACACTTCACCCAGAGGCAAAATTAATTAATTTTTAACAATCAGTTTTGCTGAGTTTGTTTTATCCAGCGACTGCCCCGCCGCCCCCACCGCGAAAGCGCCTTTTTGACACTGCCAGTTTTCCTTAAAATCAAATTTAACGTGTTGTAGTTGCAATTTGTTTTAACACAGAAGATTAAAAAAATACTGGTTTCATAAATAAAAAAAGATTGAAGGCGGAAGGGGGCGGATGTCAAAAGATCTATTCCATGCAAGTGTCGGGTATGATATTAATAGCACACTAAAGGAAATGTTAAGTTCTACAACGATTTACCTCTAATACATGCAAGCACGGGACCAACACATATATTTTTTATTGAATACTTACCAACTATGATCAAAATGGATGGTAATTTTAAGACAAATCGCAAAACATTAAGATTTATTTTGGTTTACCAAAAGCAATGAAAAGGCGGTAAAATGTACTTAGGTATGGACAGAAAAGTTTTCTGCGATTCAACCGCGTGCAGGTACTGGACTATTGATACGAAAAATATATAAATATCGCAATAAATATCAGATGTCAGATATCAGATATATCAGATGTTTACTTTCCAAAAAGTAAAAAAAAATTAACAAGATTCGACATTTTAATTTTTGATTTATTGCCTGCCAGATAGGCAGAATCGACCACTGTGCAAAGCCCCAAAAGTATGATATATTTTTTAAATGAATATTGAATGAATTTTGAATGAATATTGTGGGTGGTGGGGTCGATGGGGTCTCGTCTGGGTACTATGCTCCAGTGCGGGATTCGCATGAGCCACATGTCGCACTACCTCTTTGGTCTGCCCGATCTGCCGTATAAATCTCAAGGTTCTAGTGTGTGGAAAAGGAGGGCCAGAAAAAAGAAAACAGCCGAAAAAAGCCACGTACTCGTTGAGAAAATGGTATTAGATTCAACAGGTGTTCAGCAAGTGAATATATTTAGGTAAATAATTATTAAATTATTTGTCGAATTGCCGAGTGAGTGATAACGGGTAGTCCCCCTGGGTTAGTTGTGGTGTACATGTATATGGCATTAATCAACTTTTTCTGAAGGCATTGATTTATGCCTTCTGATGATTGAACACCATGCAACGAATTCCAAAAACAATTTAACTATAAAAAGTCACCTTTTTAAACGAATTCATTTTCAAAAATGAATTTATTGGCAGATGTGTATATTCCAGACATCAATTTATATGTACTGTTGCAGCTCTTTAATCATTAGTATATGTTTACTTATATTGATTACCATGAATCACTCAGGAGTGGCCGCTGATTCAAAGATTAGATGCACCGAGTAAAAGATGCAGATAGTACACACATAAATACATATAGTATATGCATGTTTGTATGTATATTCATGTAGGATGACAAAATATATGGCAATATATTTCAGGGACCGAAAATAATGATTATTTTGTATTTTTATATTAAACATTTTTGTATTAAATATATATACTTTTAATGTCACTATACTTCAGTTTCTGTTTTATAAATATTACTATTTTTATATTATTTCTCACTGATCTTAGTTATTTTTTACTGATTCTTCTGGACAGACCTAAACATTTATTATATTATTATATTATTTATTAATTTATTTTAAAGATATTTTTTAATATCATTCAAATTTGCCAAAATTCTTCATCTACATATAACTAAATTGATATTGATTTCCATATTCGCTGAACTAATGCTTGAAACTTTAGAAAGTTTTTTTTGAGAGTCACCTGACAAGGCATTGCCATTATATGATAAGATTGAAGTGGTCAGATGGTCCTATTTTGAGACGCGTAAGCAGAAAGTTATGGAATGACTGAACACACATTATCTATTTTAAATGCATAGGTGTTTGTTTGGTTTATTAGAAAATTACATTACAATAAATACATAAGTTTTCCACAATGATTGCAGATGCAGCCAGCAGGAGAGGGAAATTAAGTATAAAATGTCACAAATAAATGGGCCTACAGCTACGTACACAAACGGAAAATGCACAGCTTATTCGGACTGGGCGGCGTACTTCTTGTACACTTCGATATAGTATGCCTTGGCATCGTCAATGGTCAGACCAGCCTTGCTCTTCCAGGCGTTGTAGCGAGCCTTCTTCTCCTCATCCTCGGGCTCCTCGATGTTGCAATCGCCGACGGTGGCCTGCTTGTAAAAGCCATAGAACTCCAGGAAATCCGCCTTGGTTGGGGGGTTCTTCAGGGACTTGGCCTTCTCAACGATCTCCTCAAACTATACCAACAAATAATGGAGCGTAAATTAATATGCATTTCCTTCTGGCGATGTTGCATATGTGGAAACTTACGGTCAGCATGTTGTAAAATTGTTGTGGTTGTGGGAAACAAAAACAAACTGTGAGGATCGGGCCACGGAAACTGTTATATATTGGCAAACATAGCTCATGCTTTTCGGTAATCTTATCGCAGCCCCAGCTGCAATAGTAGTTCCCACTTGGGCTTATCATAAAAGGCTCCCCATGTACGACTGTATTTCGGGGGTTGGGTGAAGTGCGCCTGTTGCTAATCGGCAGAGGGTGAGAGTTTCGCTGAATTTCCGAAAAAAGTATATAATTAGTCAGCTCCGGTGAGGGGCTTATCAGAACTGCGGACAAGTATGCTCTTGCACTTGCCAAAAAAAAACAAAAAATTGAATCAGCTATGTATCAGCTAGGTATATGCATGCCCACAGGCACAAACATATATGTTATCTGCATGATTGATACGACTAGACAGCATTGAGGGTCGGGGGTAATACTCAGAAAATATATAGCCACAAATCTGGATAGCGCTCGTCACTGCTTCTACTTTTACCTATAACTCTTGTGAGTCAGGGGCTGGTCGCCTATCAGGTCGAAGTCGGACGTTCTAATATTAACGATAATAATTATTATGCGGCCAGCACTGCAAAGATAGTCCTATCAGCTTTTAAAGTTTTCCACAGTATTAATTAAACGCTGCCAACGGAGTCTTTGGGGGCAGCCTCAGTAGATAGAAGATAGAAGATACGATACACATTTGGCTAAGGCCATATCCAAATTAATTAAATTTCCTAATCCATAGGGAAGCCTGAAGCGAGCTATAAAAGTCAGATGCGTGGGGGCTAGAATCATCTTTCAGTATCACCAAATCACCCAAGCAACATGGTCAGTTTTGAGGAAGCCGCCGAATTGGCCAAGAACTTCGCCAAGAAGCCCAGCGACTCTGAGTTCCTGGAGTTCTACGGCCTCTTCAAGCAGGCCACCGTTGGCGATGTGAACATCGACAAGCCCGGCGTTCTGGATCTCAAGAAGAAGGCCATGTACGAGGCCTGGAACTCGCAGAAGGGTCTCTCCAAGGACGCCGCCAAGGAGGCTTACATCAAGGTCTACCAAAAGTACGCTCCCAAGTACGCCTAAACGCCACGTTTTAGGATTAATCTGACAGGATAAAATAAACTCGTAATCTTACCACAACAAAAATCAAACACACAAAAGTTGACCGTTTCATTGGGCGCCTCAGAAGGCTGCCTCCGACTGGGGCATGGTCACGGCGGCAGCAATAAGTGGCTTGGCCTGGCCAGCCTTCATTAGCATGACGCGGATGAGGGAGTTGTCCAGGGTGAGGCTGGGGGGCGGCAGTTTGTCCAGGGCATCCAGCACCGCAACCACTTCGAAGTCGACGCGCAACGGGATGCCCGGCAGGACGCTCGGCAGCCTGGCCAGGCTCTGTTGTATGGCGTAGTGGCGTCGATCCGCGTGTAGCAGAACCATCAGATTGGAGGCCATCTTGAACGTCGACAGGTTCTGCACGGTGAGGTAGAGGCGAAAGGCGGGCCCGCTGCCGCAAACCTCCGCCGAGAGCTTGACGGGAGCGTGCGTCAGGTCGCCGGATATCGTGCTCTCCGACGAGTTGATGGCGTCGATGGTGGCACGTGCTGCCGTGTGCCGCAGCCGCCAGAGCTCCACCTGAAAGCTGCCGTAGGTTGCTAAAGGGAGGCAAAGAAACGTCGATGAAGCGCGAGACAAGGTGGGAGGCCAGCTCACCTTTCGCCTGCTGCTTCTCGCGGGCCGCCTGCTCCACAAATATGGAGCTCTTTTTGGGCTTGTCCAATATCGAGGAGCCATCGGTGAGCTTGTGGTCGCTGGCCCCCAAGCGTCTGCCCGCCAGGGCCTCCGCTTTCGGCTCGAAGCGCGAGACGCGGCGCAGTATCTTGACAATCATCTGGCCCGACTGCGTGACGAGGGTCAGCACGTGATCCTCCATGCCCATGCGTCCGTACAGCATGGCATCCACAGTCTCCTCCAGGACGAACTCGTCCACCTGATATCGCTGGAGGAAGAACTTGACGGCGCCCCCCTTCAGCGCCACGGCCACCAGCGTGATGCCCAGATGCGTCAAATTAAGTGGCAGGATGCAGACGGGCTGGGAGTCCAGCTGCACCTGGTAGAGCAGCTTGCCCCGCTTCGAGTAGCACTGGTAGCGGCTGTCCATCGTCGAGGCAAGTATCGTTTGGTCGATGGGCAGCAGCAGCAGACCTGTCAGCGGTGTGCTCAGCTTGAAGATCTCCTGCCCCACGCTGTTGGACTTTCGCAGCAGATAGACGCCGCCGTTCCGGGTGGCCACCACAATGCAAAAGTCCGTCTCATAGGTGCCCTGCACGGAGAGCAGGCTGGGAACGGCCGTCTCGTAGCTGCAGGTGCTCCCCTGGTACACCAGGTTGAAGCCCTGCGGCTCCAGTACGAATATGTGGCCAGTGTCCGTGGCCAGCACCAGGTGGGAGGGCGGATTGGCATCGCTGGAGACGCGTTTAATGCAGCACATGATCACAATGCTGCCCACCCGCCCCACAGCCGAGTCTGTATGCGTCTTAATGAATGCCTGAAAGACAAATCGGGGCAATCAATTGGTTGGGAAAAGTCTATATGCCAAATGGAAGGACTCACAGGACGTTCCGCTTCGGTGAGTTGCAGCAGGCGCTGCGATTTCCTCGACAGCTTGGCATGGTCGATGCCCTTGAGCGACTCCAGCAGGGCGTTGTGGGTGTCGGCCTGCACGACGGGCAGCTTGCGCCAGACCTCCAGCTCCAGATCATCCGAATCGAGGGCGGGAATGGTGTACTTGAAGTAGGGCTTCAGGTGGCGATAGAACAGCACCGACTCGGCAATGGCCACAGCAATGACTGTGCCAGGAGGCCAGGATGGTAAGGGGATGAGAACAGGGGGATGAGAAACACTTTCTTCGAATGTTATGACATACGCACCCGGCGTCTTTGGCTCCGTTTCGTCGATGTAGAGGCTCTCAATCGCAGTCGGTATGCCCGGCAGGGGCTGCTCCAGCTTCAGTTTGAGTCCGCGGAACACCTTTAGAGTGGCGCTCGGCTCTTTGGCATCGTCCTCCAGCGAAATGTCGGCAGCCAGCAGTCGGATATAGCCATCGCACTGGACGTCGCTGAGCGTCATGCAGCTGGACAAAGTTGTCAGGCGCGGATTTTCATCCTCCGTTTCCACATGGAGCCAATTGGGAGCGCCGCCAGCCATAGCTTCGATCAGTCGGAGAAAATAGTACTTCGCAGGACGGTGTGAAAATGAACAGATGATTTAATAATTGCTGGCAGGACTTTTGTTTTGGTTTTCAGCGCCTTAGCAACGGCGCCAGTACATTTGAAATTCCTATCGATGTATCGATGCCACTAGCCAATCACAGCGCACGCGGGCATGTTAAATTCGCCATGAACCCCAAAAGTATGCTCTGATTTACAACCGAATATACAAGTATTTCAATATATTAAGATATTTTCAAAATGACCGCCAAACTACATTTAGCGCACAAAAAATACCGACATTTTTCGCTCTCAAATCGTAGTGGCTTTTTAAATTTTGCTCTCTTTTCAGAGGTGAAGAGAGCGTTTTCGTGGTGTGAGAAACATGTATCTTACGGGAACGCGTATGGAATGAAGATTCATTGTTGCGTCATTCCATACGCGTTCCCGTAAGATACATTTGATTTGTATGGGAAAAATTTCAGCAACATGGGGAAATGAATTGGCAGCATTGTTGTGCAACTTTGGCAGGGGATGAGCAACAATCTATATACCTTGGGAAAATTGATGTTATGGACTTGAGATATTGTTTGTAATTTCAGGCTCCAATTGATGCAGGAACTAGTTAGTCTCTGTTTGAAAGATATTAACGAAATTTGGCAGCTCACGGGTTCAAATAATAGGTATCAGAACTGGGATAAATGTATATATAAAACACAAACATGTGCATTTATTGGCAAAAAACATGTCAATCTAGTATAAAATCATAAATAATGTTTCAATGGAGCTTGGAACAACAAATTTAACATCAATTAAAGGAAATACGGTATACCAAAGTTCATACGCATTAAAGAAACTTGGTTGACCAGCAACACTGACGTCACATTTAGTCAACATTTACGTTTTATGCTTTGGCCGTTTTTGCTTGAACCCTATTATCTAAACAATCCCATTAAAAATAGTTCTGAAAACTAGACAATCCTAAACAAAATTCATTGCGGAATTGGATAAAATTATTTTTTTAGGGCTGAGAGGGCCAACTATCTAGTAATATTAAATTGAATATCAAAATTGACGAATTCCATATCACAAAATATCATGGCATGGCAGCCCGCAGCAACTACGAATTGCACGAGTCTGGCAGCGCCACAAAACGACGTCACATTCGTTTTATGTTGTTTTTCTTTGAACCTTAATATGTAAATAATCCAATAAAAGGACTTCTGAAAACGTGCCAATCTTGTGTAAAATGTATGTATCTATCGGATAAAATAATTTTTTTTAGGGCTGAGAGGGCCAACTAGCTAGTAATATTAAACGGAATATCAAAATCGAGGAATATGAACGCATCTTGTCGTGTCCGTCAGTATATTTACGGTATATTTTGATAATGACAAAGCATATTTCGGTATAATTCTAAGGGTGAGGGGGTATATTTTATCGATAAACACACGGTCACACTGGGACGCGAGCAGAGTTTTAGTTTAAAATTTAAACATTAATTTTGTAGTATTAAGTGACTTGTTTAGGTTTATTTTACTAAAGTAATGACGGCAAAAGAGAACGAGGTACAGGTTTTCAACAAGGGCGAAAAGGTCCTGTGCTACGAGCCGGATAAATCGAAGGCGAGGGTTCTATACAACAGCAAGGTAACAACACACGGCACACATGCCCACGCGCATACACACACGAACACACACCGCTGTACGAAACGTCAAATAAACGTCAGGCGGCGACGCATTCGCGCAGTTTCGATTTTTCCACGGATTTTTCACCGAGTATAGCGCTGAATTTTTCGCAGGTTTTGACTGTTGTGGAGCGCAAGGATCAACATGGCCTGAAGTACTTCGACTACAAGATCCACTTCCAGGGCTGGCGGCCCTCCTACGACCGAGCGGTGCGTGCTAGCTGTCTGCTGAAAGACACGGAAGAGAATCGTAAGCTGCAGCGTGAACTGGCAGAGGCCGCACAATTACAGATGTAAGTCCCCTGCGTGCGACCAATGGGTGGGTTGTGTGTTTGTGTGCGAAATGTTTTTACCGGCATTTTTTACTTTCAGAAGTGGAGGATACTCGTACAAGGGCACGCCCACACAGCCTGCTGGCAAGAAGAAGCGCTTGACTCGAGGGGGAGGGATCGTCGAGGATCAGGAACCAGCTTTGGACACCACCCAGGCAGCCACGGAGCCAGAGCTGCCGCCAACCAACGGAACTGGAACTGTACCCGGTGCCGGGAACCGCTCGCGTGACAACAGTGGTGGTCGCAAGGCGGACAAGAGTGCCGCCGGTGAGGAGGTGAAAATGAAGAACACGCGCGGTCGTTCCACAGGGAAAAAGGCTGGGAAGAAAGATACGGCGGAAGTGGAGAGATATGTCATCCAGGAGGATCGTGTGATGTTGCGCATCAGCGAGCGGCTGCGGGAGTACATGGAGTACGACTACAACATGGTTGTAAAGCTGGGAAAGCAGCACGCGATGCCCGCCCGCATGCCCATTATCTGTATCCTGGAGAACTTTGTGAAGCAGCGGGCCGTGGAGCTGGCCATTGGAATCAAGCAAGACAGCAGCAGAGCGAGGAACACCCAGAGTCGGAATGCCCGAATGGAGCGGGAGTATGATCGGGTCATGTCCAAGTGAGTAGCGGCATAGAGGCCACAAAATCATTCAGTCAAATAATTGTGCCATCTTTGCACCTTTGCAGCGTGTGCATGCTCAAGGAAGTCGTCGATGGACTGCGCATTTACTTCGAGTTCCATGTGGAGGATCATCTGCTCTACAAGGAGGAGAAGGAGTACGCCTATAACTATCTCACGGACGACAACTTGAGGAACGTCAGCATGATGCTAAACCACTCGTATGACTTTATCAATCCCAACTGCGATACGGAGCTCATCTCAATGGATGGCACCACGTGGGGGGCTGGTGGGCTCGGCCCCACAAACGGCTACGGAGGCCACATTATCAATGGATTGGAGTACGAGAAGCAGCTGCAAAGGTGTCTGCTCTATATCGTCAAGTCGAGCGGCAATAACACGGCGCATGCCTACGATCAGCGGACATCACCGTACAGGGCTGCCTACAAGCTGCCCATGGAGATGCGCGGTTTTCTGTGCGAAACCTTCAAGTGGCGTCTGCTGTCCGCGGAATCCATGCCGGAGAAGTCAATGGTCTTTGGCGCTCCCCATCTAGCACGACTGATGAGTGAGTTTTTGGTTGTTTTTGGTTGGTTCTTGACCTCACACCATTATTTGTATCTGTAGTTAAAGTGCCCGAGTACTTGAATATCTCGCCCATATCAAATCAAAAGCTAGAGGATCTGCTGCCCCACCTGGACTCATTCATCAAGTAAGTCGCAGATCCGTGACTGTGTTTTATTGTTGTTGCTAATGTTGTTCGTTTTAGTTACTTGGAGAACCACAAAGAGTGGTTCGATAAGGAGAACTACGTGCACCATCCCACCATACACCAGGAGCAGCTGCAAAGGGAGCTGCTCGACTCACTGGAACAATCCGCGTAGAATGGATGGACGCCCATATTCTCCGTTTTTGTGACATTTTAGTTCAAATTAATGCCTATGGTATTTTATTTATTATGCAGTTTAAAGCTTATTTCTCTTTTATTTAATGATTTTTAATTGTCATCTTCATTTGCATGATTTGGTTTCTTCAACTACACACTTTGTAAATAACGCGCTTCTATAAAAAAGTCTCCTACACATGTATAATCGAATAATGTCTATAGCTACATGTTAAATATGGAAAATACGAGTTTAACATTTTTTTTAAAACTTTTTTTTTTTTTTTTACTTAATCTTAGGTTTAGTTGAGTAGTTTTACATGCTAGTATTTTGTCTCTTTTTTTTGTTGTTTGTGCTCAAATATATTTAAGAATTTGAAAGATGTGTCTTTATTTTTTTTCTTAGCATGTCAGAACTCCGTCTGCCGGACTATCGATTGGAATTGAAATTGGAATGTGCAGGGGAATCATTGCGCGGGGTGTAGACACTAGATTTTTGTATAACATCTCAAAATATCTGAGGTGCAACTGTAACAATTATCGGACCTGTGCAACGAGTGTGTGTGCGTGTCTGTCTGTCTGTCTGTGTGTATTTGTGTGGTGTGTGGTGTGTGGGCTACAGGTTGGATCCTGCCTGGAAATTCGAGACTGTTGCTTGTTGTCGTGCGCTTGGACGGCTTAGAGTAGATGCATTTGCGTTTGTAACTTATCTTTGTCATGGCGTTTGGGACGTTAACTTGGGACGATGGACCTGTGCCTCACTTCTGCCTCTTGGTGGCACTGCTGGCCGTGGGACGCATGAAGCTGCTCACAGAGCGACTGCTGCTGGAGCTGCGCTGCTGCTGGGGATTGGTCTTGGCCGCCTGCTGGTTCAACACGTTCTTCACGAGCATTGCACTGCGGGCAGCACTAATCCTGGAATGCGACTGCGACTGGGGATGGGTATGGGTATGGGAAGCCGCCGCTTGGTTCTCCTTGAAACTGGTGCTGCCACCCAGAGATGGGTTTATGGAGACCGTGGTGGATCTGGGTGTGGCGCTGACCTTGCTGCGCACCAAAATCACACTGGGTCCCACACTGGAGCCACTGCTGCTGCTGCGGCTGGCTGGCACTCCGCGCCCTGGCGTGGGCCGGGTGTTTTGAGCGGCCAGCGGCCGCTTGCTGGGGGACGAGTCCACGGAGACTGTGGCGCCTGCTCGCTGAACGGCTGGCATGCGTCTTACCACGGTTTGGGTGGAGGCTCCGCTGTTGATGGAGGACCGCGAGGAGCGCAGACTGTTGCGGGAGCTGCTGCGCTCCACGCCGGCGAGGACCTGCTGCTCCTGCGGCGATCGTCGGACCGTGGATGCTGCGCGAATGGGCGCGGCACTGGGCAGTGGATTGCCATTGGGCATGCGCATGGGTCGACTGGCGGAGAGGCTGCGCTTGATGTGGCCCACACTCGTGGCTGTGGCTGGCATTTGGTTTTGTGACTTGGTTGCGGCTTGTGACGCACTGGAGGCGGATGTGGAGGTGCCCCGGAGGCGTGACACCTGCAGTCGATCCGCCAGCCGGCTGCCCATCTGAGTGATGCTGGTCGTGGTGGGCTTCTGCTTCTGGAGCGGGCGTGTCCGGCTGGGGGCATCGTTGGCCTCGTTGCACGAGGAGTTGGTGCTCTCGCCCTTGCCGTGGGAGGGCGTGTCGGAGACGAGGCTCTGCGTCTCCTCGAAGCCCTCGTCGTTGAGCTCGTGGTGTCCGCTGGCGGAGATCTTCAGCTTTGTGGGCGTTATCTCGCGGGGTGGACTCCAGGGACGCTCGGGCGTTCCCGTCGGCGACTTTAGGTTGCGTATGGCCTCGCGCACATCTTCCTGGTTGATGGAGCTGATGTGGCGACCCACTTTCTCCAGCTTGGTAATCGTTCGCTCCTTCTGCTTGGTCTTTTCCGGCTGCTGTGCCTCCTGCTTACCCGAGGATGGCTTCAGCTCCGGCTTGGGCTCCTCGTTGCCACTGCTGTAGTCCGTCGGCCGCTTATAGCGACGCGTGCGTCGCCCCAGTGCATGGCGGTCAAAGTGCCCGGGCGCATCGTGCTCTGCGGGTCCCACGACAATGCTGATCTTCTCCTCGGGCACAGCTTTGGGCTTGTCCGTCATGCTCACCGTCACCACTGTGGTCGTGGGCGTGGCTAGCACACGACGGCTCACCGGCGGCGTCTCGATGTTGTCGGCATCCACCTCCTTGGAGGAGCCCGCGCCGCACTGGGTCTCGTTGTGGCTCTTGTGGTGATTGAGCAGACTGGCAAAGGTGTCGTCCTGCTTGGGCTTTGGTGATTTGGGGGCCAGCTGCTCAGCCTCAGCCTTCTTGGCCGCCTCAGTCGCCGGCTGCAGGTCCATGCCCGCGGGTCGTCTGCTCTCGCCCAGCTTCTGGATGAGCGACTTGCGGCGATCCTCCTCGGCAATCGAGTGCAGCACTCCGGGGCTCTGATCCTGCGATCGCTGCCGTCGGTATTGACGCAGTCCCTCGGCGGTGTTGGAGTTGTGTGCAGCCTCCGCCGTGCTACTGGCATCGGCAATGGCCTGCAGATGGCCCACCACATCCGTCTGCTCCAGTGTCCTCGATGGCTTCCAGTCGGAGTAGACGCGCTGGTATTTGGACCCCTGGTCCTGCTCCTGTCTGTTAGTTGGATTAGTGTTCGTTGGCGTCGTTGTCGGCATGATCTTCTCCTCCGGCAATGGGTCCAGTTTTCGTTCGTTTTCTGCGCGACCAATGGAGATTATGGTAGATTCTTGGTTCTCTATATGGGTCACTGGGTACCACTCACCTGTATCGTTTTCGAGCGACCGCCGATTGGCGTTGACCAGACGACGCTTGCGCTTGTACTCCTCGTTCTGCTTCTCGTCGTTTTCGTTGGACTGCAGCCACGTTTCGATCTTCTGGCGCCATTCACGGGATATTCTGGAAATGGAATCGCACGATTAAAGTTTTCCCAATTGATGGCATTCTTATTAGAGCATAAACTCGGGCTGTTACTCTGTGGATGCCACAGATTTGGGGGTATTTGGCAAGCTCTAAGTACGGCCAAGGGCTCTACTCCACCCGACCTGCAACCTCTTGCTTCTGAGAGCAAGAACGATCGTTCTTGGCACACTTCGGGCACTACTTACCTCGGTTTCGCATCCTCGTGCATGGCCTGCGGCTGCGCAATTGTTGGCCCACTGCCTGTGGGCGTATTGGCTGACGTGGTGGGCGTGACAGCACCACTGGCCAACGGAGACAGCAGTCGCTCCTGCGTGGCCTGCTGTTGCTGCTGCTGCTGTTGGAGCAGGGGAGCCGGCGAGCTGGCCCGCTCGCGGTCCAGGCCAAAGTCAATGTTGAGCAGATCGGGACGCTTGCGACTGGAGCTGCCGGAGCGGGCACGACGGGCCCAGGAGCGATCCAGACTGCCGTAGGCGGCTGCCTTTCGCTCGCGACTGATGTGGCCGTCGTGGGGTCCCGTGGAGCTGCGCAAGAACTCCATGAGGTCATCCTCCTCGGCCAGCACGCGACTGCGGCGCCGCCTCAGGCTGCCATTGGGTGTGATGTCTGGCGAGGCGCCGTCCGGCTCCAGGCGAATGAAACTGTTGCTGATCTCCCCGGAGCCCAGGTGCCGTCTGCTCAGCGCTGGGCTGGCGCGCGGATCGAACAGGGCATCGCCCAGAAACGAGTGATCCGAGTCGGATACGGGCGTCCCAGCCTGACCCACTGCAACATAAATAAACGATAGCCGTCAGTTAAGGGATAGGAAGGGGAAAGGGAGGCGCGGGTGAGTGGCACTTACTTTGCCTGGCTCTCCGGGCCAATTGCTCCTCGCGCTGCTTCCTGCGCAGCGTCGCCTGCTGCTCCTGCTGCTGGCGCCTCTCGTTCTCCTTGACCGCCTGCCGGAACTTATCACAGAAATTCTGGAAGATCTTGAAGCACTCCTCCAGTCGAAAGGTGGCCACATCCTCGCAGAAGAACTCGGCCAGCTTCAGCCGCATGGCCTCCACCTGCTTCATACCCGACTGCAGCACGGCCAGCTCCGATTCGGCGGCCTGCAGGAACTCCGCCATTTGCTGCTTAATGTCCGTGTCCGTGGCGGGCTGTTCGATCTGCCGAGTGATTCTCCTGATGCGGCCATCGAGTGTGTTGATTTCATTGTTGATCTGCTCCGACGTCGTTCTGAAAGGAATGATCGAACCCATGATACACCGCTTCCCCATACATCTATGTCCGTCATGTCCGTCACTTACTTGCTCGCATTCTCCAGGGTGCTGAGCTGTCCGGTGAACTTCAGCAGCTCCGGGTTACGCTTCTCCGCCTGCAGGGCCACAAAGTGAATGAGATTCATGCCCGGCTTATTGGCCCGGATGTCGGTGAGCTTTTGCAGCGAGGAGAGCTTCACGCCAGCAGCGTTGCCCGCATAGCCGCCGGAATTGAGGAAGTTGCCGGCCACCACGACCATATAGAGGACCTCCTGCAGCGTCTTGTTGTTCAGCAGGTCGTCGCCAGCGTAGAGCATGGCGTTGATGCAGGGTTCCAGGTAGGCCACATTGGCCGCGAACTCCTCCTTGAGCAGCATGCTCTCGATCCGCAATTTGTAGCTGTTTATCAAGCAGAGGAATGAAATTAAATACATGCCGGAAAGCCCCGTCTCCCGGGGATACTTACTTTGGCACCTCCAGAAGCTGCAGGAGAAACTTCTCCGCATTGCCCAGACGCGCCTTGTCGCCATTGAAGCCCTTCAGCATGTCCAGCTCGTCCACCTCGGGCATGATCTTGAGCAGACCCCGCAGTCGCTCGGCTCCGATCTCCTCGTGGGCGCCCTGCCGGATCAGCTGAATGATGTCCGCGTTGCTGGTGCGGAACTGCTTCAGAAAGATGTTCACATTCAGACTCCGCTTGCCGTCCAGCAGGGTGATTTCGGTGCACTCCTTCCGGGACTTGCGGTCGAGGGTGTCGCAGCCGTTGGAGGACGACGAGGGATTGCTGGCCTCGCGGCCCAGCTTGGGCGAGCCCTGCGCACTGGTGGACTGCAGGCAGAAGAGGCCCTCCATCTCGTTCCAGTCGATGTCCTTCATAGGGCTGTCCTGGTGGTTGCTGGCCACAATGCTCCAGATGTTCTGTTTGCCCAGCACCTTGTTGTGCGGAATCTTGCCCCAGTTGATGGTCTTCATCTTGGCCTTGGGCGCGGGCGTGTCCTGCTGCGGCAGCAGCACCGCTGTGGCAATCGGCTCACCCGGCCCCGCTGCCCCGCTGGGGTCCGGCGTGCGTGGCCGCGTCGACAGCTGCATCGAGGGCGGTGGCGGCGGCGGCGGCAGCGCACTGCCATTCAGCATGGGTGGAGGTGGGGGCGGCGGGACCAGGCCGTTGGCCTTTCCTGGGGCCGGCGGTGGCGGAGGGGGTGGTGGCTTGGCGGCGGCCACCACTGGCTGTGAGGGCTTCCGTGTGGGACTGCTGGCATCGCTGCCGCGGCAGCTCTGGCAGGAGAACTTCTGGCTGCTGGGCGTGCGCAGCAGGCGCACTGCGTCCTCATGGCTCTCGAGCAGCGTGGCCCGGTGCACCAGTCGGTCCGTGGTGTCCCAGATGATGTCGCTGAGCTGCTCCTTCGAATCGATGCGCAGCAAGTGCTGCAGGATACTGAGGAAAGGTCCTTCCTGAGGCGTATCGGCCACCTGTGAGCGGGAAACGGAAATAAAGCGTAATGAGAACTGGTGCCCGTCTGCCCTTGAACGTCCGTTCGATTCTGGCCTGCCACAACCTTGGCATCAGAGGCCCCGAAATTGATTTGTGTGTTTGTGTGTGTGTGGCTACGCTGCGTATACGTAATGCGCAGTCATAACGCTGGGCCTGGACTGGACTGGACTCACCTGTCGCAGTATCGCGTAAAAGACATCAAGGTGCGAGCTCAGATTGATGCCGTCGGGCGCCTGCAGGCTCTGGGCCTCGTCGCATTCCTGCTGCTCCACGAATACGTCCAATTGTACGATGATATCGCCCACACTCTGTGCGACTTTCCTGCAATGGCAATTGGAATTCAAACACCAGTCATTAGTGGGTTAAGCTCCATAAAATATATGTCTCTCTGTCTTTCTGTCTGCATGTCTGTCCCCCCCGCCGTCAGTAGAATCCAGCTCATTATTTAATCAATTTGTAAGTCGTTTTCCCTGCCGATGACAATTCTGACTGCGAACTAATTGATTTCCCATTTACGATATGCGGAATTCCGTGCACAATTTATGGCAGACAAGTGTCAGGGCAGCGGCAGCAGCAGCAGCAGCAGCAGGTACGTCCAAGGGGTCCACAAGTAGTTGGCTGACATTGAGTAACCTCCGGAGGCTGCCAAGAAGCCCAGCCAACACTCGACTCCCATCCCATCCCATCCCATCCATTGCACTCGCGCACTCACTTGAGGTTCTGCACCAGTTGCAGGGCACCGCAGCTGTACCGCGACAGCGAGCCGCAGAACGTGAGCCGTCGCTGCAGATGCAAGGGCGATGGCACTGGCGAGGCGGACACGGAGGATGACGACGACGACGATGACGATGGAGAAAGGGAGGGGGATTGTAGTGGTGACGACTCCACGTTGCAGCAGCCTTGGCAGTCAGCTATAGGCAATGGCCTGGGCCAGGCCTAACCATATTTGCGATGTGCAAAATCGTTAGCCAAACGCCAAATTGCGAGGCAACTGCTCTATGGGGTGTCCTTGCTCTATGTCCTTGTTCGGCGGCGGTGGCGGCAGTGGCGGCGGCGGCGGCTCGGATCAGATGGCTCCTTTTTTGGTCTGACAATTGATATCCATAAATTGACTGGCACTTTTAATTGTTTCTCGAAATGATTTTGCAGTTTGAACGTGAAAAAAAAAAACCTGAAAGGCAATGACGAGGACGAGGACGAGGCAGGACCGCGCGACTGCCTGGCACGACTCGAAAACACAGAGAGAGCAACCGAATTTCAGCTGCTGCCAGTCCGGCTCCGTCTCGTCTTGTCTCCGTCTCCGACTCTGCCGAATGTTGTTCTTGCCGCGGCCACGTGCTGCGCGCGCAGGAGTTCCCAGTGCCAGGAGACTCTTTATTTTGACGAGCAACTTCGTCGACATCCATCGGGTGGGCGCACAGGCACAGGCACAGGCACGGACACGTGCACGTTGCTCTGTATTTGTTTTTGATGCTTCGCAGCGATTTCTATTTTGGGCAGTCACGGAAGCTATGACAGACGAGGGGGACTCAACGGCGTGGCCGGGGGGACTGTTGAAACAACAAAACTCACACCGGAAGCCGCAATGCACTCCCCCCAAATGCAGAACCCACAGTAAGGTGTGTGTGCTCGGAAGCGGAAGGTGAGCGACCGAATGTTGGTGGGAAAACTTGGAAAATACATTTCAAAGTCGGATTTTTGCTAAGCCAAGGACTGACTGGTTCTTAGAACTTTAGCCCACAGAAATTGGATATTTTGGAATTTATTTTTAGCAGCGATTTAGTTTATTTTGACGGTAACTCAATACGACAACGTTTCGGGTGAGTTATGCTAAGCTCCTTTTCAGATTTCGATTCGATTAGAGCACTCATTATGAGGAGAACAATTAAAAGCCGCTTAGAGCATCTTGGCAGCTTCCAAGCTACGCAACGACAAGACTCCAAGACTCCAACAATAAATTACAGGGCTCGAAAAATGTGAAACGAGAATTTTGTTTATTTATTTATGGAAGAGGGATGCCCATCAGCATCACCTACCTCACCCTCCTCTTTGAGAGGCGGCCTCAAATCAAAGCCGCTCCTCTGCTCAATGGGAACGTTTAAAGCGATTTGAAATTTGAAATATATTAAAAAGCGCGAGAAACTACGCATTTCATTTATGGGCGACGAGCGTTAAAATTTTAATAACAATAGGAGCCGCAGGGGCCATGGTACACACACAATACAAATGGTCCGCATCCACTTGAGAATGAAAGAGTGCCCGTGCCCGTGCCACCCCTCCAAGACATATGGCAGGGGACAATCAATTAGTCGACTGCTCTGACTGACAAGCGGAGGAATCTGCAGATGTGGTCCAGGGGTAGTGGCTGTGGTAGGGGCTGGGGCTGGGGCTGCCAGAACTACTACTCGCATTTCAAATACTTAATTGAATTTGTGAGTTTTCCCCTCAGTTTTCGAGCAAAACATAACGAACGAACGAACGAACGAACAGCTAGAGCCGCAGCCAAAGCGACAAATTTGTCAACCAGAGACCCATAAATAAACCCGTTTTGCTAAGGGTGCCGGGGGTGCAGAGGCAGAGGCAGAGCAGCAGCTAACTAATTGATTTATTGTTGACTAATTAAATATTGAATTAATTGGTTGGACAGACTCGAAAGCAGCGCAAATTATTTGCATAAGACCAGCGCACAGCCGCCGATCCACCAGTGATCATCCTCGGTTCTCTCGGTTGTCTGCCAGTCTTTGCCATGGCTGATGGATGTTTGACAAGCGTCCGCAGCGGGTCTTGATCGGTCATTAATGACCCACCTCCACTGGTGTAGAGGGCTTTCGCATAGCCATGTGAAAATGGGCGAATACCTTGATCTTGTCTTGTTGATCGTCCCATGCAAATTAAAATGTGACCGCCGATTCGACAAGAAACAACACAAAAAATCATAAAAGCAAACGCCGATCGTTAAACTGTTTGTGATACGAGTACTCGTAATCGTTTCGACTGGTGCTTTCGTACAGTGTGTGCGTTGTGGGAGTGTTTCAGGGTTTCGCCCAGCTCAGACAGGGGTCTTCTTCCCATCAAATACATGGCCTGCCTGCGCACTCTCCAGCCTGAATACCAATGACGTCCCTAGCAGCTGTGGGTGTCGTGTCCCACAATGTCTTGTCTTTAGATTTGATGGTTCGTCCTCATCAACTGTGTACTTCAAGACTCACCTTAGGTTATTGAGCAGCGGTAATACTTTGAGACCTGCAATGCAAAAAAGAAGCGTGTCAATTGGGAATATACAAAATAAACAAAATTGCATGCATTAAATAAATTTTATTTTTAATAATTTTAATAATACAAAGAAATAAATGCATTAAATAAATTTTATTTTTAATAATAAAATAAAAGAAAATAATAAATAAAATAATAATAAAAAAGAGAAATGTTTGAAATTTTAATTCAGATTTGTTTAAATAAATTGTACAAGTAATTTAGCTTATGATATTTAACCTCTGTAGTTGCCCAGGCAAGGATAGAACTTTCTATTGGAAATTCGAAATTTTCGAAACTGAATTTAAGCCGTATACTTGTGCGAGTAGGTTCCTAGCACTTGTTCCTACCAAGTATACAAAAGTTAGTATGTTATATTCTTTGTTTGACGTGAATCAGGTCTTCCAATGGCAGCCAAGGCCCGCCCAATGCATCCCGAGCCACTTCCGGTCAAGCTCGTTTTTTTTTTTCGCCTTTTTGCTTTTATTTGCGCACTCACCAATCAATTTATTCATACGAATACGAATACACACACACAAAGATCTGTCTACGTAGCCGTACGAGTATGTTGTAAAATACAAATAATACTAATAACAATAAAAAATTTAATTACGAAAAACTCGTGAAAGTCGTTGTCGCTTCTGTGTCGCTATGTCCCTCAGGCCGCGCACTCTCCCTCTCCTGCTCTCTCTCTCTCCTCTTGGTGCAACCCCCTCCTTTGGGCCGCCTTATTTGGCGCCTTGACGTTCATAATTTCATTTTACGATCTTGCTGGCTGTCGTTTTATTTGTTTGAAATTGAAATCCATAAAAGGCGCACAATTAAAATGCGTGTGCGAGTGGCTGTGTGAGTAAAAGTATATTTGTCCCCCCGTTGCGGGCTTTGTTTTCGGATTCGATTCGGAAGTGGAGATCTGAACTAGACTCGGATCTGATCGAGAGCAGATCAGATCAGACCAGCCATGCCCTATGGCCAGTCGAAGGAATGGAATGGTTCTGGCACGCCCCAAAAGTCTACAATTAATTGTTTAATAACATGCCATGCCACAGCCACAGTCACAGCCACAGCACAAGAAATCAATTCTCGCAAACGATTTAAATATTTCACTCAATATTGTAAATCTGCTGATGATTTATAAATCAATTGGAAGTGAATTTTGCCCATGAATGAGTAACCGCTGAACACACAAATTTATGGCACTGGCTATGGGAAAACTTTTGCGTGCCAAAGTGGAAAATCATGGGGCATAAATCCAGCCAGATGCCAGCCAGCCGGCGGCTTTGGCCTGACAGATGACATACAGCAGAGGAGATATGATGGCTATCTGACCGGGTCGGATCGGATTGGATCCAGTCAGAGCGACAGATAGAACTCCGATAATTGGGCACTTAAGTGGCATTAGCAGGCCCCCAGAGATTCGAATTGGAAAAATGCAAATATTTGTGGGGCGTTCCTGGAAACTGAAACTGAAACACACATAAAGCACAACAATAAAACGGATGAGCAGAGAGAACAGATCGTCACAGAGTGAAGACAAAGTCAAAGTCGGGCCAACAGCCTTGAAACCGAATACATATTTTCATTGCCAAACAAAATGCGGCCGTTGCTTGTCAAATGTGTCGCTCAGGAATTCCGACACAGCCGCGGCGGAGACCCCCTTTGCAGGAATCGAACTGGGTCTCGGGTCTCGGGTGCTGGGATGTGGAGTGGTGGGGTCTGTGGCTGTGGCAGGCTGGGAGTGGAGCCGCCTCCCAAAACAGAAGTGGAATGGCGTGCGTGACTTACATTTTGTGGCTGCCGTTGAGATTTCGAATTTGTCTTACTACTCCGCTGCTTTATTATTATATTCCTGTAATGCTGAAAAAGCGCAGCTCAATTTATTTTAATTAAGAACAATAAAACGGCAGTTCCCCACACCCCGCCAACGGGCACAGTGCAGCCGTCATTCAATGCACCACCGACACCGAGAGTACCCCACGTTTTGGTGGTGCTGCGTCTGCGCAGAACAAGACAACAACGACACAGCAACACGGCGACACAGAGACAACGACAACGACAACGACTACGCACGCACAACCGCGCTCAATCAAAGTCAGGGGCGGGTTGACGACTGCCAGAGTATGGGGATGGGTGGGGATGGGTGGGGTGGGGTGTTGAGTCTCCGCGTTCGGGGACAGTTCATGAACTTTGAACGAGCAAAAGGGGCCCACAGCAAGAGCTGGGCACTGCCGCCGCACTGACAGGATGTAAATGAGTCCCTTGTTTGTCAGCAGCCGGAGAGGCAGGCGGCGGCTTGTTACATATTAAGTACATTTGTCCATTGTGCTCTCCTTTGGCTCTTATTTCTACATACAGATGAGTTGGACCGGAGACAAATCGTTGGGGTTGAACAGAACAAATCTGAAGGCACGTTCGAAACATATTAAAACTCTCTGGACTTTGGTATCTCCACAATGAAACGAGTGGCAAGCATAATTTGGGTGCAGTCCCAGCCCTATTAATAACCTACAGAAAACAATCTAAAAACTCGTCACGTTTCCCGATTTATCTGCTGTTTAATATTTACTTTTCCATGCTTAAATTTTTATTACATATATTCGAGAAAAATAGGGAAAAACTAGTAGCAAAGCGAGAGCAAGAGAAACATATTCCTAATCATAATAATAAACTTTGAATTTCAATTAAATTTCGTTCGATGATCAACCCAAGGGAAATGGAAATAAAACAGGTATAGGGGTAGATATAAATATATATATACTCCTGTACATAAATCTACCATATATGAACCCAAACAATGCCCGTTTTTCCAACATCTAATTCAAACGAATTCGCAGTGTAATTATTGGCTTAAAGACGCGCCTCTGAATCGACGGCACGTGCTAAGGTTACGCGAATCGCCATTGCGTCAAGAGACAAAGGCGATTTGGCATTTGTGACTTTGTGTCGAAGCCAGCGACTCTCCATCATTATCCACCAAAGAGTCTAACCTCAGTCGACAGCTTGCCCCGAGGGTCGCTGGTGTGGCTGGCTGGGACTTTGTGGGACTCTGTGGCTTGTGTCACATGCACACGGCACCGGCACATACGGTCAAGGCCACTGGATCACATTAATCAATTCAATTCAATGAAATCGAAGTCGAAGTCGAAACAGCTTTTGCGGTTGGTCTAATGGATGGACATCTTCATCGTTTTGGTGGTTTTTATAAGCCTGTTCTGTGTTTGTGGGTTGAGTGGGGATCGATCTTACCTATAAATTCGTTGCGGATGCGTATGCGATCCTGCAGGGTGGCGGCGGAGATGATGACACAGTTGATGAAGGCCAGCAGGGCGGCCTGGTAGTCAAGCGGTGGCGATGAGGAGGCACTCGCCAGCTCCAGCTCGTTGATGACGATCTTGAAGCGATATCGTTGCTTCTTGAGATTCTGCACGGAAAGAAAGTTGGCATAAAATTCACTGGGATACTTTGGGGGATTTGTTTTTGGGGAGCGCTTACCTTGTAAAATTCTAGGGTTTCGATGGCACGCGCATAGCCCTCGGCGCTGTAGGCGCACAGCGCGGAGAGCAGCTCAAAGACTTGCTTCTTGACCGTTGCATTCTGCGTGTCCAGGGCAGCGCCCAGCTTGGCAATGTAGTCACGATTCTCGACAATGTAGTCCAGGCCGATGCGTGAGTCCATGTTGTCGATGTTTGGTTCTTTCGGGGCACAGACACTGCTCTACTCTTGACTGATCACGTCCCGCTCGGACGTTATTCAATGACAATCGAATCGAATCGGTTCGAGACGATCGATGGGGCGGCGGCTAGTTCCAAAGGGTTCGTTCTGTTCTTGCATGGAATATCTAAGCAGTTCACGTCATGCCGAACGCTCCTCGTGCCCTGAATCTGTAAGAGGAAAGCCGGGGGAAAATAGAGTTCGAGTTCGAGTTTGAGTTGATGAAAACCCAGTTTTGATTGCAATCCAAGCCCTTCAATTGTCGCTCTGGGCATGCCCCCGTTTTATGTGTCACCGCCCCAAAATTTAATTAATTTACGACCGGCTCCCTTAGCCCCCTTAGGGCCACAAATGTCATAAATTGATTTGGCTTAGGCAACGGGCCGGAGGGCGTCACTGATTTCATAGTTATTTGGATTTTCGGTATTCCGTTTATTTCGTTTGTTTGTTTTTTATTTGCCAATGAGACGGTCAACGGACTAGATGGAGGCACGATCAAAGGCAACCTTTGAGGCCGGGGGGTTCCGCCTTCTAGATCGGCATCGGCATCTCAATTACCAGCAAATGATCTCGTTAATTTGCTTACACTCAAAACACTCAATACATTCGATTAGTCGCCGTCTAAATCGCCGACAAAGTAACACTGTCATTTAGGTTCTCGCATATTAAAATAAATAAGTTTTCATTAAAATTAAAATACAACAAAAAGGCCGATAAAATGCTTAACATTTTTCGTTAAGAGCGCCGATCTGAAGTGGCACTTTGCGATATTTGAAATTATAATTTGTGTGTGCGCTAAATGCTCATGTTATTGCCATTGTTGCTGTTGTCATGTGGCTATATGGCATTTGTTGTCGCTGATTTGTAAGAGGCAGAGCATAGAGCGTATGAGTGGGGCAGGGATTTGGGTTGGGGATTGGCATTTGACGTTTCGATGCGGCGCTAATGAAATCACATAAAACGACAACGAATTAATGGAGAGACATCCAGACATCAGAAAGTGACATCCCTGCGATATGCCTTATTGGCAGTCGTCTGTTCGCATGATATTTCCGATAATTCCGCGCATAGTGCGCGGAGTGGTGCTCAGATGGCGGATGCCATGCCGGGACAGAAACAAGTTCTCAATCAAAACACAGACCCATTTGCAATTCTGTGTCATGTTCTTTGGCTCGCTTTCATATTCGGATTTCAGATTCGAATGGGAAGGTTAATCTACACTGTGAGACCTAAACAGTGATGAGAACCAAACCAATTGGCATTCGAATTTTATATTTTTTATCTTGCTGATGAGATAACTTTTGAGCATTCAAATGAAGTGTAGCTGAAAATGATATGGAACCTTTTGCACCTTCTACGCCTTGACCATTGACCATTCCAGCACAACCTTGTGGGGCAGTGTACACAATCCAAACGTGCGCCGAATCCGCTCTAGACAATTTAGCACAACACCCGCGCAACTGGCGAACCAGCGACGGCGCTCTCCATGCGAGTATGAGCGACATTCGATAGTGATAGGACGATAAATTAAATGCTTATCGGCAAACTGGTTCCATTAGGCGGGCCCGGACATTTCATCTGGCTGGACATCGCATTATTGCGGCTATTTATTGTCGATATTGGTAGGAAAAAAAAAGCAGCAGCAGCAGCAGTGCGAGTAAGATCGGCACAAATTGAGACGTAAAGGCCGAAGTGGGATAGATATGGGCCTGGTGTGGGAATGGATCCCACCGAAATGCTAATGAACTCTCGGGGGAGAACAGACCTGCTGTGGAATCGAATTAGAATGGGTTTGGAGAGCCCGGCTCTCACTGGAACTCATTTATTTTGGAGTGGAGCTCAGACAAAAGCGGGGCGTTGACAGGCGCAAATGGTTTTTCATATTGGAGAACCCCCCCCCCACCCCTTTGTTCGGAAAGTGGCCCCTGGAGCCGACAGGTGGTGGATTGGCGACTCGTTGTCGTTGTCGTTGCCGTCTATAAAATGTCACAGCCACAGCCACATGCCACACACACAAATTGCTCGACGCCGCGCCGTTATTGTGGAAACACACACAGAGATATTCGTCGTCATCGCCTCCCCGCTCGGAGCCATGTTAAAGTGCAAGTAATAATTCACAAATTTCAAAACTTTTCAATGTTTGTCTCACCCTCAGCCTCAGCCTCAACATTTCCCTCTGCTGTTGCCACTCCCCCTCCCAATGAGGGCTGTTCGAGCGTTGTTGTAGTTTTCAATGTCTCCGCGACATTATAATAATGTTGTATAAATTATGTTTTGGTCTTTCAACAACAGCCCACGGGGCGTATGCCTAATGCCTAATGCCTAAACGTGATTAAATGTTGTGCAAAGTGCATATATTTCTGGGCTAGGCCAGGCCCAAACAGGTGAATGCAGCTAGGTAGGACCCTCCGAGAGAGACCCGAGAGACTTGAACAAACATCTCGAGATCTGTAAATCAACAGTGGTGAGGATGCTTGAGAAGATTTACAAATGTAAGACGTTAAATATCAGCTACGGTAGCAGAGCAGAGCAGAGCAGCGCAGCGCTGACATAATCTGTGGCAATAGGCGCAAGGTCGTTACACCTGTAACAAATTGCAACAAATGAAGCTGCAGCGCCGAAAAAAAGAGGGGGGACCTTGTTGGCTTCTCTATCAACGATTTGTGCGGGTGTGTCCACAGCTTTAATCTGTGGCTGTGACTGCACAATTTTCATACATTTTTATTCAGTTTTGATGGCTGCAGGCAGCCATTGAATTTGAATTTGCATTCAGATGTGTAGACAAAAAAACAAATATGAAGTGGGAAAATATAAAATAAATTAAACAAAGAGCCATTGAGTTAAGTGTTTGGCACTCAATAATAAATGCCACTGATAAAAGTGAGATTACTTGGTGGGTTGCATGGAAGGGGAATCTTGGATCGGCTCGGCTCGGCTCGGCCCTATCTATCATTAGGGGCATTATGAGGGCCACTCACTCGCAGCCTAATCCAATCATTTATCCGCTTGATCTTGATCTCTTCATTCTTGTTTAATCTACAATATGTTTGAGCAACTTCATTTTCATTTATATTTCCCTTTCGCTGTTGATTTGTTTATAAGCCGCCTCTTATCAACAACAGCCACAAACTGTGTGAATCGTCGTCTGGGAGGCATGAGAACCATGCGGCACAGAGAGTCGCTTTGTTGCAGTTCTCAGCTTTTGGGGGCAGCCTGTCCGTTGGCGGTTGCTAGTTGGGGGGGAGCAGAGCAGAGCATGGAAGACAGAACGAGTCATAACACTTGACAACAGACGACGACGACGACGACGACGCCAGCAACATCCACAGAAACAACATCGACAACGTCAACGTCTCCGACTCCGACTTGCAATCAAAACACGATCTTGTAGCTTGGCTGGAGCTTGGCGCTAGCTGCTCTCTCAGCATTGACCTTATGACTTCTAAAATCGGTAAAAACATCTTTACAGCTCCATGTGGCACTGTCGTTCGCTTGCTGTTCGTTTTGATATGTTTCCAATACGAATATAAGCTAAAAATACAAAACTCAAGCTGAGATGTCGCGTACTTGAAACTGGGATACATTTTATAGCCTTTACATCTGTGTTTTATGTTCGATTCCACTCGATTCGATTCGATTCGTCTCGACACACTCATTCACAAGTAGAAGCAGACGTCGCCGTCCAAGTTTACTTGGCAATGCAATAATTTTAAGGATACTTCAATGCACATTTTCGGTTACATGTCAAGTTTAAGTGCCGTACCCGAAGGTCGCGCGACTCCAACTGCAAACTGCAGGCCGTACAAATTGAGCAATTAGGGCGTGGCAGAGAGTACGCCTCATTTGCACTTACTTGACTTAATTCGTCAATTAGCCAGCCAGAAAGCCAGCCTGGCTTTTGCTCTGTTGGGCACCAGCTGGCTGGCTGGCTGGCTGGACAATCTCATCATCATCGCCAGCATGGCCTTTCGTGGGCGTCTACTCGTATAACAGCCAAATTCAAGAGCACCAACCAACCAACAAAGCAAATACGCTTAACGATGTATTTCTGTGTGTATATAAAAGAACGTTTGACTACAAAAATAAATAAAATGCAGCCCACGGGGACCCACGGAAAACAAACAAAAAATACATATATATATAATAATGCGTAGGTTTTGCATTTCGATGATGACCACAGTGGCCGCCGTTCCATGGCAAAACCACACAAAAAGCACACCAAGCCGGTCTTCAAACTAGATTCTTGATTGGTGGTTAGAGCGCACCATCAGATGAGTAGCAGATGAGATAAGGGGTGGAGAACTTTGTTAGAAATTCCCTAATCCCATAACGGAAGTTCACTTGGAATACAGTGAGTATTGGATGTACGAAACAGGTGCATGTAAAGATTTACAAGCTGGGATTTAATTTAATTCACATTCCCACATAGCCGATGTCCACTGTAGTTAAATGCTGCAACTATGAATTTCCACAGTGGGGTTAAAAATACTTGCTCCATAAATAGAAACTTTGTGTGTCTATCAGAATACTAGCAGATGGGCTCCGCTTGAACGGAATGGGGATTATCCGTGACTCCGGCTTTATTGGATCTCATTGGGAGCGCCGCGTGGCGCTAGTTGACATTTGACAGGCAACGCGGGCAGTGTCAACGCTTTTGGGGCATGGAATGAACCCGGAGCTAGAGGGGGAACTCCCCCATTTGTGTGTGTTATGCCATTGATGAGAATTTATGAATGGTCACAGAGGCGTTTGTGCGGGTTAAATGGACTCAACTGGCAATGACAGTCGCTGTGCACTTGGAACCTTATGAAAAACCCATCAAAATGTGTCAAAAGCCGCTTCATTGGAAAATTTTCTATTGTTTTAGGGCTTCGTTTTGCGCAAGCGCAAGCGCCGCCGCCGCCGCCCGAAGTGTGAAACTCGGAACAGGTTGAATAGGTTTTGTATCTGGAAACTGGGCCCTGGGCCCTGGGCGTTGGTAAGCCTATAAAATATGAGGCGCTAATGGGCGATTTTCACGCTTATTTACACAATGGAAAAGCGAAAGTTTTATTTTGTTCTTTATTGGCTGTGGCATGTCGCAGGGATTCGGCCATGGATTGTTGCATGCAACTGGTGCGACTGCCCTAGAGCTGTCTGTTCACATGCAGCTGGTGCTGTGTTCCAGGTG